AAATTTGATATCTCAAACAGATATCTGAAGTAGGTCGCTCAGCTACCCGTTAGGTTTGTTTGAATATTTCCTTTTGTCGTACTCCTTTTTCCGTACTATACATCTTCACTATGCTTTGACCCCTACGCAAAACCAACCATAAATATCCTTGCCATGGCCAAACCTCGTCAAGCAATTGTCTTTTGTTGGGTCTGTCGCCTGATTAGCACTTCAACTCCCTCAGAAATGTTGGACAAGCTCCAGACTCCCATGTGGTATTTGCCACTCAGTTAGCAACTCGTACGTCCCTAACATGGCACACCAAATCATAATCGTGAAAGCGTCAAGTCATAGATATCTCATCATGGGCCTCTTATCCCTTCGCTACCCCTATCGAATTCCAGTATTATCGGAGACGTCAAAAACACCTGTTCTGACATAGGCTCAGTCGGGCCTGATGCTCTTCTTGGGCCTCGCAGTCAAGTTCCATATCGTGTCATGGTATGACTTCTCCCGGTCCTCTTCGTCTGCTACTTTACAGTCTTCCGTCTCATTTATTTTCGTTTAACAAATCGTCGATTCTGTTTCAATTCGATATCGCTCTCGGTGCTTTTTTCGTCGTTGTATAGGAAAGAATTTCAAAGTCCAGATCACAACACTGTTGTGATCTTGTGGAGAAGCGTCGAAAGTGGCTTCGTTTCCTAGGCTAGCCGCCTGTATGTCAAGACAACCCTCCCCACTCGCCACCATCTTTCATTCTTAGGGTCTCGAATTGATCATACTATCCGGCATGTGGTCGAAGTTGATCTCGGATTCTATCGATCGAGGGATGGAAGTTGCAACTGTGGTTTGTTAGCCATGTACTTGATGGTAGGGTCCAGTGACATACCACTTGAGCTACGACGATGTTTATCGCAGCAATCACCAGTGTTCTTATGCGGTGGAGTCTGAGCCTTGTTTTGCGAGGCGATACGCTGGACAAACTTCTTCGCCTCATTGTCCAGCCACTGGTTGATGTTGGCGTCATTGCAGGAAGCGTGCATCATCAGTTGATTCTTGACGGTGCTCAGTTCGTCCACAAGACCATTGTACTGCTTGTGCAGAATGTTGTTCTCATGCTCCAAGCCGTATCGAGTGTCTTCGAGGTTGCTGACCCATTCCTTCTTCTTCTGGCGACACTTTGATGCCGCAATCCTGTTGCGTTTCAGAAACTTGCTACGCTTGGCAGACTCATCCAGTCCATCATCTTCGTCGTCGTCTTCTTCATCCTCATCTCCGGGATCCGTCTTGACGGAAACAGCTTTGGAAGCTCTTCGTTGACGTGACGGCTTGGTGGCTGTCGCGGTCGACGATTTTCGAGGTTGAGTCTTGGTGGCTTTACTGCTACGCCGGGGTTTTGCATCGGTATCGGCAGAATTGGTGGATGGAATGGAAGATTTGCTCGAGGTGCGAGATGCCGCAAAGACAGTCTCACTTAGAGGTGTTCTGGGTGAAGATTGCGTGTCGGTGGGTTGTATTGGGCTGTTGGGCTGTAATGGGTTGTTGGTCAAAGTGGTGTGGCCCATGCCCGACATGCCAGGAGGATAGAAATCAACGGGGTTGTTAAGCGCAGGGTTCCACATGGCAGAAGTCATGAATAGCTGGTTGTCCATGGGATTGCTAACACTTGGAAACATAACAGCATTGGAAGGACCGTCGTTGAGTAACGGGTCAATGTTTGCATCTTCTTGTCCACCATTCGAGATAAAGTTATCCTGGAACTTCTGGGCTTGATGGCCAAAGTTTTGGTTTGGTCTGTCCATGTTGACCCTATGATCAAGTGCTGTGCTGCAGCGTACCGCACGAATAGCGCTCTGCCACTAGTGGTAGTACAGCAAGCGCAGGAGGCTATTGAGCCAGTTCGGACGAACGAAGGTTCGATGGAAGATTGAGCGTGCTACTCTGGGAGGTCGAGGGACGTTAAGCGGGAACAGGGAGGGGGTGCTTAACCGAATTGGATGAAGTTTGAGGGTCTAGGAGTCTAGACCATCAAAGGCCGAGTGTGGTGGAGGATACAAAGGTGATGAGAGAGATGGGATATTCGGAGAATTCGATCTGGAGTTAAATGATCAAGATGTAAAAGGTTGGCCGTGTTATACCCAAGTTAGATGTAGGTAGGTAGCTTGGGAAGGTGTAGAAGAAAGGCCTTTCCAAAACCAGGTAGGTACTGCTAGGGCAGGTGGCAGCTTGACGGAGAAACCAATCCGGATGTGCGCAGGCAGTACAAGCAACACCTCACAGTACCGAGCTGAACCACCGCTACTGCAAAATAGAATGGATGAGATGGCGCTTTTGTCGATCAATGATATAAAACCCGATTGCAGTCTCAGATGCGGGTTATTGAGTATAGTCGGGTCCTCCGGTCAGTTAATATTCGAAGTAACAGGGGAGGTAGGTCCTAGAATTCTAGATGTAGGGGGGGCGAATTGCTGAGCTTGACTGTTGGTGTTTCCGCGGAGTGATTCAGTCCAGACCAGTCCAATAGTTTGTCTCGTTCGCCTTTTGTGTCTTATGGCTCCTCAACTCTTGGATACAGCTGACCTTTCGGGTTAAGGCAAAATCACTGATGAGGGTCCTTATGGGAATCGAAAAGAGTCAAGAAAGATACTTGTGAGCTGAACGTATATTGGTGGTTGATTTGTAGAATGCTAGGTTTCGTTAAAACTCGGCGTTTCCAGCACCTCCATGAAGGGCTCGAATAGGTATTATAGCAACTGATGCGACCACTATCAATTACTTGCGTCACTCATTCTCCAGTATTAAAAGTCGGTGGATCAATGTACATAAACCTTTGATTATACAAGATGGCTTGTCCTTTCTACATCCAGCTACTGGGGTTTGGGGAGTGTGTGTAAGGGGAGTGGCGGGTGAAAATAAAAGGGAACACTGCACTGGATTGACGGACCTACTCCGGTGGCTTCAATTCACAATTGGTCAGATTTCGTACAAATCTAAACGAGTACAGGGTTGTATCTAAAGCTGCAACAAACAAATAATCAAGTCTGAGAAGGTTGATTCTGAGTGGCACTTGCAGATTTGATATTGGACCCTTCGTCTTTTATTTCCGTCAACGAATCACAAACAGAGCGCAGACAAATGCGCAACAATTGTGTGGTGGATTTTCCAACCAAGAAACGTCATCCTGTTTTGACATATTCAACCATCCAAACGGGTAGAAACTATGAACATCTCCGTACTGAATGACGGAAAACCCCATCAATTAACTTTGAATGTCACCTCCATAAGCAAATCATACCGGTATGATTTGCTTCTGGACTTTCGAGTGACCCCTGTGGTATTGCCCAAGGTGGAAGGAGGCGTTTATTACCATTTCAACCAATCGTTCCAAGACGGACCTACCCTCCGTTTACAAAAGATGACCAATCGAAGCATTTAAATGTGGATTGCCGGATTGTCCACAAGGGCCGACTGTATGGCTCTCGACTGGACAGTGTGATGCGGACTGTACAGATCCTAGGATGACCCCGAGTAGGCGAAACGACGGGGAATAGCGGCATCCATCCGTGCTATTCCCCGGACTTATTGAACATCCTTCAGTATTTTTATATTCATGAGATGCGTATTTCTATGCTGTTGAAAGAGCAGTTGAATATTTGATTAAATTTGTGCATATGAGTTGCAGAAATGACATGGTCGCCTCGTCATTCCCCATGCACACAGGATCCTTTCATTGATAATTCAGCTCGCTCGATTCTCGGCAATGGTTTCATGTCGAGAAAGAAGATGGCTGAATCGTTGTGAGAAGAGATATCTTGAAAGGATCGACGATTTCAATCCGGATTTCATGGGCCACAACAAGTAAGGATCATCCTAGCTGCGCGTTCTCAGTAACTTGATGACTCTTGACTGACCCAAGATGAGTTGCTTGCGGAATATCCTCAGAGAAATTTGTCTGTGTCACCAAATCATCCCTTCTTTTGATCTTTGTGCAGGTTAGTTATGACCCAGATGTCGTATGTGCTGTGCGGTAAAGAATAGCTGTCGAGCCACCGTTAATCAACGTGGGAGACTAGCAGCCCATATTTTTGCGTACACTGTACAGTAGCATATACAGTGTCCACACGCCCTCTTTGTTGAACTGCTGCAATGGTATCCGTTGAGAAGAAACTTCAGCATCGCTCAAGGCTGCAAACCGGAGCTTTTGTCCCGGTGCTTGTCTGAAGCGTTGAGCTTGTGTGCGGGGTTGAACCCGACTAGGCCAACTTGTTCGCAGGGTATCGACAAGTTCCTATCTCATGGTCAATAGCCGGATAGTCCAAGCGATGGTTAAAAATGTCCGAATGAAATGTAAAACAGGGAAATAGAGGGTAGTTGGGGGCTGAGTCGCTGACACGGCTTGGCTAGCGGGTTTATCATGGAGATGACAGGTTCAAGCTGGCTCATCGGAGGAGTCGGCCATTGGTCCGAACGAGAATCTTTGAGAGTGGGGCCATCAGGGAACCACAGGAGCATGAGAGACTAAATTATTAGGCCACTTTGTTTCACTTAGATCATACTTTTTAGTCTATTTATTTTTGTCATCTAAAGCTTAACAGTCCATTCTTCTCCCACCAGGTGGGGCCAGTTCGACATTCATTTCAGGAGTGACAATACTGTCCCTATCAGATATTGTCAAAAATGTGCATATTCCTGTTCGCAGTCTCTTATTGTCGAAGAATTTGTCCATTGTTTTTTTCTCATTAAAATGGTACCTACGTACGGAGTATAGCACGGTAAGGCTCTCCTTCAGTATCACGTGACAGATAATGATCTCACGTGATTGCGCGTCAAGGGAAGCTCAACGCGCTTGCCCCTCCTGCTCGTTATCGCCAACAGGCAACAGGCTTTACATGACCTCTTTCACCAACCTCACCTGCTGGAGCAGTAGCCAGGCAATTCGATCGTAATTGCAACTTGACGACACATCTCTGTTCGTGCTTCAATCATACTCCTTTCATCGCAAACAAAAACCAAACATGACAATGGCCGAACAACTTTCAACCCCGCGCATCACCGCCGCATATCTCGACAATTTTGTCGGCCGAGTCGTCATGCTTGTGGGTGAAGTGACTCAACTTCGAGGTGATCAGGCAACTTTGGAGTCTGACGGAACTGTCACTGTCTTGCTAAACAGAGTAAGTTATCAACAACATTTTGTGTCATTCGCACGACATTGGTTTCATCATTTGCTTATCAGAGACTTCAGGATGCCCATCTCTCAAACGGAAATACCGTGCAGGTCATTGGAAAGGTCAACCCGGACCTGTCGATCAAAGTTTTGACATCCCGGGACTTGGGTAATACTGTGGGTAAGTATCGAAATTCGCATTTCTGTCGTCATAGTTGCGTCGCTCACGTTGTATCACAACGGCGCGGATGGCTATTCCTTGAAACTGCTGTCAATTGCTATTGCGTTTATGGAAATCTCCAATGCTGATTGTTGTAGATTTCGCTTTGTACAGCTCGGTTGTTCAAGCTACACACAAGCATCAGTCGATCTTTACCGGCAACTGACTTGGGCAACCAGATCATGGCCCTTTCCAGTCCTCACAACCATACGCCCCACGTGTGGCCATGATCTGGACATCACCCAAGAGATCTGATGCTTACAGATCCGCTACACATCAAAGACAAGCTTATTTTGACGAGAAAAATCGAAAATCAAACGTAACGACACCTAAGTCAGATTCAACTGACACCACCACTTCGAGACCCTTACACAACAACACCCACACTGCTGCACAGAGGTTACAGTCCAGAACAAGATCAAACTATGGCCAGAGTAGACCTTCTATCTCCATGTCTTTCACAACGTACAGTTCCGACATTCGTGGTCGTGAAATCGAATCTCGATCTATCAGTCCGCCCTATCCATCTCACATTTCACAAACACTACTACTAACTCCTTCCATCGGCTCACTTCTACCATCGCCACCAGAGGAAATAACGATTTGCCGTTCTTATTCCCCAGAAACCACAGGACCTTCTTTCATCGAGACGCCTAGTGGTACATATTCAAGCTCACAGCAAACTTACGACCAAGATTCTCAGCTATCACACATACCATCAGCTCAGCCCTACGGATACACACCCCTTGGCTACTCTCCGCCCCCGATGTCTTCTCCAAGTTTACTCCCGTCCCCGCCAATGACACAATCCACAGAGGAAGGATTCCGCTCATATCAGCCGCCTATGTCCCCCACATTCTCAGCCTCTTCCCGCCGCTACTCCTCACTGACAGGTCGCCGTCTGCCCGATGACTCGGCTATATCAGACTCAAGATTAGACGACCTTCCGGAATCAGAGCTGTTTGACTCGGTTCTCGAGGGGATTGGACGCATTCATGTTTCAATGGGTCGGGATGATGCAGGCAGGTGGCGAATACAACGGGCCACTGACGAGAGACCATAGAATATTCTCAACTCTACATCCCTATTAAATTTTCGGTATGGTGCAGGTACCAATTCGTGCCCCTGGGCATGTCAGGACGGACACAAATATAAAGTTGGGGCGATGTTGAAGATCGGCACTCGAAATCCAATCATGGTTTTGTGTGCCGGCATAAAAATTGAGGGTCCAGCGTAATTCGGCAAATGGACTTTCAAAAATTCAATGTTCATCACACAGTGTTTCTCCAAAATCGCATATGAATTCGGGATCGAGATTCAAACATTACTCAATACTGATCTGCAGAGATACATCGTTCTAGACCTTGCATTTTTCAGGCAACTGATCTCCGCGGAACATAAGCTCCTCTCAAATAGGATCTGAGTATCAGACACTTGTCACATCCTGCAACGCGGCCTTTGCGAATTCGAGAATAAAAATCGCTTTACCCAATGAACTTCATGGGAGAACCTCCGTTGATATTTGATATACAGACACACCCTTGCCACGTATTGAAATAATTCCTAGACTTGATGATTAAAAACAAAAAAGTACCGCACCACCGCCACCAGGGTCTTGTGAAGAAATCTAGACCCTTTGTAATCTCTGCCAACCATAAGAAAATCTCTTCGCCATAAACTTGTCAAACATTGAACCCTTATTGGATTATCTCGCACTTCAGCCACCGTCCAATTGCACCTGAGCCTCGTTGTCCAGTAACTTCTGCGCCGCCATCCAAGTTTCAGCATCGCCCGGGCTGATATCTCGTTCTGTCGTGTGAGCCTGCAAGGTATTCTCCGGGCCATCGGTCAAGCCGTCGAGACATCTCTGTATCCGCGTAGAAACAATCCTACAGTCTTCCGATCCTGAACTGTCACTCTCATATCGATCGGCATTCTCCAAGAACGCAGCGTTGTCTTTTTCTGCATGCTCCAAATACTTTGATCCAGCAAGCGTTTTTCCTGTGGCGACCTGTCCGTCGGCAGCTCCTCCGGCCACTTGTATTCCTTTCAGTCGTGCTATGAATCGTTCAAATACTTTGATCCTCCGCTCTGCGCTTTCGGCTCTCTCCTTCCACATCTGTGCCTCTCTCTTGGCTTCTCGTAGTTGTTGACTCAATGTACCAATATCCGCGTCTTCTTGTACATCAAGCTGCCTTCTTAATTGATTTGCTTCTTCCGTCTTGAGGTCTAATCGCCGCTGAAGTCTTCGAATCTGTGTATGGAGAGTGGTGGTACTTCCAGGGCGTTGAATAGGATTTGCAGTGTTGTAAGGAACCATCAGTGCATCAGTGTCTTGGGTATTGATTGCAGAAGGCGGTCGCACAAAATTGAGATGCTGGGCAATAGGGGGCTGTTCGGGATACGGCATCATTGTACCAAGGCTTCCAGGATTCTTGAGTGACGGTTCTATACCGTTTTCTGCTGGGACTGGTTTTCTTCGTGGCATTGTTTGCCGTAGAGTCAAGACTTCCGGTTGTCCCTGAAAGCTTTGCGAAAGCTTTCTCTCCTTGTCTGCCTGCTGGATTTCAATTGCCTTTATCGCTGCTTCTTCCCCAATGGAGACTCGCAAATCTTGTCCACTGATCACATCGTCAACTGTATTTGTAGTGGCTGACGGGTTGCGAGAGTTCACCTTCTGATTTACTGGATCATGCGGCATGCTGTGTCGACCCGAGACCGAGACTGATTGAGACCGTACGCTCCTCGTTGGTGATTTTTGGGAGAACTGAGAGATGAGAGCTTGAGTTTTACTGGCGCTACTTGGCGGTGTCGGAGACCTTTCAATCGATCTACCACCTTCGAACTTGGCAGCCAACGCCCTGACCCCTCGGCGGTTTTCAGTTGGTGATATGCTTGGTCGCTTCAACACTCCTTGGTTTCTCTTGGGTATGGAAAACCATGGGGTTGATTCGTCGTAAAGAGACTCAGTTTTGGGCGTTTCTGCCGGCATGGACACAACCCGACTAGCGGACCGACGTGCAAAAGTCTCAGGAGTTTGGTGGTTCTGTATGTTGCTTTCTTTAGACTCTGGGGTTTGTTGAATTCCGCTTTTCGTCTGTGACCCTCCTGATGCGCCAGAAGGGACTTGCTATGTCGCTACGTGGCTCTCGGGGGATTGTGGCTTCATCGGGAGATTCTCTCCTGCAATTGTTGATGGCACCCGCATAGGCGCGTAAAATTGTCTTGGTGTTGTTGAAGCAGAATTTGCCGAGGAGTTGTTATGAGTCCCTTTCTGACCACCCCAACTGATAGTATACTCATTTTCCCCGTCCGGTTTGTCCAGAGGATTTTGTTGTATATCAGGTCCCAGGCCGAGGGTTGATGCTGGTGTATTATGATTGCTGCCAGTATTGATCGATGGATGCTTGTTCTGTTCCGAAGAGTCCAATTCTCTGAGCTCATCGAAATGCGCTTTGAGGACGGCTTCTAACGCTTCCTTCTCGGAAGGAAACTCAAGCTGGGTCGTTTGGGAAAGTATGTCTGTCAAAGTATCGGAAGACCTCGCAACAGACTCTGGCCAATCAACCGTAATGGAATGACGGTGTGTCTTTTCGGGGTTGCCTTTTCCTGGATGCTTCTTTCTAATCGCACCCTTGCGTTCAATGGATACGGGGTCTGCAGTGGTTGTTACCCCCAACATGTCTTGCGCGTCGACACTGGCTCGATGCAAAGGGATTGATCGCTTGGAAGATGTGCGAGGCGGAACGTCTTCCTCTGAAACCCTTGGGCTATGGTGGTATATGGCTCTGTTGTTTCTCATGACTGAGGTAGGTGTCGAGGCGATGTAGGACTCACTGTCTTTCCCTGGTTCAACACTGCGGTTGTGACCGGAGTATGTCAAGTCGTTGTGAAAATCTTGCCTATCCCTCGGAGTCATCTGAAGGCCATAACTCCCCCCGGCGACGCTATATCTCTTGTAGTTTTGGGCACCCTGCAGGCCCTCTTCATCGTGAATGCTCTCCTCCACTGTTGGACTCAGACACCCTACACTGGGTCTTATCCCAAGCTTTCGGGATGTCGAGCTCCCACGGTTCTTCGATCGGTGTTTCGTCATCCCCAGGGTAGGTGTAGGTGGCTCCGGGCTGCTTTCTCTCGTGATCTCATCTCCCGCCTGGTCACGCCATTCCCGATCCCAACCTTGTGGCTTTTTGATAACGAACTTGTTCTCCTGGGAATTAATCATGGGGCTCATGGTCCGTGGCTCGTGTTGTCGATTCATGCCCAGGGATTTCATCTGACGCACAATGTCTCTCCAATTGACTATGAGCATTTCTGTGATGGCATTGGCGACGAGAATCTTGTCCATTGTGGGAGGGCCTGGTAGTTCATCAAGTGTCTTCCGTACACGTCGATCTTGTCGCGACTTTGGAGATCTCAATGGGAGCACCAGTAAGCCTGCCTTGGGTGTGGCCAATTTCATGGAGTAAAGCCCGAGTAAGTCGCCTAGGAGGAGAGGCCCAAAGACTATACCCAGTGCATTGTAACCCATCAAATCTCCAGTTGGTAGTGGTCTTCCTTCTTCGTCTTCCCGAGGGGTGATCTCTGCTACTCTCCCAATGAGGCTGAGAAGTCCAAAAACGGCGCAAATCAATTCCCTTCGGAACTGCGACTCTACAGTTGCGATAGCCAAGGCAATGAGTCGGGCCCGTACTTTGGTGTGCTTGGTACGAGGGAACTCAGGGTCACCTTGCAGTTGGGAATGGATTGCAACGAAAGCGTCGAAAAGAGATAGGGAGCCGAGTATCCCACCAGGAATTACCGAGAGAAGCCGCTTAAAGGTTGATGCGACATCATGTACAGAAGCCTGAATGTGCATAGGCAAGTTTGCGCATCGAACAGTGGTACTCGTAATGTCGACTTGGCCGTATTCCGTGGAGCAGTAATAGTCGAAAAGCATGTTGACTACTCGGATGGACCCTGGTATACGAAATATCCCTCGAGTAGTGACATGCTGAGCGATGTGATGTGCAGTAGCTCGAAGACAGGTAGGAAGTATGAGGGCAGACGGTGCGTGTTCAACTGGGAGATAGAACATACTCTTGCCGCTTATCCGTATCATGGACTGAAGATCGATCATCTTTGGAGTTTCGCGCCGATGTACTAAATTGTGGGCAAGATCTGATACGCTGCGTTTGTGACGAGGTCCTTGAGTTGGCGGTAATGTGTCCGGCCCGTTTTGATTCGAGGAGTATCGTAGTATGCGGTAAAGCCATCCTTGCTTCCGAGGACTGTCAAGTCCTTTGGCCTAATCTTGTCAGGAGCTGTGTTGAGATAACAAAAGACACTTACTCGAAAGTCAAAGTCATCAATCACCAATATTCTCACTCCATTCTAGGATGGTTAGTTTGACTGAAAGCTCGCTCTTTCACAAGCAACCTCACCTTTTTTGCCAAACGGTTGTATTCCTGGACAAAACCTGCCCTATCATCCAATTCATCAGTATCATTAAGAATGTTGTGATCGCCGCTGCTGTTCGTCCACGTTTTGCTGGTATATGCAGGCCCCTGGTGAGCTGTATGCCGTATTGTAGCTTGTAAAGACAAGTTACTCCGGGACGGCGCGAGGCGATGCTGAGGAATATTCCTGGGCGCAGAGTAATGACCCAGAGATGCTGGGTGATAATAGTTATCCATCGACAAGGAGTTGGTGTAGTTGATGCGAATTAATAGAAGATTCCGATAGTATCCATCCGTTAATGAAATGCGGCTGTCTCAAAAAAAAAAAAAACTGCCTAAAAGCAAGAGATGATGGAGTTGATGTGTTGTAACTCTTTACGTATCGCAGAGGCGTCGTATGTATTGAAACGATAAATGATTCATTGCGTTTTGCGGAAGGGTTTGGCGGCAACAGAGAAGTTGGGAAGGTGCTGGTTGATTGAAGCGTTACGACAAGAGCGGAGGTTGTGGCAGTGATTGCAGGTGGCAGCAAATATGGCACAAAATAGTTTGGAGCCACAGGACAAAAGCAATGAAATACAAGTCACACAGCAGCTTACAGACAGACGAGTGACGATGAATAAAAAGCAGTAAAGGTTGGTCTATCAGAATGATAGGTTGTGAAACTGACCTACAAAACAAACCCAAGTAAAATATGGGGATGGAATACTGAAATAGATCAAGATAATGTGGATAGAACCAATGTCGTCAGAGTGCAGCAAGCAGTAGTATCAAGTTTGTCTGTCATCCATCATGTCGTCCAACTGAGACCTGACCAATCCCACTCAAATATTGAAAGCCACCCAGTTCCCGAAGCCGAAAAAGCGTCCATCGCTGTGACACTGGACGTCCAAAGAAGTCATCTTCTCTGAGACAAGCTGCATCATGCATGCATACCTTACCAACGGTCTATAGCGAAAGACATATGCAACATAGTGATATTCTTTCCACGGAAACTCCCCTTGCGCCAGTTTATATGCTTGCCTCCCTGTCCCTGATCGTAGACGGCATGCAATCATTATGAATCATTTGGTCCCCTCAAGCCCAGTTGCTTGTGTCCTCCACTCCGTACAACAAAACATACTTGAGAATATCTGAAAGGGAGATGATGCCCTTGAGCTTGTTGTCGTCGTCGACCACTATCAGACGGTGAACTCTGCTCTTGCGGACAGTGTCAAAGATGGAATCCAGGCGATCGCCTTCACTGCATGTGTAAATGCCTGGACTCTCATCGGATCTCTTGCACAGCGCCTCTCCGACAGAGCCATCCAGATCTTCGTAGGCGCCGCCTTTGATACAAGGAATGACATCCACCGCTTCAAACACATTCAGCACTCGGCCGTGTGAATCGATGATCGGGACACAGCTGATGTTATATTTGACCATGAGATGAACGACGTCAAGGACCGAGCTGCCCATTTTGGCTGTAGCGATGCCTGTGTATGTGCCGAGACCAATCTCCCGGACGGTCTTTTTCAGCAGTACTGTGTTGTGTTCGTTGTTGACCGCGATAAACTTGAGGATACGATATTGAGTAATGACCGAAACAACCATCTCCTTGTTGGTCTCGCTGTCGACATCTACAAGCGGGATTCGTCGCGCGCGGGTCTTGAGCATGCGTCGGCATGCCTCGTAGAGCGGCTTCGAAGGATGAACCGAAACTGTCTCGATGGGTATCGCGCCAATCGACTTTTCAATATCTGGCTACTGTTAGCGATGAAGGCGTCGAGAAGAATATGACCAACTTCTTAAACTACTTAGCCGGAATTGATCGAGTTTATGGAACTCGTCAGGAAACTGGCAATAGTACTGGATAACATTGATGAAATCGGTGCTCGTAAGAATGCCGGCGAATCTGGAGGTTTTGGAGTTCCATAGAGGAGCCGATACTATCGCTGTAGAAAGTTTTAGCATCGGTCAAAACTGCAGGTGGGGTGACGCACAGTTCTGTGTTAGTATGTTGATCGCTTTTTTTATGAGGAGTTCGTTATCGAGGACGATGAGTCGGAACGAGAGTGGCAGAACATCGTAGCTAGTGCGCACTTTGAGGAAATCGCGAATAGCATTCTACAGCAACATTAGCTCAGCTCAAGATATCTTCAACCGGATGCGCGCGTGCCCCACGTCGATCTGTACGGACGGAGGGATGCGACGAGACAAGTGCTCGAAAAGACAGGCAAATGACGGTACATACCAGACCCTGCAACTGATCTCTGTCCAGAGGACTCAGAGGTTTCGGCTCGGTAGGTGCCATTGGGCTCCGAATGGAAGTCCTGCGTCGAAGGTAGGATGACGGAGCGACAAAATGAGGGACATGGACATGACCGGCGGCTGAAGTGGAGTTCGAGGGGCCAGTGGAGGTTGATGCAGCCCGCCTGCGTGGAGTTATCAAAGCCGGTCCTGTCACGACTCCAACTCCAGCTGGAGGTGCTGTGGCGTCTGTGCCTTGAGGTGGTGCTGACGTTGTGGTCGAAGCGCTTTCGGCTGCTGTACCAGTCATGCCAGGTACTGTGCTGGTGCTGGGGGCATCAGTTTCGACGCGGGGCAGCTCGCCTACAGTATCGTCACCGTCTGCATCACCAGTTGAAGATTCGGTCGAAGGCTGTTGTGGTTCGGTTTCGGTCTGGGATTCTATCCATGATTTGACTTGTTCTTGTGCCGGATCTTCGGGTTGAGGTTCTTCTGTCTTGAGTTCGCCTTGGGTTCCCAGAGGTTCGCTTGGTAGAATGATATCTGCTGGTGCTGGTGCATTTGCTTCGGTTTCGAGAGGCTGATCCCCTCGTACGGGCTCGGGTTCTGGATTTCCCTCCATTCCAACCAAGTCCTATATCTTGCTTGATGTTGCACAGTAGAACGCGACAGTAAATCAATCACACCTCGAGTATTTGGATAATTCGTAGGTTGGGAAATCGTAAATGATCAAATGCTGCACAATTGTCAATGGCTAGAAGAGAAAGAGCAGTGAGCTGAGCTGTGGCGCATTACTGATGGTAGAAACGCCGATGATGACAAAAGGTAGGCAGAGAAAATAGGAATAGAGCGACAACAAGCTCTGAAAATGGTCAGTAAAAATAAACTGATAAATTTGGTGATTGTTCCATATCAATAAAGACGCAGTTTGCTTGATAAAACGTGGGAGAAGACACAGTCGGAGTGCAAGGAGGGAAAATAGTGCTCAAATTGACCATCACTGACAATCGCCCGGTAATCGGTCGGGCATTTGACAGACAGCCTGCTTCGGCTGTTATAAATGATAAGAGAACCACCTACAATACAGTTTGCCCAACAAAAGTCCAGCATTACTGTTACTGTACAGCGGGCAGACGCTACAGTTCAGTACTCCATACCGCTGGCCAACATGGGATCTGAACGGACCCTTGACACTACACAGGCGGAGTACAACCAACAGCGTCATGGGCAGATCGACGATGAACTTTGCGTCTTGGCATGATTCAGCCGTTTTACAGTTGTTGATGATCTCCGAGCCTCAGGATTGGTCCGCGTCATTGACCTTTTCAGTAACATATCGTCTTTTGTTGTAGTTTGTGACAATGAACAGTCTTGTGATGATGTGAGTGTCAATTTGACTGCTTCACCATGATATCCAAAATCCCGCAACCCTTCTTGGCTCGTTATGTGTTTATGACCAGGGATTTTTGGTGAGACAGGGCTTGGAGGGATGGATCACAATCCAATCTTTAAGCCGCACAATGTCCATATCAGTAGTCTGCATGTCTTGGATCTTCATTCCTCATAATCACGTCGTGTGTGTTACTGTGACCACACTTATGAGGAGTGATTTCAAGGGTCCAGGATAAGATACTCCGACCATAACCAGCGATGTCTCAGATAACATTCGATCTTTGTAGACACCAACGAAGGAAAGATCACATATTCTGGTAATGAGTAGTTTGTCAAAAAGTACGCTAGCTCCATCACAACTTTTTCATGGCATCAGAGGATTGGAGACGGTACAGGGTAGATTGTCCGTGACGACTTCAAGTAAATTTGTGCTAAACAGAACGATGATGTCGACTAGACCCTTTCTATAGGTCGGCAAATAATCACTTACATGTGAGAATTGTATGGATTCAGCCATTGTCAGATGGTACAAAGAAGAGACGGCTCTCTGATTCCCAGGTGTTGAGTTGAATAAAATCGAAAGTGTGCCGTGTGTACAACTTCACTATCGGATTGACATCCTAATGAGTTGATATGGATAACTGTGATCTGATATGTTTGTCACATGTGAGTACCAGAGTCCAAAGATAATCCAATAGAGTCATGGATCAGGTAAAGACCAAGGGCGCTCAATGAACTCACCGAGGTAATCAGGGTTGTTTTCAATGCATGTTCATACGACAACATCTGGCTTGCATCAACTTATCTCCATAGACTTTGTAACATGGTTCACCGTTCTTGATGAGGCGCTTGAATGAATGGACAATGACAGTTCAGACTTGGCCCGAGCTCCTCTAAAACTCCACAGAAGCTGGGTTCATTAGAGGTGGACCACTATAACAGCTGTCGGGCTAGCGACGACTCACTAAAGAATCAAAACAACAGCGCACGTATCCGCCAAGGTATCCCTGGCGGACCCTGCTTGTGGCGGATGACCTCGAACTAAATGAAGTCACTTTATGCGAGAACTCATAAAAGACTTTTCAATCCATAGACACAAGGTGTAGTCTAAAGTATCTTCAAGTATCTTATCATCCCGTTCTTTCCTTAGCTCAGGCCTGACCTCAGGCAGCTTGACTTTTAAGCTGTAGAAGGTCCTACCCGAGCTACGGCGCTTTGCTTCTTTTTGGCGCGCGTCCATCTTGATCCCCATTCTTTCCCTCGCCAACCAACTGTGAGGCCAAGGATCAACTCCCCCTCGGATTCATCTCTCACCTCCAATTCATCCGCAATCTATATTTCCCTTCACCGTCCCGCGCTCTTGACACTATCGTCGTGTCGATAATTGGCGTTGGTTGTCTCTGTCGTCGGTCATCTCCTCCGTCGCACAGCTCGACTCTTATTGTTTTTGTGCTTGTTTGAATCAGCCAACCGAGTCCGCGACAATTATAATCGATTTAATCCCTGTTATCGTGACGCACCGACAGAACGACAGTTTCGTCAACAACCGAGCCCTGACCGACTCTCCATCAAACTTCGAGTTTCCAACTATTTCCAAGCCGTCACCTTTATCGGCCAACGACAAACTTCCATCACCAAAGACTGCTCTTTGTTCCGGCCATGGGTATATGCAGCTCTACGTGCTGCGGAGGTACGCATGCTCCATTATATTTATGATAACCTGCGATGGATCTGACTGTTGTCTAGGTCGAGTCCGCGATGGCTTGTACGAACCCGTCCTCGCCGATAGCGAACGAGAGGCTGTAGCCGACCTCTTGCAATACCTCGAAAATGTACATAACCTGCGATGCTTATTGAGATGGTTGCTGACATTTCGATAGCGCGGCGAAACTGACTTCTTCTCTGGCGAACCGTTGCGCGCTCTGAGTACCTTGGTATTCTCGGAAAACATCGATCTTCAACGAAGTGCTAGTTTAACTTTTGCTGAGATCACTGAACGAGGTATGTATCAGGCATGAGTATGCATGTAATCTTGGCCTACTAACGGTTAAAGATGTCCGAGAAGTTGACCGCGACACACTCGAGCCTATTCTATTCCTCCTCCAGAGCCCCGATATCGAGGTTCAGCGAGCGGCCAGCGCTGCGCTTGGCAACCTGGCTGTCGACAGTACGTGCCTCTCAATATTTCTAACACGGCAACTAACAGTCTGTAGCCGAGAACAAAGTCCTCATTGTGCAACTTGGTGGATTAACACCTTTAATCCGCCAAATGATGTCTCCCAATGTCGAGGTCCAGTGCAATGCTGTGGGATGTATCACCAACCTGGCTACACATGAAGAGAACAAGGCAAAGATTGCCCGCTCCGGAGCTCTGGGTCCTCTGACAAGACTTGCCAAGTCTCGAGATATGCGAGTTCAGCGAAATGCTACTGGCGCTTTGCTGAACATGACGCATTCCGGTATGTTGCATGATCCCGAATGTATGCTAGTGCTAACAAGAGTAGATGAGAATCGACAGCAACTCGTCAACGCAGGAGCTATTCCTGTACTTGTCCAGCTCCTTTCTTCACCCGATGTCGACGTTCAGTACTACTGCACTACAGCCCTCAGCAACATTGCAGTCGATGCAAGCAACCGACGAAAGCTGGCTCAAAGCGAACCCAAACTGGTCCAATCTTTGGTCAACCTCATGGACTCGACCTCACCAAAGGTTCAATGTCAAGCAGCCCTCGCCCTCCGCAACCTCGCTTCAGACGAGAAGTACCAGCTCGACATCGTCCGTGCTAATGGACTGCACCCTCTTCTTCGACTTCTTCAATCCTCTTATCTGCCGCTTATTCTTTCTGCTGTTGCCTGTATACGAAACATTTCTATCCACCCTCTTAACGAGTCACCTATCATCGAGACCAACTTCCTCAAGCCCCTTGTCGACCTCCTCGGATCCACTGATAACGAAGAGATTCAGTGTCACGCCATTTCAACACTCCGAAATCTTGCTGCTAGCTCCGATCGCAACAAGGCTCTTGTTCTGGACGCTGGTGCTGTGCAAAAGTGCAAGCAGCTGGTTCTTGACGTTCCCATCACTGTTCAATCCGAAATGACAGCCGCTATTGCGGTCCTGGCTCTTAGCGACGATCTGAAGTCACACCTGTTGAACCTGGGAGTCTGTGGTGTTCTAATTCCTCTTACTCATTCTCCGAGCATCGAAGTCCAAGGAAACAGTGCTGCTGCCTTAGGCAACCTATCCTCCAAGGGTAAGTCAAGCCAGCCAATCTATAAATATAAGCTAACAAAAACAGTCGGCGACTACTCCATCTTTGTGCAGAACTGGCTCGAACCTCAGGGTGGAATCCACGGATATCTATGCCGTTTCTTGCAGTCTGGCGATGCGACATTCCAGCACATTGCAGTCTGGACACTCCTGCAGCTCTTCGAGTCCGAGGATAAGACCCTGATCGGGCTCATCGGAAAGGCTGAGGATATCATCGAGCACATTCGAAGCATCGCAAACCGCCAGATCGAACCCGACAATGAATTTGAAGACGAGGATGAGGGCGAAGTTGTCAACTTGGCCCAACGTTGCCTGGAGCTTCTCGGACAGAGCATGTCCAAGGCTCATATCGAGGGCTAAACTCATAAACTACGTCTCTTGAGGTGGGTGCTCTTTTTCAACTCAAAAGCGAAAGCGTTATGGGGCTGGATGATACGACATGGTGTTGGGCGTCTTTACATATTTAAGAATGATTGGTTCTCCGGTGGCGGGTTGTTTCTTTACACGGCTTGCATTGCCCTTTCAGAGGGCTTGTTTTAACATTGTTTTTCATTGTGGTTATGGTGTTTGACGCATGGTGTACGAGAATGGACGCTGGGACGTGTTGTCCAAGAGGACGGCATTTGTTTCATTTTGTTTGATGAAGTTTATGCGGCGGATATCCGCTAGATCACTTACTGGGAATTAAATTTGGCGAGAGCAGATGTAATTAGACGAGCAGTTGTGAGTTTCTATACCCAGATAAGAGATTGCATGCATATCAAGTTTGACTTTCTGAACGATTGTGGATGTTAATCCAGCTCATCAACCTTTTCTAACCCAGTCTTCATCCACTGGCGCTCATTCCAGGGTAGAATTTTGGCGATAGTGGTGCCGGAGATGAGAGCCAAAGGTAAAGGGCCAAAGTGACGCGAATCTCTTGAGGCTGGAAGGTTATCTCCTGAAATCCAACAATGGCCCTCGGGGATCTGAAATGTCAGTATGCTGTGAGATTGTTTATGGGGATAAATACCTGAATCATCAAGTCTTCTCCTTGTTCGCCTGGAGTTCCAACAGAGACATAGTCTCCTGGCATGCCAATCACGCGCTTCACTCCCCATTGATTGTTGAAAATGGGAATGCGGTAGACAACCAAATCGCCCACAGAAACACCGCGACCATACCGACGTGTATGATCACACAATATCCAGTCACCGTCAACCGTAAAGGTTGGTAGCATAGATGGCCCTTGAGCGGGACTGATGGTGTAACCGTAGGTGATGCCAAGATGGACGAGACAAGCAGCTTTGACAAAAGATACAGTCGTTCGTACTGGATGACGGGCAAAATGGAAAGAGGCCATCATGAAGTGCCCATTAGGCAGCTTGAATGAGAAAATGGAGGTATTGCAACGAAGCCATCCATTTATATGCCGGACTGCATGGATGGTATTGAGAGTGCTTCCAAGTGTCTGGTGAGATTCGGTTGTCATTGGATATCGCCCTTACAGTAGTGCCCCGTAGTGACGTTTCTGCCAAAACCAACCGCCCGGCACCTCCAATCGAGAGGGACAAGATCAGTTAGTTAACAAATTCAACATTGAAGCCATTGTCGGCAGTGTCACTCTTTTGCAGCTCTGCAAAGACAAAACCTAATATTATTGGGCACCATTCTAAAAATGAGCAGCTTCGCATGCCTCCAAAGTTCCCGTCGGGCTCTGTATCGAGTCTTTATCGAGCGCGAAGCTCTTACACTCCAATTCATCAAACCAACACAACGAATACTACCATTATACCAGAATCGTCGATTCTCTGTGTCACCACTACAATTGAAGGGAAAGGCTCGCCGAGGAAAAGATGTTCTGGATGATTTGGAGACGGAACCCGATGAGGATGAAGCCAGAGCCTTTGATCGACGCTACACCACCCAGGAAGATTTCATCAAATCCGGCCGCGACCGTCTCCCTATAGATTTCGAGATAACGGATCCCAAAATCATGGTTCTTGACAATGGCGTCCTCGACGGACCCAAGATTACGCGCAACGTCATGAGCCGCATCGACACTTCTACCGATTCCCTCCGAATGGCAACTCCCTACATCCCCGCCGATCCTAAAAACAACAAGCCAGCACAATATGCGCTATGCAAGATCGTCAACAAGAGGGAAGAATACGAAAGACAGCGAGAGCTCCAACAGCGTCGTCGTGTGTCTAAGCAGACTTCAACAAAGAACAAGGAAATTGAGATGAGTTGGGCAATCGACGATAACGATCTCAAAATCAAGACGAGGCAGCTCATCAGTTTCCTCAGCAAGGGCTGGAAAGTGGAACTCATTTTGGGATTCAAGAAGAAGGGCCAGAAGAAGAGGACTTCTGAGGATACAGCCGAAGAAACATACGGTAAAGTGCAACAGCTCGTAAAGGAGCTTGGTTCAAAAGAGCACAAACCGAGTGAAGGAGAGGTTGGCCGCACTATGAGGTTTTACCTCGAAGGTATTTACAAGGAGTTGAATACCGAGCTACAAGCAGAGGCTGCTAAACAACCACCCGCAACTGAAGTGGAGCAGCAGCAGCAGCAGCAAAAGGATAGTCCTGTGCAGAAGGAAGCATAAATGTTCAACATGTATCAATAGCATCTGGGTATCTACCAGAAGGCAAAGTTCTAGCCGAAATGTAAAACAGAGAAAATATCATCAGCCGGTTGTCGTATCCCGGACATAAACCCGAATTTTGGACACCAAAACTCCAACCCAATCCTGATCCCTTACAAGATCTCATCACCATCCTCATCTGCTTGAACAGGAGCAGGAGCACTGTCCTCCGTCACAGGCGCGCCATCCATCTTCTCATCCAACTCGATTCCACTCTTCTTAGGTTGCTCCTCATCACCAGACTCCTCGGCTTCCTCAGCAGCCTTTTCGGCTTCCTCAGCAGCCCTCTCAGCCTCTTCAGCAGCCTTGTTAATCTCCTCCCAGTTCTTAGCACGAAACTGAACAGTTCTTCCCCGACCTTTACTCTTTTCAATTTTATTCTGCGTGCGCTCCGCAACAGCAGCAGCCATCTCAAGACCCTTTTCATGTCTCTGTCTCGCCTTGGCAGACATTTTATCCTTGCGACCGCGCTTGGCCTTTTTTGAAATGCCGGCTGAGTGCTGCGCTGCTAAAACAGAAGGACGATGGGGGGCATCGCGAGGAGGAGGTTGGACTTCTTTTAGGGATTTGTCGGTGTTGATGTCAATGTCTGTTGCGCGACGAGCGGCGCGGGAGTGAATTGAAGGTGCTGTACATGTTAGATTTGGAAGTTTAAGGGGTATGATGGGGAACGTACCCTTCTTTTTAGCCATTTTGTCGGTTGTGTTTGGATTGTTTGAGAATGGGATGTTGAATCTGCAACTTTCGGCTTGGTGGGGGATAGGAATTTTTGATACCCCACAAAGATAAGCTGACCGAGGCTTCACCGAACTCACCGAGATTGACGTAAGAGCTTAAGCATAACTGGGTGCATAAGTAACACTTATCATTCGAAATATGATACCTGGACTCTGGATTTTTATCAAAATGAAACTGCTGTATTTAATAGTTACAATTTCTTGTATTATTGCATTGTGTGTCTGCTGAAATACAAAACGACCCCTGTAATATTGTGATTGCTACTTCTGTCATATAACGCCTTGAGACTTCGATAAGCTATGATAATTTCCATGGAAGGTCTGCTGAAGTAGAACAAAATGTTATAAGAAAATTATTCGCTTATGTTATTGCAATAAGCATATATTTATGTATTTATCTTTTGAACTCACAGAAAATTTAGTTGACATTACTTATGTGTCTCAGTTAATTGTAGTTAACCTCCAAACACGCCTACAGGGTATCATACCGCCCAGCGGCTTCCATATAACCAGCCATGTCTCAACTTCCCTCGTACAACTACTTTACTTGATCATCAACATTCTACGACCTAATATAAAACCCGTTAATAAATACAACAAAAACTCACAGGATACGACCAACTGAGGCCAAGAATATGCAGAACACAACCTAGCATCAACCAGTCTACAACGTTCAGGGACCCTCACCAGGTGACACACTAGCAATGCTCCCCATCACAACCTGCTTCGTTGCAGGATTACAGTACCTTCTTCATCCTACGAAATTGGTAAGGTCAAAACATCTATAACTCTCACACATTCTAACGCGTCTAGGGAACCATCCAAGAAACCATCAACCCGGATGCTCTCATTCCGGTTACGCTGCTCACCACAGACGAAATCTTTGGTGACCTCGAAGGTGTTTTGAACCTATTCGATAATGTTGATGATGTCTTCGTTCCAGATTTTGGATCCATTCTCGTGGAAAAGACTGGAAGCAATAGTAGCCGTGTTCAAAACGCGCGACAAGTCTACCACATGGACTTGATCAAGACCCTAGAGGGCTTCTCCGAACTACCATCAGGTCCCTACTTTCTTCATGGTCCGAATCTTCACCAAGCATGGAGGTTGCATGATGATGAATTTGGAGCTTTTACCTTTGGTGTTATTCCGGATGATTCTGATAAACCAGACGAGTGTGTTATTTTTTTTCGCATACTGTACTACCTGCTAACCAATTTAGATACCAACCTCTCACTTCGTCTTCTGTGCAAGGAGATTCAGTGACAATCCCTGTTCCTTCTAGACTCTACTATCCTCAACCCTCTCTCCGAAAACCCTTGTCTGGTGTTCGTGTCTCTATAGGTGACACGATTTCTCTAAAAGGCACACACACTACTTTTTCCAGCCGCGCATGGAGGTCTCTCTACAAGGATCCATCAAGTTTTACAGCTAATTACGCCCAAGAACTTCTGGAACAAGGGGCGGTTATTGTTGGAAAGACTAAGACAGCACAATTTGGGACAGGCGCAGAATGGGTTGACCAGCAGGCTCCATGGAACGCAAGAGGAGATGGCTATCATAAGATGCAGGGTAGCTCTGTCGGTGCTGCATCAGCGTTGGTCGGATACGAATGGCTGGATCATAGCGTTGGGGTAGATGGTAAGTCATGGCAGGGCAAGATTGCACAGGATCTAACAATTGCAGATGGTCGAGTCGTAACCGAGAACGGCGTTTATTCATTGATCCGGCCAGCAAACGGATCATCAGATGGCGTCAAGACAATCTCCAAGTAAGTATTGTCGGTTCTCAATGAACCATACTGACGACTTCAGATTCGATGGAATGAGGTTCTTTAGTCGGAGTTTGAAGGGACTGCTTGATCACGCACCAAGTCCTAAAATCGAGTCAAAGGGGGACAGGTTTGCCCCAAAGGTCATTATTCCTATAGACTTGTCTTTACCTGAAGAGACGCAGAAGACAGCCATCGACAAATTTGTGTCAATCCTCCAAGGTCTTTTGGATACCAAAGCCGAACATATCGATATCAGCAAGGCATGGGAGGAAAATTCCCCAGTCGAAGCATCAAAGGATGGGATGCAGTCATACATGAGCCAGGTAAGTTGCCAATCGGGTAAGAAAGATGTTGCTAACATACAAGGCACCTTTCCGATCATGGTGTTACGACTACTACCATAACTTTGATGAATTCAGAGACGAGTACCAGGAAAAGTTCCACAAAGAACCCTTCGTTGAGACTACGCCGCAATTCTTCTGGTTTGTCTTGAAATCACATCATCGCCAATTACTAACTTGTCCAGGGAACGATGCAAGTCCGTAACGGAAGAGGAACACCGCGAAGACACAGAACGGCTCGAGATATACCGAAAGTGGTTTTACGATAACGTCATGAACATCTCAACTACTCCCGATACCAAGGCTCCCATTCTAGTTCTTCCATGCGGTGACGTTCAAGTCAAACATCGGAACGAGCCTGTGGCGTATGTGCATTACCTTGTTAACCTTGCATCAGTTGGCTGACGTTCTTATTAGTCCACCAACCATTTACAAAGGCGTTGATTCCACAACATTAGCGCCCGTATTGGGTGCAAGTATTTTGTCTTTTCCCTGTAAGTTGTCCTGGAATGAAGACGAGGAGGAAAGTTGACCGTTGTTAGTTACACAAGTATCCTACAAATCTGACATTACTGGCACGACTGAGTATCAGTCGGTTTGCATCTCGGTCTTGAGTGTTGAAGATGATCAAACATCACTTATTCAACTGGTCGAGAAAGCCTTACGGAAAGGACATGTCCCGACTCAGGTGGAAGTTGGACGAATGACGTTTCCAGTCAAAAAGTCAGACCATTTCGTCAAGCACTTCCAAGCTCCCTTGTTGGTTCAAGGTGAGCTGTGAGACGATATTTCATTGTACCCAGCCACACCAGTATTGGCCAAGTAAATGCCAAGATACCAACATTCAGTCGTCTCATTCCCCCAGATATGCCTTCCCCGCGGTCTTGTTTGGTGGATCACTCCCCAGATGATGGAGCGATAGTGATATGCGGACCCTGGTATGCATGCACAGCCTCGCATGTTTATCTTAACCTTGTACCCGTATTATTGAGACGTTGGTAAAATCCCGAATACAAATTGTTACTGATTCATCATTAAATTATGCCGTCGAATTAGATATAATATGCGCTTAGGGTATTAGAAAAATTGACCGCTGGGAGCATAAAAGACGAAATTAGTAGGTCACTTTATGCTCTTTAGACTGGCTCTTAGACTATTTATTTTTGTATCCTAAGACTTAGGAGGCCATTTTTTTTACTACCCACTAGACGTGGCAACCGGGAGTGATGTGTCGACAGGGATCTACTATCAAGAGACCAGGATGCTAGTTGGGGGCCTCAGCCAAACAAGGCGAGCGGATTCAAACGTGCGGCTGAGTCTTGTTATTCATCGCTCCACTTACACTTTGATCTCATCAAGCACACATACTTAAACTGCACACTTCAGGCAATTTCTTTCTCATCTTGCCAACCTCTCATCAGAATGGCAGAACCAGCCAATACACCAGTCCCAGCTTCTACTCCACGAGCTACATCTCCCGCACCTCATCAGTCCCTCTTCTCCCAATCAGGTTCCTTCTTCTCACCAAAGTTACCGTCCAAACCAAGGGTTCTTCATATCGGAGATCCAGTCAAATACAATCCCGAAACTTTTCTCCGCTTCAGTATTCAGTGTGAGATTCTCAGACCTTCGGCTGAAGAACGTCAGCGATCAGAGTTTATCAAGGCTCTCAAAGATAAGCGATGGGGTGATTTCGATGCGATCTTTCGTCCGTTCTGGAATACGGGCGGAGAAATGGGGAAATGGGATGTTGAGTTGATTAATCTACTACCTGAGAGTGTCAAGGTGTTTGCAAGTGCAGGCGCTGGGTTTGACTGGGCTGATACGAAACTCTTGGGTGAACGAGGTGAGTAGAACTACATCTATCAGTGAATCACACTAACGAAAAAAGGAATCATTTATTGCAATTCTGGTCTCGCAGCTGCTGAAGCTGTCGCTGATTTTGCAATGGCTGCTATCATTTCTACTTTCCGTGTCCTCCCATGGTGTATCTTATCAGCCATGTCTGGAGACGAAGAAACCTTTAGTACAAACCATCGAGATGCAACAATGCAATCCCGCAATCTTCGCAACCAAGCTCTCGGACTAATCGGATTCGGCAACATCGGCCAGCAGATAGCTGCTCGTGCCCGTCACGGTTTCGGTATGGATATCCATTACTACGATATCCTCCCCAAACCTTCTTCCGTCGTTGCCCCCTTACGAGCTACACACCACGAAACCCTCAAAAGCCTTCTTGCTACATGTGACTGTGTTGTGCTATGTACACCCGCTGGAGACGGTACACTTATCAACGCAACTACACTACCACTTTTCAAGCACGGATCACGGTTCGTCAATATTGCACGCGGAAGTCTTGTGGATGAAGATGCACTGGTTGCTGCATTGCGAGATGGGACTTTGTCAAACGCTGCAATCGACGTTCATGCGAATGAACCAAAGATACACCCTGAGCTCCAGGAACTTGCTAAGCAGGGTCGTATACTTTTGACGTGCCATAATGCTGGTGGAACAGTCGATACACACAAGGGGTTTGAAGAGTTGAGCATGAGAAACATTATGGCTGTGCTCAGTGGCGGAGAGGCTATCACACCTGTGAATTTGCAGTTTATAAAGTAGAATGAGGCGTGTCACATGAGGCTACAAGAAAGGGTGAGCAATGAATAGACTACCATAATGCAACTGTCGTTAACCAAATATATACTCAAAACTCCGGCTTAAACCATCTGTGCCCAATCATTAACCAAACCCAACAGTATTTCTTATACAGAACTTTCACTCCTTGGGCTTCTTTCTAATAAGACCCGTAGGGAGAACATTCACTTCTTCCTTTGGCTTCTTCTTGACGAGACCAGCACTAAGGACATTAACCTTACTCTGGTTATCGTCAACCGTCGAATCAGTACGCTTTCTCTTGACAAGACCAGTCAAGTTGTTCACCCCGGTATTGTCATTAGAGACAGGAACAGGTGTCTCGCGTGTACCAACAACGACAACACCCCATTTACCACCTCCTCCGCCCTCACTCAACCAGCGACGAGTACTACCCACTGCTTTATTGAGTGTTGCAAAATCGAGGTGTAGCAGTAAACCTACAATGCGCTTGTAGGATGCTTCATCAAAAATCTTTTCACCACGACCTTGAGGTGCCCAAGAGTAGTATTTTGTGTTGGCGGGACGATCGAGTAGATAATTGTGCTTTGCTCGCTTGATGCGCGGGGCACGAGCGATGATGGGACCTTTGAGAGTCTTTTTGGTCTTTTTCTTAATCTTGGAATCTTTCTTCTCTTTGGAAGGGAAGAGTTTTCGAGGCGTTGTGGTTGGTGTTATTTGCACGATGCGCTGCTTCTTTGGTGTTTCTGGCGGAGCTGTTGATTGGGAATCTTCGAGTTTTGAGGCTGGTTCTTGATCATCAAAGACAAGCCAGATGAAGCCCGTCATACGGCCACTCGAGCACTCTTGCCTGTACGCCATCATTTCCCAGAACATGTCGAGTGTCTTGACACTCTTCCAACTACCCTGATTCTTCATCGCTTGCGAGCTAGCGGCTTCTTCGTCTAATTCGTCTCGGAATCTGGACTTTGGATCGTCGGGAAAATGGGGGATAAGACATCGTGGCGGTACCCAGTCGAATTCGCGATAGTAATGTGATATGCGTTCCAAGGGATGCGTAAACTCCCACGCAGAATCGGCTTTTCGCGGTGTGAGAGCTCGGGTCTCGTATGTTTCTAATCCGGGAACAACGATGTATCCATTTGCGCTCTTCCATGGTGCTTCTGCAGATTTTGGCGCTGGGCCGAGGAGGGGATCTAGCACGCGACACCACCATTTGATAAGGCCACGATCGTCGAGGACATGTTTGCCCTTGTTGTCGACACTACCGGGGAACAAGTATTGATCTTGAGCACGCGCGAACAAATTAACGACGAATTGTATACCCTTCCTCCTCCGCTTCTCGACCAGGAATCCAACAAACGTAGCGCATATTTCGCGAATAGGACTGGGTGTTCCCTTGGGAAGGTTAAGAAGGGCGAGATAACCAGTCGAGTCGGCTTTTGAAACAAACAAGGTTGTTGATCGAGCTGTAGTATATATAAAGACCTCAATTCCAAGGACTAGGACTTGTTTGCCAGGCTCGTTGGGGGCATCGATGGAAACAGCTAGGAAATGGTTTTCGCAGTATGTTCGTTCGGGACGCTCGTCTGGAGGCGGCGAGTAGAGAGGGTCTGTTTTGGTGGGAGGTGTTGAAATGTGTAAGGTTGTAAATTTGTGGTCTTTGGGAAGGACCGAAGCTAGGCGGGCGCCTAGATCGTTAGTGTTGGCCATCTTGAAGCGATGGGAGTGAGGTTCGAGATGATGGATATTTGTTGGAGCTTGTATGTTTGGGTGGTGTAGCTCCAAAGGAAGCTTTAGTGGTCGCTGGGGCAGCGGCGGGGAGATCCACAGGGGTCTTTGCAGGGGTTGAATCTTGACTTATCATGACTTGATCATTAACAAAACAATTCTTAGCCCAAATGATTAATACCAATTCCAGTCAATCGCTAAACTCCAATACCCATCTCCGAAGGTTTAGGATGATCACTCCGCCAACTCCCAACAGCCATAGCAACGTACAAAAGATTCCATCTCGGACCATCAGGAAAGCAAACAAACTCATCAATCATCATCTCCACCAAAGGTTTATACTTTGTCAAAACAGCCGCTGATCCTCTTCCCTCAATGAGAGCTTGTAACTCATCAACCTCTGAAGGTTCAAGGTACTTCATAAGATGACTTTCGACCTCTCGCGGCGTTTTCCACCATTCCAGCCCTTGGCCTTTGTCTGCGAGTTCCTGCTCCATCTTTTTGCGCAGTTCAGGTAGGACTGATTTGTACACCATTTCTGTGCCTGCGTGGGGTTGTTCGATGAATCCTTTTTGCTTGTACTCTAGACGAGCTAGGGCGAGGGAAAGCATGAATCGTCGGTCGGTGAGATGTTTGGTGTGGTTGAAGAGTCTGTCCATGGGGTTTGTGTCTGGTGGGCCGGGTCTGCCCAGCATGTTGAGCTTGTAAGTCTCCCATAGTGAAACAGTGTTTCTTGTGCATGCCCAGTATAGGGTTCCTGCAAAGGTGTAGAGGCCATCTCCGAGATATCTGCGCGCGTCTGAAGGGGCTTCAAAGATGCGAGCCAAGTGATCGGTGTCTGTCCACAGTTGTTGTGCGAGACTCAACCTTTGTGTGATGTCTTGTGCTTGTGTGTGTAAATGGATATCGGAAGACAACAGCCCGGTGATGTCAGTGGTTCCCTCGGTTATAGGATCCGAGGCTCCTGATGAGATAGAACTAGCTGGCTGGCCATTTTCGTCGCTATTGTCGTCTGATCCAACAGTTTCTCTCGCTTCTGCAAGGGCAGTCTCCAGTTCTTGATCTTTTTTGCCTCGTTTCTGTGCAAGTTTCTCTACCCTCTTGAGAGCATTTCTCAACCTCTGATTCTCGTCTTTGAGAGTATTAAACTTGGAAGCATGTCGCTTGCGATATTCTCGCTGTGCAACTCTGCTTCGCTCCCGCTTTGGCTGTTTCTCCATATTAGTTGATGCCTCTGCAGTTGATCAAGATGTGTAGTGTTATGTGTGTATGGCTGCTTTGTAATCCTCGATTGAATGGGAAAAAGGTCCACCTACGTCAGGACGATCTCCGATACTTGGCGGTGACATTGAGAGTAGGATATAACCTGACTACAGCAAGGGGCTACGAGGTCGAATTTGGAGTACTCAGGGATAATGACAAAAGTTGCAGTGTAAGTGATAACGTTGATGAACAAGTATGGAGATCTGGATAACGTTATGAAGCGTTGAGTGGGGCACGCTATGATACCATACACATACGGAGGAGGCGTACGGATTAATGAGTTGGTATTGGTCAATATGATCCTTGTCGCCTTAGTCCGTATCAGGCTATTTTCGTCTTATACAACCCAAGCGTGTAGTAGAGTATACCTTCATAGTATGGTGTATATATGGATAATAGTAGAAAGACATAAAGAAGCAAAACTGATGTTGAAGATATTGCGAGTAAGCTATTTAGTTTTTGTAAGTCGAGAACACCACGTACATGGTATGTTGCACACATGAACCCTGTCAAACTGAACCCCAGACTTGCATCTGTTGATCCGACGGTCCTTGTTAGTTAACGTGTGATAACGTTGAGATTCACGATAACTTCCGTAATGTAACCAACAAACAATAAAAATGTCGGCGGAACTGGGTGGAACTTGCGGAATAGAAAACTATATAGAAGAAGCAGAACGACACATCAAAACCCATCATTATCAACTCACTCTCACACCAAGTCAACTCAACTCAAGATGCCTTCTCCCATCCACAAGACAACATACCCAGCCATCTCCCCTCTCCGTCCTGAGCTTTCCACCAAAGGAAAGAATGCTCTCATCACAGGTGGAGGCTCAGGTATTGGCGCCAGCATCGCAAAGTCCTTTGCAAAGTCAGGCGTAACCAACTTGGCTCTTCTCGGCCGCACAGGCAAAACACTCCTCGCAAACAAGGCCGAGATAGAAGAAAAACATCCCCAAACCAAAGTCTGGACCTATACCGTTGACATATCTGACCCCGAGTCAACTCGATATGCCCTTGAAGCGTACGCCAAAGCAGTCAACGGCAAGATCGACATCCTCATCGCCAACGCAGGATATATGTCCAAGGCAGAACGTATCACTGTAGCGGATCCAGATGACTGGTGGCGTGGTTTTGAGATCAACGCAAAGGGGAATTTCAATCTCTTGCGCGCTTTTGATCCTCTCGCTGCCCCTGGAGCAAGGGTTATTCATATCTCAAGTCGATCGACGTACATGGAGTACCTGGAAGGTTTCTCTGGATATCGAGCATCCAAGCTGGCCGCCTACAAGCTGTTTTCTTGGTATGCGAATGAAAACCCTGATAAGATTGTCCATCAGTTCGACCCGGGTGTTATCTTCGGCACTGGAATGACAGCTTCGTTCGAGGGTCTGCTCAAGGAGAAGGGACTCGTGGGAGACGATGTTGAACTCCCTAGTGACTTTTCAGTTTGGTTGGCTAGCGATGAAGCAAACTTTTTGAGTGGTCGTTTTGTTGAGTGTGCGTGGGATATTGAGGATCTTAAGGCGGCTAAGGAGGAATTGAAGGCATCGTGGAACAAATGGACTATCGGTTTGTTGGTTTAGGGGTACCTACTCTAGGGGATAGAATGTTAGAAAAGCTCATTTGACGATGTTTGATTCTATGGGTTGGTATCAACAAGAAGATTTGTATTTGGCTTTGGCTCTATAGCTAATTGTGCGACCTGGGAGAGGCAAGTGAGCTGAGCTGCATCGCCACTTTGCCGAACCCCTACTTCGCTGGACAGACAGATGGTGTATTATGTGACCGGGTATTACCGTTTGCGTGTAGTTTTTGCCATTGATAAGTCCTTCCCAATGGTGCAATATGATCAAGTGATTTATAAGATTCATGTTATTAACCTGGTTGTCGATCTGGAGTTGGGTCGTCGCGGCAATGGCCTTTATCGCATCACGGGCTTCGACCTGGCGTGAACTGACCCGTGGACGAGTAGCCCTTTCTGTCGACGCTACACAGCTGAGGTTGAAGATACCATTTTCCCGTGATAGAACAACAAAGACGGGCACTGGGCTCTATTACAGTTGTGATGTGTCGACAGACAGGTCCCGCTCGAACGAATACATGACCAGTGGCCAAGCAGGTTGAGCGAGCGCATCGATCCAATCGGGTCAATTGGTTCAAATTATACACCCTCAAACGAAGGCGGAGTAGAAACGTATCTCAAAATCTGAGCATCATTGACGTATAAACACATGCCTTTCTCGACAAAATAGCAAGAACTGTAATGTCAAGAAGTGATTGAACTGTTTATAAAGATATTACTGGTAACTCAAGATTCGGAAATAAACATATATGCCAGACTGGATTTGACTGGCACATTGCGTCTAAAAACATTCAAACCGAAACTCTAAGATCCAGTTCTAGTGGAACTTGAACGACAAGACCAATACTGAAGTTGCGTAATTGGAGTACCTCAAGAGACGACACCAATCACAACACCACAGCGCAAGTAACTCACTTCCTAAGTAAATACTCCTCCTACCTTACGTTGCTATCGCTTTTGCGTTCTTCAGAAAGCCTCATCACTTCACTCAAATGTTTTGTGATTATTAACTGACACCTTCCGCGTGATTGATACGATATTCACACCATGCTCAATAAGCATCTGTGCTATTTCCTCCCGTCCATTCTCATATGCCAAATAGAGCGGTATCCGTCCGCTTGAATCTATAGCATCAATGCTGGCACCTGCCTCAAGCAGCAGCCGCGTAGAATCCACATTCCCTGCCTGGACTTCCAAGTGAAGTATGTCTACTCGAAGAGCGAGTAACACCTGAGCTACGTCAAGTCTCCCGGTATCTGTAGCGCCGGACAATACTGCCCGAATACATGACCTCGAAGAAGCCTCGTTCACGTTCACAGACAGTTCATTCGTCCAGTTCAGAGTCTTGATCCATTGCCAAAGTAGAAGACAAGCGTAGGAATTGCACCGTTCCGACAAGTCGTTAACGAAACTTTCGAATTCGAGACGTATCTCCTTTTCCTTGCCGTTTCTTTTCAAGTGATCAAGGTGTGCAGCGAAATTATTAAGTGCATATAAGAGTAACTCGCGCCCTGAAAGATGCTCCGCCAGCTTTTCAGCTTGCGGAAAGTCAGCATCGTATTCCATTTGGAGAAGGGCCGCTGTGAACAGTATACGGATGTATCGGCAACAAGTGATTGCTATCTCCATATCTCCTTGCACTTCATCAAGATGGTATGGCTCGGCGACATGACTCTTGTCCAGGAGGAATTCTCTCGCAGTCTGATGTATGAGTTGAACGACCTGTTCGGAGTCTGAATCTTGTACCTATAGGTGTACTTATTAGATCGAATTTTCAGATGGGATAATGACAATACAAACCTCGACTAGGCCTCCACAAGACGACAATAACCCTTGAATCAATTCAAGTGGTCGATGATACGCAAGGTTGTAGCTTGACAAATCTACACACCTTGAGAGAGGAGGGGTTGCCAAAACGTCCTGAAGCTCACCAACTAATAGAGGTCGTTTCGGAAAGGTTACCCAGGCCAACATTCTTCGCCCCCGCTCTTCTTGCTCCTCCCTGTCTCCTTTGAAATTCTTGATCAATATATCAATCATCACTCTGTAGAAGCCATCCTTCCCACCAAGCTCCTTGGGAAAGCCAGCGACTCTCTTGTCAAGGTCGGCTTTGCTATAACCGCCGTTGAGAATACACTGTTCCACATCTCTCAGGACTAGTGTCACCCACAAGAAAACTCCTGACGAGTGTTTCATAATATGGTCCTTGATAAACAGAAAAATGTCCTTTCCACATTTATACCCAGACACCACCTGTTCGATCCAACTATCCACAACGAATTTGATATCCACCTCGTTTACTTGCTGAAGCTTGATATGATGCGAGCATGCGTTTCTCAATCTGATGTTGATATCGTTCTCCGGCCTGCTGGCGATTAAGACTTTGACGATACAACTGCTGTTATGATGAACTGCGAGGCTAGGCAGAAACTGGAGTACATCGGTCCGTCTGTCGTTGTCTGACTCATCCATTCCATCAACCACAATCACAACTTTCAGATCGAAGTCAATTTGATGAAGGGTGTTTAAGGCCTGCTTGAGATCATCGTAACTCCAAAGAGCTTTCTGCTCTCTTACATCGCCCATATTTTTCTTTAACTCCCGGTATCGGTCGCGAAGGAGTCGGAAAAGCTTGCTATTCTGTTTCCAGATCTGGTAAACAATTGATCGGAGCATAAGCTCGTGGCTTGTCTCGGTGTTTCCACCACGGAAGCTGTAGTAGAATCTCGCAACGATGGTTCTCTTGTCTTCGGGGTTGTTGGAGGTCCAAGTTCGTTTTTCTTGTTGGAGGCTGTAGTTTGGGACACTGCTCTGGTCACAAACCAGATCGTGTTTCTTACTCTCGAGTTTGCGTACAATAACCTTTGTCACTGTTGACTTACCACTTCCAGGTTTCCCTTCTAACCACAAGACCGAGGGGGTAGATGTACTACTCCAGTCTTTATAACCGGAGTGGGAGGATAGCCATGCCCCTCCTTCATTTTTATCTTCCACCCGACTTTCTCTTGCGTTCCATTCTTGAAAAGCAAGCGTCTTCAGGCACTCTGGAGCTAGTTAGGGCGTTCATAGTTGCTGGTGTTGGCTGGGTCTTTACCTCTTCTCTCCTTTTCTCTATCTATGCTCGAATAATGGGCAAGTGTATGCTTCGTATTTTCGTCAACTGTCGAAGACACTAACACTCGTATTGGAGAGGGCGCAACCTGTTCCTGAAGCATATTGAAGTTTCGGAGAAACGAAGATCGCACAGAGTCATACAATGCATCGATACCATCGACGAAAAAGACAGTTTCAAGCTGGGTCGTCGCCTTGACGGACGCTACTAGCAACTCCCATAAGAGTCGCGTTAATTCCCACGGTTCTCTGCATTGCTCGAACTTTTTGATTGGAAAGCCTGTTTGCACAGCCTTAGCTCGACCTTTATTTTGTTTGAGGAGCTGAGTTGCAAGCGATGCCACTATTCCGGCCTCGGAGTCTTCACTTGAGCAGAAGGCTGACGCAATGTCAGGCTTGTCTGTCTGTAGAGAAGGCTGGTGTAGACTTCTCAAAATGTAGGACATGATAACGGTTTTCCCGTCTCCCGATGTTCCTTGAAGCCAGAGCCTTGCGGACCTTAATCCGGTCCAAACCCGATACTCTGGGCTCTCGATGAACCATGCCATGCTTTGTTCAATATCGGGTGATTCGCAGAGCTGCTCCACTAAGGCCGGTGGCTCCGATTTCGCGCACATCACTTCAAGCAAACGGCACAGTTCTTTCGTGTACTGCAAAGCAGTCGAGTCTTTCATTTAAGTCACTTTGGTCAGCTGTATTGAGATATATAGATGTGGGATTCTTTTACTAACCTTGATCCAAATTATCTAAAAATTCTTGCAGTCGAGGCAGCACATGATTGACGTATGCCGGATCAGTACGTCCATAAAACTTAACAAGCTCCGAGTGATTCCGATCAATCGGTTGGACATAACGTTCCTTCATTTCCCAAGAACGCCCATGAGTTGCTGAAAACCTGTCCACCAGCTCGACTGGCTGTCCACACATCTTCCATTTTCCATTTTCCTGTATTGCCGTGGGGGAAATACAGGTCTCGTAGTACGACATTATCTCCAGGTTTTTGGCCACGACGGAATTGTGGTCGTTATCAAATGCCTTCGTCCATTGCTGCGCTTGTCGACGCAAATCTGGGGAGTCTCTCCCGAGTGATCGGAGAAATGATTCGTTGGCTTGTCCTTCAACCATTGGAATTAGTGATTTGATATCCATTCCTTGGTTTGGCGTTCCGAAAAACATGATGCTCCGGAGTGACTTCAAAACGATCTCACCATCAGTGGTTCGGGCTTCGGACAATTTGCATAAGGCCTGTGGTTATGTAAGCTGTGTAATGAAAACGGACAATTGTTAGTTTCACACACCTCTTTAATAACCAAGCCGCCGAGGCTATGTCCAAGAAGGACAAGAGATTTGGGATGACCCCTCTGTGCTGTGTTAGTTATAGAAATAGAGAAATAGAGATAGAAGGCTTCGAGACGCAGTATATGTTAGAGTATGTTCACTAACCTTTCGATTAGCTTTGACTAGGTATCTCAAAGCATCCTTGAAAGCTATCCCAAGATCTTCTAAGCTCTGGAATGATGAGCTCTCTTGTAATTGAGTGTTGTATCCGTAGATGAAGACTCGACAATTTGGCATAGAGATAGGGAGGTCGTCACGAAGCCACATGTACCTACCTCCCTTGCGCTTAAAGGATCCAAACGCGTGGCCATTCAGACCTGACAACGCGATAATACTTATAGAAAGATCAGCATACCGAACCTCCACACTTGACTAGATCACTTACTCCAGGCTTTTCTCAGAGTTCTCAGAGTTTTCTGAGAACTCTGAGAACTCAGAATGTAAAGGAGTAAATCCATGGAAATGAGTGTCGAGATACAACGACTTGTCTGGTAGATCTCTATTGTCTGAGAAGTGTTGATCTGGCGCTCCCATCTGTACCATCCTGTCCGGTATTTTCGAGAAGGTTAGTGTTGCAACTAGTTGTTCTCGAAAAGGGTGGCTAGCAAGCGATTCAATGGATATCGTAACATCACGACCGACTTCAAAGGCTTCCCTGACAAGTCGTTTCACTTCCTGCTTATCGACCATAGATGCATCCCATTTTCCGTATTTGGGTAGAATTTCAAGCCTGAAAGTCGCCGGAGGGCTAAGATTCCTTCCTCCATTGTTACTTGTAGGTGCATCAGCCTGAGGCGGGGTTGAGGGAGAAAGGCATTGGTAGACAGCGATCACTACCACCATAACCCCCAGCAACGAGGTGATGATCACGTCCCAAGCAACGGAAGACATGGTTAATCCTCGATACGAGTTTGGGACGAAAAGAGGCAGAGAAGGATAGCACGATATAAAAATAAGAAGAAGAAAGAAACAATAGGTATTGAGGGCCTTCTCGCACGTTCATGCTTACCCAGTCACGGGGAGTGCCTGCCGTCTTTTTGTTACCAGGTAATTCCTGATCCCTGCTTTCAGCTCTTCATGTCTTCTCTGTCGTAAGTGAGACATCGCCAAGCACCTATCATAGCATACGACATAGGGACCAACAACAAGGCAAGCTCCCAATCGACGCGGCTTATTATTCTCTTGAAAATTGCTGGCCTAAAAGTGTGCCTGATCATCATGAAATTTCGTATCAGTCTTTCCCTTCTCCGGAGGCAACGTCTCGTTATTTTTTATGGCAGTCTTGAACAGTGGAAGCTAGCAACGCTATCTAGGAGCCGTTCTAGCTCAAGGGTTTCTTGGGCTGTGGCAAGGCTTATTTGATTGGGTTGTCCTAAAAGTGTGATATTGTTTAGGCGTGCAGCTTGGTCACGAAAGGCAGGGTTTGTGAACGGGGAAGGGCAGGGCGAAATACTCGATGAGCAGGGGTGGCTAGTCTGACCTCTTCTTGTCGTCTGCCTTGTGTAGGACTCTTCTTATCAAGTCGCTCTTTGTTATTCAATATCAAATGAATAGATGTTGCCCCAGAAGCCTGGCGTCTTCGTGTTGGTCGCGAAGTCTTGTAATGAGCCTTGTAGCCTAGCGTTAGATGATGCCCATTGCAGTTTTTAGCATCATACCGCGACAAAACCCACTACCGGTCTCTAGGCACGGGCCGTGCCTGCTGGCCTAGCTTATATGGGCGATGGTCTGAGGATGCTATGCAGGTCCGCTTAACTTAAAGGCACCCTGCTAGCTAGCTATCCTATATCTCGGTCGGGTGCGGTGCTTGTACTTCGATTAGAACAAATCTTATAGAGTAGCCTCACTGCGAAATTATGCTGAGAAGGACACAAATGAACACCGTAAGCTGTTCACCTCATGTGAAGCATCGAGGTTTCTACTTTTAAAGCCAAACTGACCATCCTAGATGAACGACTCGGCCGTAAAAGTCCCGGCTCTCACCACGCCATTTTCAGTGGCATCGAGCATTGTCGACCTGACGCAGCTCGTCCTCCCCGCCGCGATTCGAGGCGATCGCAGAACGCCTACAATCATGCCTACACAGAACATGGAGCTTTTCCTGACTACTGAGCTGCGTACCCCAAAGCTAGACAAGCTCCATGACTACCTCTGGCTGGCCGGGCTTCCTCTGCCAGCGAGGCCACTCCAGCGCCAGAAGATAATGAATCGTGATATTTATCTCACAGAACAGCCCGACGAACATATGGTATGGCACCAAACCAAGCTACTGATTAAGCCGCTGCCCGGCTTCCTCCTCTGCCACGCATTCTGGACCCAACACCTGTGTTCAGACCCTGCACTCCATCGGAGTGCAACTGGGCTGCTGCTCAGCTACTGCTGGCTTATTGGACATAGGAGCGACTTTGACATGGCCCAGACGGTGAGGTTGATCCCTGATGATATGGAGTGGCCCATATGGAGTGCCTTCATGAAGGATTTCCTGCGCAATATCGATATAGACAGCCTCGCGCAAGTGGACAGACGGTACCAGTACGGCGAGCTACGGCTGTCGCGGCTCAACTCGATGACACGCTTTCTACCATGTATGTGGTCGTATGAGAACTTGGTTTATGGGCATATCTCAACAAGCACATGGTATCAGGCCTTTTTCGAGCGGAACTTTGCTTGGCTATTAGCTGCGTTCGTATATATTAGTGTGATTCTTTCAGCAATGCAGGTCGGGCTAGCTACGGAACAGCTGAATGGCAGCCAGTCGTTTAAGAACTTGAGCTACGGAGGGGCATTATTGGCCATTTCTGCTGCCTTGTTAGGGATTGGGATAATGTGGCTTGTCTGGTTTGTGCTATTCTGGTATCATATTTTGTCGACGAACGCCTTTGACAGAAGTACTCGAATGAGAAGGGGAAAAGTGTTGGATGCTTAAACCCTCTTGAGTCCCTGCTCTTTTTTTTTTTTTTTTTTTTTTTTTAAAAAAAAAAACACGATAAAAAGGCGTAGTCGAGCGACCTAGTATTGAGGGTCGTCGTTGAATTCATGGTGCTAGGAATGAGATTCTGCCATTTTCGGCTGGAAGCTGTGCGTTCAACATCCTATTAGACTAAGGGGAGTTCGCATATTTAGCTCGTCCAAGGTAGATTCTATTGAACCAGTATGTGGAATAGATCTGTATTATGCTTGTGTTCTGTCTGAATTCCCTATCTGGCCTGACAATTTTCCCTCTTTTGGGTAGATGCCTTATGCTATGCCTAATCACAGTTGTACCATCAGCATTCGAAGTTGTGAGTCATGTCGACGAATTATGTCAGTACTCTATAAGGCCTACATATAAAGTCGTGTAGCGTAGCGTCGCGTCTTACGAAATCTCTCCTCATGCAAGAACAGCTCACCCTCTCTACTTCTATTATTATTCACCTCTTGCTCAAGCTCAGTCTGCTCATAAGTATGTCGCTTGAATGCTTCTACCGTGTTGAGGACGAGGATTCTCAGGCTCGATTCAGGACAGGCAAAGGTGTGCTCGCAGGCGATGTGAAGTCCAGGGTGGACTTTTGGTTGAGCCGAAACAACATGCGCGTGCTATTGAGAAGATATTTCTGTTATCATATTAATTGGTCTAACCGACATAAAACTCCTTTCATCTCGACATATGTCAAGTACGAAGCTGCATACGAAGAGGCATTGCGAAGAGAAAGCCGGGGCAAGAAGAATGTCATCATTGTTTTCATCGATCTTAGCAGAGCAGATCATAGACTAGAATATCGTAACGCCCGTAGGCTCGCAGAGTCTTTGGGGTGTTGGATTCCACGAAAAGCCTGGAACAACTCCGAGTTCGAATATGTCTTTCTGCATCGCATTCCCGCTTGTGCCATTGTTAAAATCATCAGGCTGTGATACCATTGCAGTAGGTCCGGCGACCTGGGTAGAGAAGGGATATGATTGCTGAATATCGCTGCATTCTATATTGCTTCAAATTACCATTGTTGATATGGCACATCTGCAGTTTTTCGAAATTGGATAGGGATTTGACAGACGTGAAACGGTGATCTGATTCCTTAAATTGAAATAGAAGTATCTTGATCCCTGGCATTGGTTTTCCCACAGGGTTTTTCCAATGTCGTCACGCAAATGCGAGGGAGTTTTCTGTGTATCATAGGAGAATAGAATTGGTTCTTATTTAAAAATTGCTTTGCGCCATTGAAATGACGAGACTGGTAAATAGTGTCAGCTTGAGCACCCATTCCTATTATGCAATTAGACTGTCGAATCAGTTGTCAACAATCTTAGTAACACCAAACGAAAAACAAGAAACCATTGTGTTATTCCCAGGAATGGCATAGCCATTAAACATGTAAGCAGAATTACTTTCTTCCTGGGAGCCCTAATATGAAAGAGATTATTGGTTGTCCTCCTCAAGCACCCTAGCTGCGGACCTTGTTATGGTTCCATCGTCTCGATTGGATGGCATGCGCCAGAAGTTATTCCCATCCGGCTGCCCAAGAATCATTGCGTGCGTGCTCGGGTGTCTACTAGAGTATCACAACCACTGGAATCACTCTCAGGGCCTGCAGAATCTACTGTAGTAAATGAGCATTCCGCGGTAGTTGACAAAACACGATGTGAAAGGTACCTCCACTTGGCAAGTTCTCTACTCGAATGATAGTTAATTAGGATACAAGAGAATTCTAAGTATCTTAGCTTAGGACTAAACAGGCTAAAGAGTCTAAAGGGGAAGCTAACACGAGAGTTAAGGAAGCCGTCAAAGGCAGAGATATCCCCTTTTAGAGGTAGGGGAGAAGTTCCTAGAGGTGATTTACTAAACTTCTACGTTCTTCTAAAAGCCTCTACAATAAAGGCGACCAGCAAATTTCGCTGAAGGACGGCAATCCAGCATGTTCAATCACTAGTTAGTATGTTTCAGATCAAATTGTAAGAGTAACGGAAGAAAAGGTTACGGACTCATGTCACTGACTGTTCAAAGTGGCAATGGGGCTGTCAATACCATATGCCATATGTCGGGCGGGTAGAAGTGCACTCGGGGGTGACAAGTGTACAGGGCCTACCTACGTTGACTGTGGCATACCTAGGTGGAAGATAGAACATGCTTCGTCCAGCGTTCATTCAAAAAATGGAACCTGAAATTACAAAAAACAAGGAGCAGTCGAATGGGTGAAGGTAGTTTTAGGTTCGGTTTTTTGAGAGTTTATAGGTTTTAGGAGCGGATTCCACTCGACCACTCCTCGTCAAAGGTATATAGAGTTGAACTTGTATATAAAGGTACCCTGGAAGCTAAAATTGTAAAAAGAAAATATAAGAAGTAGTCGAATACAGGAAAGACTCTGTATACTGAATATCAGTCTTTTCTAACAAGGCACTCAAGTACATATCCTGTGATAACCAACACCAACCAAAGTCCCTTGATACACATCAATCCATGTATTACTAGCCGGGTATATAAAAATACAACAAACACCCCCCAGTTCTACTTCATCTTTGATCTCCAACTCCCCTTACCCCCAATAGTCGTCTTCTTATTCTTCTCAGGAACCGTATATCCCCTATCCCTCTCCAACCGATGTCTTTCCCAAAAATCACTCATCTCCTCCCTCAAAATCCCCTTCTTCCCTCTCAAATCCCTCTCATCTCTCTGCCGCTCATCCCGTTGAGGTACCATACCCGCCACACCCGAAACAACAGGCATACAGAGTGTCCTCCAAAACCACGACATGGTGATGCGATAGAGACGAGTAAGCCATTTGAAGAACCGTCTAACCCTTGTGCTCCAGGCCGCCACGAGGGAAAGGACGACAAGAACAAAACTAGAGGGAAGAGCTATCGCGCCAATGGTCTTGAGGCTGAGATTATTCTCACCACCCCATTCATGCGTATTCATACCGAATAGACCAGTGAAAAAACTAAGTGGTAGGAAGATGACAGTGAATGTGGTAAAGATCATGACACTTCGACTTTGTGAACTGGCAAGGTCGGCGTGAAGTCTACTCAGCCGTACCTCATCAACCTGAGCTTGTCTTTGAACCATCTGAAGTAGCTTGTCGTAGTCATCTCTTGTATTCCTCACCCTCTCAATCATCTCTTGACCCTGTTGAGCATATTCGGCGAGTTTCTTGAGGGCTTCACTCAGAAAAATCCTTCCATTTGCTGTGCGATCACGAAGTTCGGGACGGGCATAGGTAGAAAGCATGGAGCTGACGACTTTGGACTGTCGTTCAAAAAGGTGAACGAGAATCAAAAGTTCATCCTCAATATCCCGAAGTTCAAGGAGCGCGGATGTATTATCGCGGTTATCCTCTTCTGAGCGACGACCTTCAGCTTTGTGTCGTGCTCTGATGGATCGAGCTTTGTTCTCGACTGGTTCATAGGCAGAAGCTTTGTCGCGGAATCCTTCAGCACGGAAGCTTTTAAGGGAGAATGTGAGTTTTTCGGTCTGTTTAGTTAGTGATGGTCGTATAACAAGGGGAGCTACCTACGAGAACACTGATAGCTTCTTCAAAGATTCGAAACACTTCGAGATCAGGATGTGATGCTCGGTCGAGTAGCACAGTTACTGCGTGAAGTACAGCCAACGCTGCCAAATCCAGAGCGTTTTCGCACTGGCGAGTAAGATCGACATTGACTTCGTTGAATATGCTGTCGCGAAGGTCTGCTTGTTGATATAGAGGTCCTTCGATAGCATCGCCCTCGCGCTTGGGAAAGAAGGATAGCAAAGTATCTATAGGGTTAGTCTAAGCTTCTGGCAGAGAGGGTCGACTTACGAGAATCAATGGCCCATAACCACAGCTGATCGACCATGAGGACATTACCATTAAGTATGGAATCCTCTAGATTGTCCTCGTTGTCTCTATCATGACTGCTTGTCTTGGATCTCTGACTTCCACTCCCACTGCTACCATCGCTACTATTCGACATCTGTCCATGAAATCCGGGACCTAGTCCAGGAGCAAAGCTTCGTTCCTTTGTCAGTTTGTAAAGCATCTGATCATCATCTCGCGATCTTGTGTCCCTCAGAGAAGGGTATCCGTATTGATCCAACGTTCTTCGGCAGTTGAGTGGCGGGTCATGACCTAGAAACTCCCAAATGACCTGTGCTTCAAGAGAGTCAGATTTGGCAACAGATTCAGGCACAGGCCTTGATCTTCCATGATTTAAGCGCTGGAGAATTAGTTCCCGTCGACGAATGAGTCGTTTGTAAGAGTCGAAGTGAAGATATGGTAGAAATAGACACGTATAAATCCCGCCATCAACCCTCGATATTGAAGACTGTTTGGAAGATCGACCTCGAGGAGACACTACACTGTTAGAATCTGAGTCCATAAGCAATAAGAGGACGTACTGTGTCGAGGAGCTGAGAAGTAGCATCCTGGCTTGGCAAAGTATGCATAATGCTGAGAGTGCCGTCCACGAGAATGTCTCGTTGCCCAAAAGTCATTGTTGAATAGGGGCGTATAGTTGCGATGATCCGATATTTGTAACGTCTCGAATATTTTCTGCTCAAGTTAGTAAAGCACCTTACTGAACGAAATTACTTACCGTCACCCAAGTTGGATTATTGTACGGTAAATGCACCCATATAAACTTTCTAGCTTCCACCTGAGGTTTCGAAAACGCAACAGGCACCTCATCAACAATGACAGTCTCACTCGCTCTTTTCTCTCCATCTTCAACGATTTTTCGGATTGCAACTATAGCTTCTGGTAGTTTGGGAGATGCGTCAATGTCATCCTCGTCGCTGAAGCCCTCGATGGTGCTTCGACTGCGTTGCGAAAATGGGGGAAAATCTCGATACTCGTATTGAGAAGCCTGTGTACCCAGACTTGTAGATCTGCTAAGAGTTCGGCCAATACGACCACTGGCAGGTGGTGATAGACGATCCACGGCGAGATCTTGATCAAAATTGGCGCGTATGAGAGGTGATGGGCGTCGCATTGGTGTTGAGTAGTGTGTTGGTGGCGAAATTGCTACTGGCGACAGTGGTGTAATGGGGGATCTTGAGATCACTTGAGGTGCTGATTCGGATCTTGTATTTTTGGCATCAAGAGGTCGAATAATCGGTGAAGCAGGGGGCGATACATGGAATGATCCATCCTGCGAGATACCGAGAGCGTTGTTGCCTGCTTCATCCATATCACCTCTCTGTGTCGGTAACCTAGCTGTTTTCCCTCTCGCTCTCAAAAATCGCCCTTCATCAACCGTCTCAACTTCATTGAGTCTGTCAGCCAAACACTCCTGAGGTCCCTTTCTCAGAAACTCCCGTAAAGGTAACCTTGTAGACCAAGCTCTGATAGTCGCTGAGTCTAATGGTCCAGGAGAATCCTCGAAAAAGCCATGGACTTCGACGTTGACCTTTTGTTCGAGATCTAAAGACCAGTTTCTATCATGACAGGCATACTCGTCTGCGCGGTCGATGAGTGCAGTTAACTGTTTCAGGAACAATCGCATCGTGTGAACATTATGCCTCCCAAACGAGGCTATATTCGCATGATCGCTTTGAAGTGGAAGAATCGTCTCCTGTCGCATACCGAGGATGGCCGATTTTATCGACGCCAGTGGTGCAGTAAAGTAAACATCTCCAGTAGATCCTGAGAGCCGAGAGTCGATAGTTTCGTACAATGTCCATATACGGAAGTCGTGTGCTATGGACTTGAAGTCGTCGTCTAGTTGGAGAAGAAGAGAATTTCCCACGCGCAGATCATCGGTGATTGAGCATGGCAAGGGGGCCGAGAGTTGAAGTATACTCTGGATTCCGGTTGCTAAATTTGGCATGGCAAAGTAACTGGATCCTTGATGAGGAGTGCCTGTGCTGTTAGTATGGAATGCACTTTAGGAGACAAAACGTACCAAAAAAGGCAATACCGTAGCATTGTCTGTAGATATCCTCATATCGAGTATCACGACTCGCCTTTGTTAGAACCATCTTGGCAATAATTCCACCAATACTGTGTCCCACAAAGACAAGCGGCCTAGCTTGTTTCTCTCGCTTCCTCAATTCTTCTAGTTCCTCCAGCAGCGCATCTGCTAAGTTGCTCAATCTCATACCCTCGGTTGCTGATGGGTGCTCGTATAGGAGAATTCGTGCTCTATCAGCTTCACGTCGAATGCCTTGTCTGACCCATGAAGGTGCAGGTCGATCTTGATCTGGCGCTGTTTGGCCTTCGGCATCTCTCATGGAGAGTGCACCAAAGAAACGACTCATTCGTCCATCGCGACTCCATGTTCGAAGAGAATTCGCTCCAGGACATGGGACAGTAACAATATCGACGGTTGTTTGATCATGAGTAAGTTCACCTTCTGGATCAATGGTGAAGCTTCCCTTGTTGGATTCCTCTTCCGTTATTTCATCATCGGTAGGTGTTTCGTTAATAATATTCTCCTCGACTTGATTCTTCTTGATAGTGTAATCATTCAGTGGCGGTAGTTGACTTGGTGGACTTCCTGGATTGACGTTAATGGAATCTTTGTCGTTAACAAGTTCCGACCCAGGTGAGTCAAGGCCTCCAACCTCAGCCATACTCGCTTCAGTGTAAGATGCCCTATAACTTTCCCGACGTCTTTGCCTGGACAAAACTGGACGAGAGGTTTGAGACATTAGAACACAAGTTATCGGGAATATTTTATCTACATCAGATGCTATTTGTTTTGTTTTGCGGTAGTTAAGTTAATATACTGGTCCATCAGACCGAACAGTCACATTCTGTGTATAGCCACACGAGCACCCATTTCTGCCTTGGATCAGCACTTGCTCGTGACAAAAGCTCCATACTCGAAAATAGCATTTGCCGATTGCCGTATGTATTGCTGATGCGCTATGATTGTAGCTGTAGGCTGACTATGTTGCTCTCTAACCGTGGGGTAGTTTCTGAGACAAGGCTAATCAGATGATTGTGCCACATGAACAATCCCGATGACTGAAGTTGAACCCTACCGTAGTATTGGCCTACCAAGTCTTGGGGTACAAGAAAAAACAGCCCAAGAAGTATGATCTAGATAGCATAGATTGACCTACTAATTTCGTCTCTTACGACGACAGCAGCCAATTTTGCTGATACCCTAAGACCAGCCTCTAAAATCCCGTATTCCTGCCGAGGAGGTGCATCATAGAAACCGGCACTGATTTAGTGTCTGAAGGAAATATTAGATCAACTTTAGTGCGAATATAGCCTAAGAGAGCACTAATACTTTCGTCTGGTCTATTTCTAATCCCTGTTGCTGCCTGCCGAGTGATCCCGAAATGCTATAGAAGCAGTCATCTTCTATGCCTGTAGATGCGCTAAACGCCCAAAACTCCGATTAATACCAATAAGTCTATGCCTAGCCCGCCGTTTCTGCTGAATGCGCCCATCAATCATGCCTACTGCAACGCAAAGTCATTAATAGTAGTGCAGTGCACCACGGCATCCACATAAAGTCGATTTGTGACCCTGCATGCTTGTCCAGGTCGAACAACAAACATGCCGTTGGGCCCCAAGTTAAAGGCTTGTTCTTGTTCGCCTATGGTGACAGCCAGCTTGCCTGCTGCGACTGAGCAAGTGCGCAATTTGTCGTCTTCAATCTTCCAATGACTCGAATTGCCGGGCTTGAGGATAATGACGTTGAAGCTAACGTCCTGGGAAACCGTAACGGGTTGGCCGCTGGTGAGGTATGAGTTGGAAAAGGCAACATCTAAGATAAATTGTTAGCATGTGTTCCAATAGACCTCGGGGTATCAGAAAAGTTGGCCGCTGGAAACATAAGAGACGAAATTAGTAGGCCAACTTATGCTCCTTAGACTATAGTCCTTAGACTATTTATCTTTATATCCTAAGACTTAGGAGGCCAACGTTTCTGCTACCTTGGATGGAGAATGTGTAAACTTACTGTCTGAGGAAGAATTGTCCTGCATCCTACCTGGAGCAACCTCCCAGTCTTCCATCTCAAGTGATCGACTCTGGTTTCCAGCTGCAGGCTGTTCCCCCATTGTATCCATAGAGGTTTGGGTAGACGGACTTCTCTCGGGCCGCTTTGTTTCACGAATAGACTCTGTCACGGTCCCAACGGTCGGTTCCTCGGGCTGTTCTTCCGCGTCAACATCCATTGCAGGAGTATTCATCGCAGGGGTGACATCTTCGGACGAAGATGATCCTGCTGAACCGCCAGAGCCTCTATGTCGACGTTGATCAGATGGGCACCAATCGCATGCGTTAGAGCGTCGTTGTAGAATACACCAATACCGACAGCCAACACAAGTCTCCAGAGAAGAGAACGCTTGCTTTGCTGACGGGGGCATTCCAGCCGGGAGGGCGATACAAGGTGTTGATAGCCGGGCAGTTCGCCGTCCTACACTAGCCATGCACTTCCCGATGCCAGTCACTGCCCTTCCAGTGAGATAAGCCAACGCGCAAGCATAATGGTTGATATCCAAAGTCTTTCCGCCGTGACTTTGCTTCCATTCCTCAGGAAGATCTCGTATTCGAGGCAACACAAGCATGAAAAGAATGTCCTCCCGATGATGCTTTATTTGATAAGGACTGAGATGCCTGTGAAGGTAGGGTTTGACATCAGTATCCGAAGTGCTCGAGGCGCGTAAAAGGGGGACAGGGGGGAAGACTGGAGTTTCCTGCGCCCGAGTCGTTTTCTTGTTCAATTGCTCTGCGCGAGAAGTTCGGCCCTGATGCAAAGTCGCAGCTACCGGCAGTCCAGGGTCGACCGGCGGTGGTGCGTTAGGAGGCAGAGGGTTACGAGAGATAACGATGGCAGGCGTTGAGTCAGAGGCGCTTTTGAAAAAACTTTTCGCATATTTTCCGACCTTTGATAACGTGCCATCTCCGTTGTCGTTGAACGTAGTCGCAGGGTGACCACCCCCAAAGTGTCCACCAAGACCTGGCAGTCCTTTGAACAAACGACGGCAATCTCGTACAGGGCAGACAAAAGGACGTTCGGGATCATCGTGCAGTTTATACTTTGGCGGAATGAGTGCGCCGCGGGCAGAGATAACTCCCTGTTCAGGATCTGTAGGAACATTAGCTAAAGTCTTAGGATATAAAAACAGATAACCTGAAACGTCTGGTCTAAGTAGCATAAACTGATAAACTACTTTCGTCCCTTATGCTTCTAGCACCGATTTTTCTGATACCGAGGACTTGTAATGAGGAAAGTATAGGTACGTACGGTTATATGAGGTGTACGGGCGAGTACCCTCAGCAAAAATGATTGCAACAACCACATCATCAACACCTGGTGAATTTTGCGCCGTTTGTGTTGGCGTTGCATGCACTGGTATCAGGACAGGCGCTGGCGATCCTTGGTCAGCGTACAGTTTGAGTAGTTCACTCCCAGTCAAATGCGTTGATCGAGAATGAGTCTGAGTTTGAGGAACCATTTGTGTGCTTGACGTGTTGTTCGACGCAGCCGTTCGTCGTGCTACTTCCACTTCCGTAGAACGAATTGCATTTTGACGAGCCTGTGCAATATCAAAGTCACTGTTCTGTCTTTTCGCAGCTGGACCAGCGGATTCGTCTGATGCTGGCGATTCCCTCTTCCGATACCTAGGTTGAGGGGGCTTTAGTGAAGGCATTCTAGACGGACCTGTAGAAGTAGGTCGTGATTGTGATTGTGCTGAGTAACGTTAGACACATATGCCCAAGTTTCAAGCTCAACTCACATTGATTCTTCTCCCATTCAGACTGAGCGGCTTTGATCTTTGGGTTACTAGATAACAACGACGAGAGCCTAGTTGCCGAAGTCGTGAGAGCCCCATCACTGATGTCGCTGACAACACGCGCAGGCTCTGGACTGGGATCTCTGAGTCTGTCGAGAGCTATCCGTCTTGCATTTTGCTCAAGACGCTTGAGATGTTCAACGTCTTCGGGGCTAAATATGGGGAGGCCGTATTCGTCAAGCATCAGGGGCTGGTAGTGAGAATGAGATGAAAGGGTATTAGTGAGGATGAGTATAAGGAAGCACGACCATCCAGGTTGCTTCTACTGTCCACATACGAAGGTAGTCCAGATAGTAAGTGAATAGGCAGTAGAAGTGCGAGGAACCAAGAAAGTAAAGGCTTGTTCGGTGTGGTTATAGTGAAGTTGGAAGGTGAATGTGAAGATGAATTGTTAATTGCCTAAAACGCGACGCGCATGAAGTTGTGCAGCGCGGCTACCTACAGGGCAGCAGTAAATATCTCCTAAATTATTAGGGGACAAAATAAACAACCTAGGAGTGTGGGCTAAGCTGCATAAATCGGCCTACTAATTTCGTCTCATGCGTAGCCCAAAGGCCTAAAGTTGGTACTAGGCACTGCAACACGCTGTAAATGCAAGGTACGAAATGCCAGCAAAACCACCACCGCTTTGTCAACTCCTGCTCCTCACATTCCAACTCCATCTGGTTATACTGCAACTCAAAGAACGTTGATTCTGAAGGACAAGTACATAAACGTCTGACGGCGTCAACTTTATTCAACATTTCCAGTCAATGCCTTGTTCATAATGTACAATTGCTACACAAATCCTACATGCTTGCCCCCTTTACTTTGATACCAGCTTATTTCTTTACAAGCCTATTTCTTCTTTCCAGCCTTCTTTGCTGCCTTCTTGGCCTGCTTCTTGCTAATCATCTTAACGGCCTTCATCTCACCACCACTCTCAGCCCTCTTCGCCTCAGCCTTCCTTTGTCCCTCCAACTCCCTCTCACGTCTCCACCGTCTATGTCTGAACCATTGCTTTCGCGTCCTGAATCGCTTCGTCTTGAGTCCAGTCGTCTTGGCAAGCTTTCCAATCGCCCAGTTGTCCTCACGATAACTGTAATCCTTGCGCAGCTTGAGTAACCTATCTGGCTCGCCGGCTTCGACACGGGTGACCTGGAAAGGAATTCCTGACGGTGAGATTTCGGGCTTGGCGGCGGCTTCTTTGATGGTGAAGACGGTCATTCCGAGCTTTCGCTTTCGCTCCGCGTGCTGGGGGTATGGTAGAGTGTCGTTCTTGTCGAAAACTACTCCGATGTACTTGCGGTCGGGGTGTCGTGCGGGATCGCGGTAGTACTTGACGTAGCCGGTTGCCATGGAGTGAATTGTGTGATCTCGACCCATGATGCAGTTCTCGCCGGGCCACCAATGCGTGCCTCGCTGCTTGTACAGGATGTTGCCAGGAATGACGAATTGATCTATACAGTCAGTTCAAACCCCCATTACCCAGACTCTCAAAACATACCTCCTGTTCGCTTGGCACCCAACTTCTTGGGAATACCCCTTTTGGGCTTCTTCTTGTACGCTCCCTGTGACTTGACCGAGGCAAATCTTTGACCTTGGACGAGGGAATTGGCCAATTGCACACCCAGAGGAGCAGCAGGCGTAAAGGCCGGCCGGACAAGACCAGCCACAGCAGCCAATATCGGCCGCTGTATCGTGAGGAACCTCATGGCCGGCGAATCTGGTAGATATGGGCTGAGGTTTAGCTGGAGCTGCAATGTAGTAATGCCTGTCCCGCGAGCAATTCTGGAGATGGAGTTTTTGAGCTTAGTCATCGATCTTATCGATAAGAACCCATTCAATGTGGACAGCATCGCATAATGAATGACAACCAAACTTGAGCTTCAACATTTACAGATTAAAGTGCAATTCGTTTCAACTATATAAAAATGCGTTATATCATCGCCTTTCTTTCTCTTTTGACTCTGGTCAATGCCCAGTTTGGTGGCTTTTTCGACCAGATGTTTAATCAACAAGGCGGACATGGCCACGATCGTCACCAACATCAACCACAGAATAACCCCAGCGATGCGAATCACTACAAGCAAAACTACGAGAGCTGTACGTTTGTCTTTGTTCGGTCGGAGACACTACTAATCTTTTTAGCTGTTTGCGATAAATACCTCTGCCCTGATACCCTCGCTTGCGTTCACTTCCCTCACCACTGTCCCTGCGCTTGGGAAGCCCAGCAAGAAAAGGTCGAACTTGCTGAAGGACAACGTATCTGTGTATCTCGTGGTGGATTCCGACCTGGTGAAACGGCGCGAAAGATTGAGCTTGCACGAAAGGGTCTACTGTGAGGCACGAAACAGTCAACTGTGAAGCACGAAAACAACAACGCCGACACGATCATGGTCCAGAAATTATGAAATTCTAGGAAATGTAATGCTTATCTACCGTGAATGCGAAACCGATTCCATAATGTGCCCTTCTGTCTCTGTCTCCGATTCTCAATCAGAATCCTCAAAGCGAGCGAGTAATGTGCATCCCTCAACCTCTACCAACGCCCGGTAATGATATCCTCAAAACTCCAGCCTGATGATGTCTTCCTAGCCAGTTCACAGTCCTTGTCGTGTTTCTTGTGTCGCAATATCCTTCTACGCAGAGCCGTTGGGTACTTGCGGTACCTGTGGCATGGGCGGCACATTGTCGTCCTCGTCCTCTTCTTCGGGGTGGCCCAGAAGCTGGGCCACATTCTTCATTTCGTAATGCCTCTTGCGGAGCTGTTCAAACTTTCGGTGCTTTTCACGCTCCTCGGGAGACATGCCTGCCAAGTCTTCCTCGGCGTCGTGGCCGATGCTGCTCTCGTCGTCGACGTGGACGCTCTTTTCGCCGCGGGGTGACGGCGCGCCCGCTTCCGGGATCTCCTCTTCCGGTTCGCCCAGCGAAAGGCCCGGAATGTCATCTTCACGGCTTGGACGTGAATCCTGAAGGCGAGAACCAGCGTCCGCCAGAGGACCCTCGTCGTCGGATGGGTCTTCGGCCGGGTCGTAGTGTTTGGCATAGGGAGTCTTTGGTTCGGTGATTTTCATAGTAGAGGAGCGCTCTTGCTCCGTGAGATATAGATTAGCCTCGTCCCACTTGAGGCGTTGAGACTGTTCGAGGCCGTCAGAGCTGTTGACGCCGGATTGTCTTCTGGATCCTGTAGGGCGAGCGCCAGAGGACGAACGTCGGTGGCCTGCGTTGATGTGCGTATTGGCGATGGTGAGCTCCTTTTCGTTGGCTGCGTGCTCTTGTTCAGGCGAGGCAGGAGGAGAATTCCTGTACGAGTTCTTGAGGATACCTAGGTTTTGTTAGATACGGAATCATGCAAAAGCTAGAGTCAAACATACCTCGAGGTCGCTGAGGAGGATTAGTTGGAGGCGAGTGCGCCGGGGGAGATTCAACAGCGGAAGCCATTTTGGATATGCTAGACAGAGCTTGAGTTGAAAGGGTTTAACGGCAAGTCAGAGCTCAAGCTCGAGATGTTGGTCGTGTCTTGAATAAGCAGATGTTTTGAGACTGTAATGTTTGCGCTTGTGATGAGAATCAAGATCAGATGGAAACTTGCAGAACCCTCGTGAGCAGATCATAAAGAGGCGGGGGGAGGGGGCCTATAAGATCCAATGACGCAGTGGTCTGAGACCCCAGGATTTGAAGGGGCTGGGTACGTACTAAGAATCAGGACCTGACTTTTTAGACTGGGTTGCGATGAGGATGGATTTAACACTAAAAACGAGTACAAACATGGACCGTTGTATTCTCTAACCTTTTTGGTATTCATGGTGGTAACACTAAAGGTATGTGAGATGGGACAAATTCATAGTCATCATCCCATCCAGTAGATGGCCTCAACCTACGTCATTGTAGAAGGCAAGGTCACACAGTCATTAGAGACAGCAATGGACAGTTACCTGACGTGCTCAGACTCCAAGGCCAAGATAAGAAACAGCCCGTCTAGAACCAGAAACTACATATATCACTCATGCCAACGTTACCTTTTCATCACCAGACATATGCATACAGCAAATCATCAAAACTCTTTTGCAGATAATGCAGATTCTAGACCGATCCAACCACGTTTTGCCAGTTTTCATCTCCTGTCCGCTATTCCCGATATAGTTTATACAGAAAACTCAAAGAACCAGTAAAACGTAAATTGGCGATTCCCAGAACAACACGTTGATATTTTCCGTGATGCGTTGTCGATAAACGAGTCTCTTCCTACCTATAGACACGAAGAATAGAGGCCGCTTATCTCTAGAAAGAACAGGCTGTCTTGCGTATGCTAGATATGGTCAAGGTCACATATGTCCTGCGTGTCGTGTACATTGCTTCGTCACCTGTTGTTTAGACGCTAACAGAAAGCCTTGGCTAGCATGTACAAATCACCAGATCCATCACGAGAAGCGCAAAGTTTCTTTTAACTAAATATAAATTAAAATATCCAACACATGGACTAGATGTTTCGAATTTGCTATAATTAACATGGCACCTGCTTTGTGAGCATTCACTTACGAAACCTTTACTCAGGTGACTTCTCTCCACCACTCTCCTCATCGCGACTATCGCCAGCCATGTTATAGTACTTGCCAAATACACGGGTCTCCAAATCGCTGACACCACCTGTTGACTTGCGGGCTTGACGGCGGAAGTAGATACGCTTGGCCCATTTCCAAGATTCAATACCCATAAAGAACAAAACAGCCTCAACAAACACAATACCCCATTCCCATGAGATAGGAGCATGCTTAAAGACGACGGTGTTGAGTCCGGGAATGTAGATAATGGGAAACATGGTAACGAAACCGGCAATAATAGCCCAGAAAAGGAAGGGGTTCCTCCAGACATCGATCATCCACTGAGTGAAATATTTCTTGCTCTTTGGTTGCATTCGAAAGAATGAACGTCGCATATTGACCATTTCCCAAGCAAGAAACAAGGCGAACCATGTTAAGCAAGCAAAGGTAGTGGAACGAGCACGGAAAATAACCTCGCAGTCATCGCTATAAGTGCGGTTGCAATCGTCTCCAATGTCGGCAGCGCCATTACCGAAGCCGTAGAGGACAAGGACGAAAGAGCTAAGACAGAGGGCAGACATCCAAAGACCATAGACAACCATATCAATCATCAACTCGGGAGTAAAGACACCTTGTTTTAACTATTGCATGTTAGTAGGTTTCAATCAAACTTGACGGCGTACATACGTTTTGAGGAGGACGCTGCATAATGTCTGGCGCAGCAATTTCAAAGCCGAGTCCCATATCAGGCATACCGGAGGTAATCATGATGATCCAGAGGATCTCAACAGGTGCCAAGGGGAACACGGACAGGTTGTTACGGTCCTTGAAAGCAAGGCCAATAAGAAGAGTACAGGCTTGGGCAATGTTTTCAGCCAAAACGTGGAGAATGAACTTCTGGATGTTATCAAACATTCGTCGGCCTTCCTCGACGGCGTTGAGGATAGAGGCAAAGTTGTCGTCAGTTAGGACAATGTCGGAAGCTTCCTTGGCAACATCAGATCCAGCCAGACCCATAGCAATCCCTACGTCCGAACGCTTCAAACTGGGCGAGTCATTGACACCATCGCCAGTCATGGCGACGAAAGCCTTGCGACGGTGGAGCGCTTCAATCATACGGACCTTGGTTTGAGGGGCACAACGAGCAACAACAAGAGGCAGGAGAGGTAGGGCATCAATCTCCTCATCAGATAGCTTGTCAAATTCGGAAGCAGCCATAACCATAACCTTGGCGACATCCTTTGGGATCTCGTTCATTCGGCTAGGCAGAATACCGACCTCCAAAGCGATAGCGCGAGCAGTCTCGGGATGATCGCCAGTAAGCATGTGAACGTTGATGCCGGCTTCTTGGCACTTTTTGACCGAAGGAGCAGACTCGGGACGAGGAGGGTCGTACAAACCGATAAGTCCACGGAATACAAGATCCTTCTCGAAGAGTCCTCGGTCAAGTTCAGCCTCGTTGTCTTCGACGTGGGGGATGTCTGTTCGGCTAGCAAGGGCAAGGACGCGAAGACCAAGGCGGGCGAGGGATTCCATGTTGGCAATCACATCCTCCTTGACGGCATCTGTGAACTCGAGGATCTCGTTACCAGCAGCATAGGTTGGACAAGACGTCAAAACACGCTCGACTGCACCCTTTGTAAAAACCCATTGCTTCTGAGATTCGCTATCCATAAAGATAACAGACATCTTCTTAACATCTGAGTCGAAAGGAAACTCCGCGACTTCGTGCCAACGAGGGTTCTCACCGCCAGACAGGCGCATACGATTCCAGTTGAAACGAGAAACAAAAACCTGCATAGCAATCTCAGTGGGGTCACCACGAGCATGCCACTCATCCTCGACTTGGTGAACAGTGGCAAGGTTGGCAAGGGAAGCAACGTTGAGATACTCCATCAAACCAGGGTCTTGTGAAGCCTGCGCAGCGTCAATGGGGGTACCCTCAGCCTTTTCATTGCGAAAGTTGATGTTCTTGGGCTGCTCCTCGGTAAGACTGATGTCTCCAACAGTGGGATTGGACGGTTCGCTGGTTTGTCCGACAGAGTATGTACCTCGGCCAGGAATCCAAGCCTTCTTGACAATCATGGTACCTTGGGTAAGAGTGCCGGTCTTATCGGAGCAAATGTCTGCATGGTTAGCTATTGTTGGCAAGGTAAGAAAACAACTTACTAGTAACAGCACCAAGAGCTTCTAAACTTTTGAGGTTGCGGACAATGACATTTCGCTGGACCATTCGCTTAGTGCCAGCTGCCATTGTTATGGTAAGAACAACGATCAGTGAGGCGGGAATCATAGAAAGACCAGTGGCCACAGCATAAATAATGACCTCTTGTTGCGACTTGAATTCGTTGGCAGCCATGACGATAATGGCACATACAATCGCTGTTCCGAGAAGAACGAGAGCAAGCTTGGAAAGCTTACGCTGAAGGGGAGTGCCAACATTGACACCAAGAAAGCGACCGACAGCATCGGAACTGGTCAGCGTCCAAGCCTCAACGTGACGAGCAGCGTTGGCCTTGCCTTGGGCATTTCTCTTTGGCTGTCGGCGCTTGGAAGACTTGCCGCGAAGAGCTACAGCGATTTGACCTATTTCTGTATAGATACCAGTGGCAAAGACAATACCGCGAGCTCTACCCTTTGTTACAGTCGAAGAGCTGTAGGCAACGTTGAGACGGTCGCCAGGGCCAGTGTCGTTGTCGAAGATCCTGTTGATCTCCTTTCGGACGGGGAGGGACTCTCCAGTGAGTAAGGCCTCGTTGGTTTCAAAGTTGACGGCCTCGACAAGGCGGAGATCGGCAGGGATAGTGTCACCAGTCTTGAGCTCGACCATGTCACCAGGGACGATCTCGGCCGTGGGAATAACTTGATTGCTGCCGTTTCTAACAGCTGAGGCAGTCGGGGAGCTGAGACCACGAAGAGAGTCCATGGTCTTGGCAGCCTGAAACTCCTGTAGGAAACCGACGACGATATTGAGAACGATGACAGCAGCGATGACACCACCCTCGATCCATGACTGAATGCCGAAAGAAGCAGCCATGGCGAGGATGAGTACCTATTGGTCGACAAATGAGCGACTCTACCGTTTTATCTAAAGCATCTCTACAGCAAGAGAAGCGGATGGGTTGTATAACTTACTAGAGTGAGAGCATTGGCAATTTGGCCGATAAAGATCTTGAGAGGTTGAACACCCTCTTGCTCTCCGAATTCGTTGCGTCCAGCACTCTCGAGACGACTCTTAGCTTCTTGATCCGTAAGTCCATCTTCAAGATTGGCGTTCAACTCTTTAGCAACCTGCTCGTAAGTGAGAGCATGAGCAGGTGCTGACATGGGAGTGTTGGACTGGCCCGACACATGAGGCGCCTCTTGCACAGGTTTCTGACTCATTCTTGTCAAGATTCAGTCGGAAACTGTTGAGTTGAGAGTGAAAGAAAAGGTCGAGGGAGACGGCGAGACATGGCTCTTATAAGTTGTGACATTGCTTGATCGACAGTCAGACAGAACTTGGTAATAGGAAGGAAGGCAAGAGGCGCTTTGATGAAGGTGGATGCGCCAAGAAATAACCATAACAGAAGGTGCGACCCATAGAGGAGCCAAGTTTTTGAAGCAAACATTCTATTTGGATGACAACTTTTTTTAGTGGAGGGATCACTACAAGGGATCAGCTGTAAATGAGAAGCGGGAAGTTGAGTTGGTTATTTCAGCTCTTGACGTAGCTCTACATTTTTATCTCTATCAGCATCTCATTATATCCAACATGATGGACTCAATCTCAAGTATGACTATCATTTATAAGATGTAGTATTTATCGTAGCCTCTATCAAATACTTGGTCGTCAAAGACCCTGTATAAGATCGAGCATTCCTGGTTATTGGAGTAAAGCCTTATACTTCGTAGACCCATATTTCCCAATAAACTAGCAACGTTCAGAACGCACAGGGCAACTTCAAAGTTACGATTTGGCCAATGACAGCTTACGTTTATTGCCAAGACATATCCCTGTAGAACATGCCTGTATGTCCCGCCATGTCCGCCAGTGATCCCGCTATCAATACACTTAGTGCTATCCGTACAAATTCTTGCGATACCTAATTTTAATGTCAATTTTTGCTTCAGCCTCCATTGTTCGTGGTTTAATCAGGCACGTGGACACCTCGATTAAACCATCAGGTCTTGGCAGTAAAATCTTTCTCACAGTTGGTGAGTGGCGAGAAATATCATGGAATGATGCTATAACACACGGATTTTGTTCAACGCACCTACGCCTCTCCAACTACTGACTGCCATGCCATGCTTCTAAAGAATGATTCAGCAACCATCTTCTCGTACCGTCTGTTACTATCAGAAGAATTGGTCGCTTGAAGTATAAGAGATAAAGTTGTAGGTCAGTTTGTTATTCTCAGACTTCTTAGACTATCAATTTTTGTACCAAAAGCTTGGAGGCCAACTTTTCTGTTACTGTAAACATGTTATTGCCGTTGAACATCCGTTATCTCAACTCTCCACGCCTCCCCGCCCCGCCCCTCCATGCTCCTCTGTCTAGAATCTAAGGTAAATATGGCCAGAAAGTGGTGTTGAGTTCTGAATGTCAAAGTGAAGTAATTCAACCAAGGACGGGTAAACGGCGGGAGTAACTATGACTCAAATGGTATAAAGACAAACGTTTCTTACAGAGTCAGTCAATACATTGACTTTGAGAGAGCAACGTCTCTTAAGAGGGTAAAGCGGCGTAAAAGACGACCGCTAGTAGGATGAACTGTTATTCTTTCAATGGTTCAGACTGCGACACCGTCAAATTGCGGGGAGTTCCTAAAGCTTGCACTACTAAGCGGTCCTTGAAATAGGGTCGTGGCCGGGGTAATGACCTAGGGTACAGTAAAAACGTGCAAGATGTAACAATGGATAATCCGCAGCCAAGCTCTAAGTCTGCCTTGAAGAGTCAGATATGGGTGTAGTTCAACGACTAAATAAATAGTGGTGGGTTCCGGTAGAAACGCGGTTTGCGTACTCTGCCCGGGCTTAAGATATAATCTGGCCTTCTGTGAAAGCAGGAGGGTTATTGCTCTTAAGGTAGCCAAATGCTAAGTCATCTAATTAGTGACGCGCATGAATGGATCAGCAAGTTTCCCACTCTCCCTATCTACTATCTAGCGAAACCACAGCCCGATCATTGGGCCGCGCTTGCACCTACAGAACCGAAATAAAAATCTTTAGGCTCTGAACCTCCTTCGTTAAAACAACAACCTTCAATACCATCATGCAGCCAAGAATGCCAAGTCGACTCGTGCCATCTCATCATCTTCAGCAAAGCTTGGTGATTGCTCTCAGGTCCCGAACAAGAGGTCATTCGCAGCCTTGGTGTCTGATTTAACCAAGATGGGTACAGCCCGCCATGTCACCAAGAAACTGCCACCAAGAAACCTTACTCAAACAAACAACACAACGTCTGCCAAAGCTCAACTTTACCGTTTCATTTTGTCCAACATTGCGACACTGTCAGATCGCTCTCCAGTTTGTGTTTTCAAGAACAACGTGCCGCATCATATAATTCTTGTCAGCGTTCTCTGCACCGACAGAGCTGAATTATTTTCAACGCTGCCACCAAACCCCCGCATTTCGACGTGGTAACGCCATACTACGTACCGATCATTATCATGGAGCCGGTGGGCATCATACTTCTCGTCCTCTTTCTCGTCATCATAGTCATGGGTCCTATGTATGTCTACTCAATCCCTGAAGGACATTTGCTAAACCTGAACCAGAGCTTGCGTCAGAATGAATGCAAGACGGAATGCAGCAGAAAAGGTTCACAATCCCCAACCCCATCAGATGGATACTGCACGTCGCAAGCTCAGTACCGTGACCACTTCCACAATTCTGCCCCTAGCGAATGTTCCGGCCACCGATATTGAAGCTTCGACTCCGCCGACCGAGTTCGGTGAATGGTAAGCGAAATCCACTCTTGAAGATGAATCCCGGCCTCCACTCTCACTTCTAGACCGGGCCGCTCTTCGGGGTCGACAGATAATGACTTTGCTACAGTCCTATATGCATCGGCCCTTTGGTTCCGGAGCCAACGTATACTGTTACTCAAGACCCACGTCCGGTGCTTGAACATGTTTCAACGGTGACGTCTCACAAGACAACGAGTCAAGCGAAAAGCCAAGAGACAGTCGGACAGACCGAAGAGGTCACCGATACAAACGACGACGTTCTGACGATAAATGCATGCGGGCATTCGTTTCACTCGAAATGTCTCTCGTCATGGTTTTTGATCGATCGATATGACTGTCCCGTGTGCAGGGTACCATACTATAAAGGAATTCCTCGACACCAGCAAGCATTGAATGTATCACCTTTCTGGTAAATACCCGCTTTAGTTGGATCGCTAATCACAATCCGCCACAATCCATGACCAAATACAGAGCGGTTGAGAATATGCATGATTGCTGCAGCCACATTATGAATGTTTAATTCATCTCGATGCCAAACATCAAAGTCACAGCCATTTTATTTCCAGGACCCTTCGTTCGGCAGGGTCCGAGGCATTTTATTGGCTAAACTTGACTCTTTCCGGAGCTTTCTCAGCGACCCTTCTGCAGGTTTGTACTCTGGATTGGTGAAAGGCGTCACAGCGGAGCAGAAACTGGGGTACGTACTTCGGGCGCGATGACAGATCGGCGATCGATGTCCCGCCCACTAATGTCGAGATGACTTCATACCAACAGTCAAGGGCTTGGATCGAGGAATCCGACCAACGATCGTCTTGTTTTCCAGAAGAGCTCCACGAAAAAGCCAATGCGAATTACCAGGTGATGCAGGGGGCATCACTTGTTCCGTTGCGCTACCATACATTCCCGGAAATAATGACAGCGATAGCCCTACTTATTCGCCCTACAACATCACATCCTACCCAGACCATGCATGACGCGCCATGCGTCATTGGCCATTGGCCCTTCGGGCCATTCTCTCCGACTAGAAACCCTTAACTTATGGGATGCGACGTTGGTTACGGAGCAAATCCTCAGGTAGTACTTGATCAGTCGACTTACTGCAATCTTGCGGCTCAAACAGTTACTCGCTTCTTCTTATTGCTGGATATACATGCCATCCCGCCTCCCAGTTCCTCCTGCAAGACTTCTTGCCCTCCTGCCACATCCTTCATATCGCAGAGCTGCATCGACAATGACACCGAAGCGAAAAAGAACTGGCGCCCATCCACCACCCCCGATACCCGAAATGCCTGATGCGAATCCCAGGCGGAGCAGTCGAAGAATAAAGGAAGCTACCGATGAACGAAAGCCAAAGATTGATGTCACAAAGATGGCCTCTGATCCGCTGAAATTGAACAACCCTAAGAAATCAATGGCCGTATGGGACACAGGAGAAGGTGTTGAGGAAGCCATACGAGAATTAAGTGAGATGGAGCACAAGTTACAGGATGCTGTTCGAACACAACGACTAGCAGTTGAATCGTCGGATCTTCATGTGAAGAAAGAACTCGCCCAGGAGCCCAGCGTCCGACCAAAAGTGTACGAGCCGACAAACGATACAGTCGCTGCTCGTGGGAACCTCAACGGAAAGTCAAAGGTTGTTGACACAGGGCCGCTGGATGAGCAAGACGCCAAAGTGGCTGCCGGCGATGTGGACGAAGCCAAAGAAGAAGCCAAAGAAGAAGACAGTGTTGGTAGAGGTGCCGATCGACCCCCTCCAGTGAACAGCGAAACGCTTCCCTTGCCATGGAAAGGGCGGCTAGGATATGTGAGTACAAGATGGTAAACCCTTATACATCGCTGACCCATATAGGCTTGTTTAAATACATATCTACGCAACGCGACACCTCCTGTATTTTCTTCCAGAACCTGTCGCATAGCCTCGATTCTTGAGCACCGGCATCCTTTAGCGAATCCAGACGAACCTGAACATGCGACCAAGAACCGCCCAGATAAATCTCAGCCTGCAGACAATGAGCGAGGTCTCAAGTACGTGCAGGAGTTAGGGTTAGCGAATGCCCGAGACATTGTCAAGATGATTCGATGGAACGTCAAATACGGCATCAAATTCATGCGACTCAGCAGCGAGATGTTTCCATTTGCCAGTCACAAGGAATACGGTTATAAATTGGCCCCGTTTGCATCTGAGGTGTTGGCAGAAGCTGGGAAGGTGGCAGGAGAGCTGAACCACCGCCTGACGACCCATCCAGGACAGTTTACACAGATTGGCAGTCCGCGTAAAGAGGTTGTCACTGCCGCTATTCGCGATTTGGAATATCACGACGAAATGCTCTCCCTTCTCAAACTACCCGAGCAACTCAACCGCGATGCAGTCATGATCCTTCACATGGGAGGCACCTACGGTGACAAGGCCGCCACTCTTGACCGATTCCGAGAGAACTATGCAAAACTTTCAGACAGTATCAAGCGACGTTTGGTGCTGGAGAATGACGACGTTGCTTGGAGTGTCCATGACTTGTTGCCTATTTGCGAAGAGCTCAACATTCCCCTCGTACTCGACTTTCACCACCACAACATCATCTTTGACTCTTCCATTAGAGAAGGCTCCAAAGACATCATAGATTTGTATGATCGCATCCGCGCCACCTGGACCAAGAAAGGAATTACTCAGAAAATGCATTACAGTGAGCAAACGTCTCCTGCTGTCACTCCACGAGATCGTCGCAAGCATTCCGCTCGAGTCAAAACTCTTCCCCCTTGCGCACCCGACATGGACCTCATGATTGAAGCCAAGGATAAGGAACAAGCTGTTTTTGAATTGATGCGCACTTTCAAGTTACCTGGATGGGACACCTTCAATGACATTGTACCTCACGAACGTCCAGATGAGTCACGAAAGGCGATCAAGAAGAAACCCAAAAAAGGAAAGAAAAAGACAGAACAAGTCAACGGTGACGCCGAGGATGATATTGAGGTGCCAGAAAGAATTGTAAGCGCAGAGGATTTTGGTATGGGAGGTCCCCAAGATAGGGTTTATTGGCCAGAGGGTATGGAAGAATGGTTACGACCCAAGAAGAGAGAGATAAAGAAAGCAAAGGAAGGAAAAGATGGAAGTCCCAAGATGAAAGAGGACGGCGATGAGCATTAAGAACAAGATGTCGATTTTGGCGTTATGAGCGATTGGTCATTTAATCTAATTTAATGGAATTGCAAAGATATTTACTTATTTTACTGTGTTGTAATTGATGGATCGAGTGAAAAATGGTGGCTACGTTGTACAGGGTAGTGCCTTGACAAAAAAAAAGTTTTATCATCAACCTCCTCGACAATTCTTTCATCATTCAACAATATTACAAAATGAATTCCACAATCTTTGAAGGTGCAAGCGAAAAGTTCCTGCAGTGGTTCAATTCCCTGCCTGGTTCAACATTTTCTGATGACATCAAAATTGTCGACCTGCGTGATCGCAACGCTGGTCGCGGAATAAGTAAGTCTTTCACTCGGCCGCTGTATCAAGCTTACAAAAGTAGTTGCTCTCAAGGACATACCCGCTGGAACAACTTTGTTTACTATCCCCAGAAATGGAATTATCAACACAGAGACGTCGGAACTTTCTAAGAAAATCCCAGATGTGTTCGACCTTGACAAACCTGACGAGGATGATGTTCCTGGGTTGGACTCTTGGAGCTCTCTGATTCTCATCATGATTTACGAATATCTCCAAGGAGACAACTCACAATGGAAGCCTTACTTTGACGTGCTTCCTTCATCTTTCGACACACCCATGTTTTGGTCGGAGAGTGAGCTTGATCAATTACAAGCCAGTCACATGCGACACAAGATTGGCAAGGCGGATGCGGAGAATATGTTCAAAAAGACTCTTGTTCCCATCATTCGAAGCAACCCAACCATCTTCAATGCCGAGAGCAAAAGCGATGAAGAGCTTGTTGAGATTGCTCACCGAATGGGCAGCACCATCATGTCGTATGCGTTTGACCTTGAAAGTGACGAGGAGGAAGAGGAGGAGACTGAGGAATGGGTTGAGGATCGTGATGGAAAGTCGATGATGGGCATGGTACCTATGGCGGATATTCTGAACGCTGATGCTGAGTTTAATGTGAGTAAATCTTGTGGGTTATCGACAAAACTAACAGATCTAGGCGCACGTCAACCATGAGGAAGAGAGTCTTACTGTTACCAGCTTGAGACCTATCAAGGCGGGAGAAGAAATCCTCAACTACTATGGACCTCATCCCAACTCGGAGCTGTTGAGAAGATATGGATACGTCACCGAAAAGCATTCTCGTTATGACGTGGTCGAGATCCCTTGGGACGTCGTCGAGTCGGTCTTGACCAATTTTGGCATTTCAAGCCAAATCTTGGAGCAAATTGTAAGTCTTACCCACATAAAATTGACCCATCTAACTTGTGTAGCGTGGTGTGTTTGAAGAGGAAGAAGAATTTGAGGATACATTTGTCTTGGAACGCGAAACAGGCGAGGTCAACTCGGATGGTACCTTTGCTGAACCTGCCAAATTCGAAGGCATGCCCGAAGACCTCCAAGAACAACTCAAGTCATTCCTCAAGGGTATCAAGAAAGCACAGCCAGATGCTATAGCCGACAAGAGAAAAAGGGACGAGATTCACCAAGCTGTACTGGTCAAGACGCTGGAGGCCCTCGCAGCGAAATACCCAACAAGCATTTCAGAGGATCAGATTCTACTGAACAGCCAGAACCTTGACCAACGAGCTCGCATGGCCACTGTAGTCAGACTTGGGGAGAAGAAGCTGCTTCAAGAAGCCATCGCCACGTTCTCTGAGGATGTCGAGATGACAATGGATGATGAGTCTGGCCCAGCAAAGCGTACAAAGCGATCAGGCTGATTGCACGCGGGGTTATTATGTGACAGATCGTGTTTTCTCTCTTCTCATGCAAGAGGTGCAGAAGGCATTGAGTTGCGAGCCATCCGCCGAGGCAAGTGAGGCCCTAATTACAATTACAATCGACCATTTATATATAAATGATACATGCCTGAAGAAATTACTTTTTAGACTTACTCCCAAACACATCCGACCGTGAGAAGTTGGACTTGTTAATCCTTGCTAACATACCCGCAATCTCTAAGGTGCTGTTATTACTTACATGCATGACTAGGACTAGGGACACCGAACAATTCTCGGATTTACGTGAAATCTAATTGAGTTGTCTTGTTGACAGCTACTTCAACCATCAATACTCACTCGCGTGCCATTATCTCATTGTGGGACAATGTGTTGGCTGTTGGAGAACCTGAAACTTGAGCTCCCAGGTGCCACAAGCTTGCTACGTTTACTTTGATCGACGATGTCGGTTACATTGAGAGCATCTTACCAACAACCCGCCACCCTCAACGCCTAAGCGAGCTCATAAACAACAACATCATAGCTGCACCGACATCACCACCATCAGCGCTTTCCAGAGTCACATGTTTCCACCTTCTTACCACGAGACACACCAAACTACATCTTGACGGAAACGCCGAAGCCCTTGTGTTCTGGCCTCATATGCAGACCTCAGGGTATCAGAAAAATTGACCACTTGAAGCATAAGAGACGAAATTATTAGGCCACTTTATGCTCCTTAGACCAGAGTTCTTAGGCTACTTATTTTTGTACCCTAAGGCTTGGGAGGTCGACTTTTCTGTTACCCACTAGGCAGATAGAACGCTGCCAAGTCGCAATAACGGCATGGCCAGACCAACAGATCAACATTCAACTTAAGCATGTCTCCATTGGCGGGTAAAGTCAAACTCGGCGACCTGCTATACGGTCGCCAGACGGGTCGCAAAAAACAGGACTTGAAGCGGACCAGACGAAAGTATTAGCACGATCTTAGGCTACATACTCAGGTCCAACATTATCAATCAGTACCGGTTCTATGCGACCCACCGGGATAGGTGTTGATGAGAGGGGGCCGGGCCGCAAGTGTGTGCACACATGGACTGGGGTATTCCTTGCATATAACAACAAGTGCCACCAATCTTTGAGCAGTATAGCCTCGCCAATGGTGCTGAGCGGAAGACTATGTCCGGCAGGCTATAGCTGGAGCTGACAGCCGATTTTATGTCGTCATACCAGACCATACAAGGGTGTGCAGTCTGTCTAAAGGTCTCTCCACATCGATATATCATTATTGAGGGTGTAGTATTGACCGAGACATGAATGCGGCTCTGCGACTCGTCGGGCCATAAAGATGGCAGTTGCTCGAGTGTTATGAAGTGGGCAAACGCTTCAACAATCAGCCATGTCTAAATCGGTACGTGAGCTTTGTTGTGAGTTTTCCTACTAACTAATCTCAGAGTAAACCAACGAAACACTCCTCAGCACGAAAGGGGAGCTCCTCCAGTCAACCTGTTGTTCCGGGTTTTCTGTTTATCACGAACCAACTCATCATCAACAACCCAGATCGGGATTTGTATATGCACCATATCCCACCTCCTTCGCCAAATCAATATGGAGGTGAAGTCCCGAGCAAAGTTATGCGCTACCGTAATGGGGATGTCGCAGAAGCCCCAGACTTTTACTGGCATCGAGACCCAAACTCTGCACCACACGGGCAACTGTTGCGATTTGATGGTCAAGGAGGTTACGTCTTGGATCATACACATATGATTTACACAGCCGAGGAATACAAAACGTTTGGAGTGGCTGCTTGCAACCCATTGCTTCCTGTAATGGTGGTAGAGCATGATCCTCTCGTTTCTACTGGGCACTGGGATCTTTTGCGTATATTCCATCCGATATGTCGTCCTGGTATGTCTCAAGTTGCTACTATCAATAGTCCTATGGGCATTGGAGGTGGCCCTGTACTTTACGTTGCAGGCAGTGGTCCCAGCTGGATGCCTGGCTTAGTACCCAGGACATACAGATCCCCGCGGTCCAGTGTACCACGCTCAGCAGGTCTTGGAGGAGAACTGCCCATCATTCTAGGACTCATGGCGTTGAATGCAACACGTGATCCAAGCAATACTTCTGTACATAGTGTGTTTTTGGGCCACAATCGGATATGGAGGCATGGGCAATGGGTGAGCACTGATGCGCCTCGTGGACGTAAGTACTCGGTATTCGACTCCCAACAGTTGCTAATCATGACAGATCCCTCAACGGCTTCAGATGATCCCACAGGTTTCATCGTCAAGGTGTTTCTTGACCCGGATGACCAATATTCAACACCAGAGCGACTCCTCAATTTAGAGTGGCAGAGCGCTATTGTTCGAGAGTGAGACACTCCAGATATGGTCAACATGGATGCATAGATTGATCTTTAGTCTATTATTCGTTCCTTGATGTATGAAGCCCTTCCTGCTCTGCAGCTCTGCCCCATATCCATCTCATCAGCTGGCCAAACATTGTATGCTTGACTGGATTGAGCACTGTGAATCATCCACGGCTCGATTATGGTTATGTAAGTATTGTTGTCTGACCTCAGACTGCATCAGGAAGTCGTACGGCGATATCTCCAGACTGAGTGATGTATCGCACCCATGGGAGTGAAGGGTATTGCAACTATATTTGTTAGCTTGATCATCAAGAATACGCAGGGTTCGTACCTTTGGCTCGGTAATCTTCAGATACCGAACCTGAATACCACTTGTAGTAAAGTAAGGGATTTCAAACTTGACCTGGATAGGTCGCTTAGCACCCTTGCCTACTCCTCCAACACCTCCCATGCTACCACCAAAACCACCCATCATACCACCACCTTGTTCATCATCACCCCTCACGCTTGGCAGGCCCAGCTCAGCGCGCATGAGGAACTCTTTGCCACCACCAAATTGCTTAATCTTCCAGACAATGGCGCTTTGCTCGGGTGCGTAGTGAACGGATCCAATGTTTGTGCGGAAACGAGGGCTATCAGCATCGTCGGGAACAGGAACCACGATTTCGACGTTGTTGGCGGTACTGCGACGCTTGAACTGAGCACGGGCCTTCAGCATGTATTCGATACGGGATCCTGAATGAGACTCGACGACACACTCTACCCAAATCAATGGCTTGACTTGAGTGTTGAGACGGTAGGACATGAGCTCGAATTCGCCATCAGGGGGGATGAAGGAGATGGTGCGGTCGTTTTCGAAACGTGATAGTCGTACACATTGGTGAAATTTGACATCCTCCATCTCAATAGACTTGCCTCGGGTAGCTCGACCTGTCGTCTCAAACATGACCTTATCATTAAGGCCCAGGCGCAACTCGGGCATACCACTGAGGTAGCACTTCATCTTAATAGCGCCGAGAATCTCAGAACGGAGGACATTGCCGTTTGCGGAGACCAGTAGGTTAAGGGACTCGACGACATCAAGAAAGACCTCGTTCTTGCGGTAGCGAATACCCTCGGATCGCCACGAAACGGCGTTTGTGACAGCAATGGGTGGTCGGGCCTGGATCTCGAGCTTGTGGGATTCCTGGGTAATGTACTCTTGGAGGATCTTGGATTCTGTTGTTTGAGGGTAACCAAAGTCCATCATCTCGTCGAGAAGTTCGTAGATGATGACAAAGTTGTCGCGAATGGACTCTTCTTCTAACGCCTTGAAGTATTCGGTAAAGACCTCGACGACTTTGTGGAGGAACAATAGGATTTCGGCGGCATTGGTATTTCGTTTCGTAAGGGCGAGAAGGTAGAGGTTGTTGTGGCGGATATAGAGGTACTATTCTGTCAGCGGTGAAGGTACACTAGAGAAAAGACATACGTTGATGCCTTCATGGGAGAAGCATGGTGGGACAGCAGAGGAGTCTTCCTCAGCTTCTGAAAGGAGTACAGGGAACTTTTCGACGGCTGACATGGGAATATCACCACGATAGTTTCGAGCAAGAAGGGTCTACAAGCGTTAAAATAAGCGACAATGATCAATGGTAGACAGTGATTGACAAACCTTGCCCTTGAGGTCTAGGAAGAATAGTGCGGAAGCCATGATGCGGTCTTGGCGATGGTCAAGTTCGAGATACCAGGGGAAAGGAGGTCGTGGGTGTCGATAAGATGCGACGGTTCAAGTCTAAGACGCAAAGATCATGTGCAGCCAAGTTTTGAATGGCGAAAGGAGAGACTGAAGAGTAATTAGAGACTATAGAGAAGCGCAGTCAATCATGATGGTCCGTGGCGCAATAATTGAAAATGGGTTTTGGTTTAAGCTGTTTCGCTGGCATCTTTGAGTGCAGCCTGGTCATTCCAAATGCTGGTGACGACGCGGTAGAATATCGGATATTGGTGGGGTACTAAGCTAGAGCTAAAGCTTTCCAAGCTCTAGGTCACGTGGACAGTGGAGCCCCAGAAGGTTGATAAAATGATTTGTTTTTCGCCGTGCTTTTTTTATTTCTTCTTCTCTTCAACGCACCCTCTAGACAGTGCAGACCATTATCTAGCCTGCTACCGAGTGACATTCTGTCATTTCAGCCGCGGAGCCGTTGATGTGAGCTGCGATTTCGTGGTGCGGAGAGGGAAAACTTGGATCCATAAGAACTGCCCGTGTATATTTCTTACGTTGCTTGGGCGGTGTCAGAGGAGCCAAACATATCTTACAAACTGAAAATAAGTTTGCATCGTAAAGTGATTCGTAGGGATGAAACATTGCCGCCCGACGATCTCAGTCTTGTTCTGGAGTAGAATTGCTTCCAGGTGGGTGGCTTTGTCCAGGTGACACTCACTTTTGCCCATGAACTTTTGTTGGGGCGATGAACCGAGGATCTTGGCGACAGTGAAAGATCCTGGTTCTTGAAAGTGGCAATTCCTGCTCTTTTTGTGTGTTGCACATGCTTGATCTCGAAGCGCGCTCCAGAAACGCTCAAGCCCAAATAAACGACTCTGCGGGCCTGGGTAACGCATGTTTAAACCCATCATTTCATCCTGCAAGTTTAAACGCCTGAGGTTATTTTTGCACCTGCTTCATTTGTGCAGCAATAAAAAGCTGCCGTGCATTTCAGGGACTAGATCCTTGACCAGCATGGATAAACAGGGCTCCTCTTCCTGGTACTACATCACCTTACTATGAATGTATAAACTTCACATGCTGAGTCTCAACATCAGCCAACCACGAATCCACGGGATCAGATAGAGGTCCGACGGCAAAAGAGCCGAAAGCCGACTGGTCTGGATAAAGTAAAGTGGTGTTTTACTTTAAGAGGTAGAGAGGTACTGAAGATAAAAGCTAGTGGGTATACGGATATGTAACAGAGAATCAGCCCCCAAGTCTCAGAGTACAAGAATAAACAGTGAGAAAATAGAGCATAACTAATCTACTGATTTTGTCTAGCGGCTAATTTTATGATATCCTTCCAGCAAGCAATGAGCAAGCCATATCTGACGTTATCTTGGACGGTATCTTTCTATTGGATGGAAAAACAACCTTCAAACGCATCAGGAAAAAATACGACCCTTTGAGGCATGTGTTAGAGTTGATCTTGTTAGTGCATCTGGCCATGACTCGGGCGACCCGCTTAACAATATTGACCACCAAAGATCTGGTCTTGCATGTGATGTCGGTGCATCATCATTCCCCAGTTTTGACACGTGCTAGACCAGCCTTCAGGTACAGTTTCTGACCTCTTTACGTAGGTGCAATTCAATTAGAGTTGGCGACGTTTTTGATCTTGTGATGTTCAGGAACATTAACCAAACAACCGAGCTTCCCCAACAATTTTTGTCTATTGCGTTGTCCAATTTCATGTCTATATCTTGTGACCCCGACAAGATTAAAGCCCTGTCTGACCCAATATAGCAGGCTTCTAGCGGGTTTCTTCCCCACCACGTCTATAACAAGTCACCTGAAGCCACTGTAACCGACCCGATTTTTAGTGGGTTTCCTAGGTCTTTCTCTGGCTCGCTTTGGCTCTCCTCAGCCGGTCCCTGCAGCGCAACGAGGAAGTCGCGAGCGCCTGACGTTCGTTTCCTTCCAGGTTTCGTTTCTCATTCCCCCCCACGATCGCTCATTCTCATTCCCATCTCACCCACCCCAACCCAACCTTTTCACTCCGCTTCAACACTAAATCGTCACCGTCATCGTTATTGTCTCTTTCTTTTGTTTCTTTCCCTGAGTTTGAATAATTGTTGTTTCTGCGGCCCTTGGCCGTTTACTTCACTCGATGCTTCTTTGACATATCCGTCTTATCACCGACCAGCGCCATGGAGCGTAATCACATGCTTCCGAGCGATGGTGAGACCGAGTCTCGCCATCCCCTCGGACCACCACCTGCTCGACCATCACCTTCTCTAATGGCATTATCCCCTCCGGCTTATTCAAATCTCGCGATACCCAACTCAAGGGAGTTCCCAGATGTCCCTACAGCGGACCCATCGACATTTTTACCACCTCTAGCTCGTGTTGGAGCCGACAACGATATAAAACTGCCCTCAATCAGCTCTCTCCGAAGTGAAATGGCCCTCGAGCCGCCGCGAGCATGGGGTCCTTTACCACCGATGCCCCCGAATCATGCGATACCCATGGGACTTCAATCTATCGATAGCCCCACTCGAATGGATCTTGATACGAGCAGCAACAGTGCTATTAGTGCTGCATCACCCGATCGACTTTTGGATGCGAGAGCTGGAAGCGTCAGTCTTGACGATCCCGATGTACGACTGGCAGCTGAAGCGCTTGGAGATTTGAGAGCAGGTGTGTTTATTTTATACCTCCATCGACTATTACTAACCGTTGTAGATTTTATATCATCGCCACCTCACACGAATTCGTCGCTTCCAATCAGCCCACCACCCCACGGACTTCAGAACGGATCGCAACCTCAACAACCGGAACCGCTTCTGTCTCTTCTGACGACAACTCATCCTTTACTGGCCAGCACCATCGAGGGTGCTACCTCTGCGTATGGGGGCGCCAAGAATTTTTCACCACGTTTTCGATCAGGCGCCGAATATGTTGAAGGATATTTGACACCAATCGCAAACACCGTTGGCTCTGTTGGTCGAGTCACTGGTGTTGAGGGTGGTGTTCGATGGTTTTTGGGTGCTGGACGACGACAAAATAGCTCAACATCTGATCTCGAAACTGGCAACAGCAAGAAACGTCGTAAGGTGGACAGCGAGGATGAGGCAGTCAGCAACAAACGATTTGAAAGTGAAGGGATGCAGCAGATGTCTGATGAGCTTGATGACGCCTTTTCGCCGTCTTCAAGGACACTTTCTCGTCGCATGTCAACCACAAGCACTGTTGATACTCTTCCTGCATACGATGAAATGCGATCCCCTGCATATACCGAGACAGATGGTCAAAATTCCCCTCGCCCAACTTCCCGACCCAATAGTGCATGGCAGTCACGTCTTATTATGTCAACTTCTGGCTTGAGTGTAGCCATGAGTGAGGAAAGTTTGCGAAGTCTCAAATATTGTCTCCAATGGCTTCGATGGGCCAATGACCACATTTCTCGCGTCATCATGGCATTGAAGACAACTCTGGAACAGTATGAAAAGGTTCAGCCACAAGAAGGATCCGAGAAACAAATTGGTCAAGGGTCTGAGACAGAATCTCGAACTGTACTTGCAGCTCGTATTTCGAGTCTTAAGAGTGACGTTCTCAAGACTCTTCGTGATGCTATCAACACTGTATCAAAATACGCAGGAGGCGCATTGCCTGAAAACGCAAGAGTTCTTGTGCGACGTCATCTCACCAGTTTGCCCCAACGATTCCGCATTGCTACCATGTCGGACAGAAATCCCAACGGTCAACAAGACAGTGACTCTGCTCTGACCGAAGGTGCACAAAAGGTCTTGGTTTTGGCCAAGGAGGGCTTGGACATGGTTGTCCAAGTCAGTGGTGTTGTTGACGGAACAATCGTTAGTGCTGAATCATGGCTTGACCGTATGGGTAAGCGACGGGCTCAAGACGAAAAGCCAATGTTGCCTCAAACAGAGTCCAGCGGCGATGTCAAGATGGGTTGATCGGAGTATATGAAGTCTAGTACAAACCGAAAACAAAAGGTAGTCCCTACCAACAAAAGGATGGACGGCTGAACAAATCTGGCGAGTTCCAATACCACGAGGAGCGTCGCATTTTTGCATTTCTTTGACGATATTGACGAGGAGCGTTGAGCTGGATCTATATAACCGAGTTGCCATATTTGCCGCTTCTATTCTTTCTTGTTCTTTTTTCTTTTGTTATTTTATTCACCTTTGCCTTTTGGATGGCGTAATGGTGGCTTCATAGCACAAATATGAGCTGGTTGCGAAGGCGTTCTTGACATTACTGATTACGGTCCTCGTTCAACCCACTGTCTATTACTTCGCAATGGCCGCAACAACACATGAATAACAACAAGTCACAACGAGTGTTGCATCTTGAACTCGTATTTGACGACGATCTTGAATACAAGTAACACGACTCGCGATCTGATTTGAACATTTAATCAGCGACCTTTTACGGCCTCGAGCGACTACTCGCCAGCAATGTATGGTACTAATATATCCGTGCCTTCATTAAACCGCCAATATCCCATTGATTTGATTGTATGCTGGGGTTGGCTATTCTTGTGCCATACCTAGCTCAAGCCTTCCAGTGATACATATCGGCATGTTTCTCAGCATTGCATACCGAAAAGCGAGCAGTTAGACTCAAACCAAGCACGAGTAATCCGATGGGGTTGTCCTCAAAGTATAATGACTTGAAAGCATGCAGCCTTGTCAGGAAAGTTGGGCTCATAAAGTAACCTTATTCTCACACAATACAAGAGCATGCTCTACAGCCCACTTCTTCTTCCTTCAACACAAACAAAGAAATACCGAAATACCAAGCCTCCATGTCAGTTAACTTGCCCAATTTATCATACGCCCATCCCTATTGCTAACTAATATTAGCCACAACAACACAATAGTCAGACGGCTGGGCCTACAAGGGCCTCACGACGACTATTGCTATAGGCACTACCTCAAAACAATTGACATTAAACTGGCCTTTGAAGCAGGCCAGGAATAACAACCGCCAAGATTGACAATGAGACAAGGGTTATTACAGACCAGTTCAAAATGGCAAGTAATGCTGGCCTCGTCACATGCAAAGACATCTTCTCGAATACAATCCCAATGGTGAGTCTCAGAGCCAGATCCAACTAACTATACAATTTAGAATCGAATTCATCTGACACGCACACACTAGACACCAACCTCGGTCTTTATGGCGAGCTCGCTATCGCAGTCAGGTAAATGCTTGTGCACCCAGCCGAGGTTGCCTTTGTTCAGTTGACCATTGACAAGTCTGACTGCATGACAAGCTCCATCGCTCTGACGTGGTGAACAGAATGTCCTTTAAGACCCTCCACAACAGCAACGACACTCTTGCGACTTATGTACGAGTTGTGGATCGTCAAAACACCCATAAGCAGGACCAGGATGACGATTTGTTAGTTTGCGATACCGACTACCCTAAAATTGGACGCGAGAGTGACATAAGAATTACGACTTTCAACAAACTTATGGAGAAGTCTGAGTTTCGTGATACTTGCATCTTTTGGAGCACGTGGTGTCTACGAGGCAGTTGTGGACGATTATCTGAGTCAAATGGGATTCCTATTACTACGTACCTGATTCATATACCCCGTCAACTTCATCTTCAATGTTTCGCCAATCGATTCCGGCATAACGGTCGTCTACGTCATCCGATCAGCATCGGCCTGTCGGGAGTCTCCACGCTAAATCTCTAGCCAGGTCAACAAACCCTGCTATCTCCATATCTAGCCAGCTTCCATTCTAAGCTTCGAGATCGTGATTGCAACTCTCTCTGAGGATTTAGTGACGACGGGATACCCAATTAAGCCTCAGAATGATGGGCGAAACCGTTGATGCGTTCGGTGTAATTATGATGCTTCCCGAGTGTCGGAGCATTTGAACCGCCGAGCGTCATAGACATTTGACTTGTCTTCACTTACAAGACGTCATTAACAAGAGGTCAAAGAGACGTTAACAAGAGGGAAGAAGTGGTATAAATACTGCTGGATGAAAGAACCTTGATAGACGATCTACATCACTATTCACTTTTATTCCGTCTAATTCATCCTACTTTGCCAAAATGGGTTACCCTGATACTTTCGAAGGCTTCTGCGTCGACAGCCCCAAATCATGGAACAAGTTCGAGAAGCAAACCCTTACACCCAAGACCTGGGGAGACCGCGATATTGACGTCGAGATCGAATGCTGCGGTGTCTGCGGTTCTGATGTTCACACCGTCACTGGCGGCTGGGGAGACTTTGAGGGTCCTCTCTGCGTTGGTCACGAAGTCGTTGGCAAGGCTGTCCGAGTCGGCGACAAGGTTAGCGAGATCAAGGTTGGCGACCGTGTTGGTGTTGGTGCTCAGGTTTCTTCTTGCCTCAAGTGCAAGCTCTGCAATAACAAGAACGAAAACTACTGCCCTGATATGGTCGACACTTATAACTGCAAATACCCCGATGGTAGTGTTGCTCATGGCGGTTTCGCTTCTCATATCCGTGCTCATGAGTACTTTACCTTTAAGATTCCTGATGCTCTCAAGAGTGAGGAGGTCGCTCCTCTTCTCTGCGCCGGTATCACCACTTACTCTCCTCTTGTGAGAGCCAACGTCGGTCCAGGCAAGGTCGTTGCCGTTCTTGGTATTGGAGGTCTCGGCCACATGGGCATCCAATGGGCCAAGGCTTTGGGTGCTGAGGTCTACGCCATGACACACTCCCCCTCCAAGGTCGACGACGCAAAGAAGTTAGGCGCAAAGGAGGTTATTGTCACCTCTGAAGAAGGATGGGCCGACAAGTACAAATTCACCTTTGACTTTATCCTCAACTGTGCCGATATGACACACCAATTCGACATGAACGCTTACATGGGTACACTCAACATTGGCGGCGAGTTCCACAACGTTGGTCTTCCCGACGAACCTCTTCCCCAGTTCACTGCTGGTACCTTTGCTGGCAATGCTGGTAAGATTACCGGCAGCCATCTCGGTAACAACCAGGAGATGAATGCTATGCTTAAGCTTGCTGCTGAGAAGAACATTGTTTCTTGGGTTGAGACAATTGACATTTCTGAGAAGGGATGTGCTGAGGCGGTTGAGCGTGTGAAGGAGAATAAGGTGCGCTACCGATTTACCTTGACTGGATTTGAAAAGGTGTTTAAGAGGGATTAATTATAATTTATAATAATACATGACTTGAATATTATTTACCTTGTTATCTGAGTGATGTTTGTTTGAACAGTGCATGTGTGATTCAATGCGAAGAGAATAATTGATCACAATTGCTTAAACTTATAGAAGGCAAGTGGCAGATTACTTATTATTATTCATGACTATTCATTATTTAAGCACCGATGGCCTTGAGAATGGCCTTGCCAACAGCGTGAGCAGAAGCAGGGTTCTGACCAGTAATGACCTGTCCATCAACAACCAACTTCTCAGCCCAGTCATCAGCCTTGACATACTTTCCACCAACACGCTTAATCTCATCCTCAAGAAGAACAGGCATAGAGCTAGTCAAGCCAACAGCTTCCTCCTCAGAGTTGCTGAAACCAGTAGCCTCACGTCCCTCAAGAAGAGGCTTTCCATCAATCTTGACCTGAGTAAAGACAATAGGTCCGTGGCACACGGAAGCAACAGGCTTGCCAGCCTTGTAAAACTCCTCGATAAGCTTGATGGAAGTCTCATCGTTGACGAGATCGAACATGGGGCCGTGACCACCGGGGTAGAAAATGGCGTCGTACTCGGAGGACTTGTCGAGGAATTCCTTGAGGGGGGCGGTTTGCTCCCAGACTTGCTTCTTCTCGTTGAGGAACTTTACTGATTCCTCATCGGCCTTGAACATCTCGACGGAGCCTTGGTCGAGGGGAGCTTCACCGCCTGCGGGAGAGGCAGTGACGATCTCGACGCCGGCGTTTACGAGGTCGTAGTAAGGGTGAGCGAGCTCAGGCTGTTGTTGTTGTTAGTATGAAGAATTGAATGTGATAGAGGTGAGACGTACCAAGTACCAGCCGGTAGGGTTGCCATTGTTCATCTTTGACTGGCTAGTCAGAACGACGAGAACCTTGGGAGCCATATTGATATATTTGGTTTGGGTATTTGGTAAGTAAGTGTGAGTGTTATTGAGATGAGAGAGTATATGAATAAAAAATCATGACGCAGTTCAAGACCTTTATATAAACTTCTCTTCCCCGCCTCCACTGAACCCTTGCAGCAAAGTCGGACCAATTCGAAACCGTTTATGCTTCACGCGTTCCAAACAATGACAAACTCTTCCGTTGAAACTTCTGACGTCAGACTAACGGGGGGTCTATCTGTCTATTCTCGGCACTTACGCCCGTGTAGTACCGGACTATTGTGTGGGGCTCGCCGGGGTTCAGTACCTCGGTGCTACCGATGAGCTGACGTTTGAGGACAGTTTTTTTTTTTTTTTACTATGAAGATCTTAAACAAGAATGAGAATCTTGTAGAAGATTGAAGGGTCCACATTGAATGCATTGATAAGCATGAATTAATAGCTTCTGGTGGATCCAGTCCTCAACTTAAAGCATCAAGCGGGACTATCTAACACGTGTAGATATGCATGCAAGCGGTAAGCGGACTTAAGGTGTCAGCTTGAATCATGTAAAGAAAGACTGACATAAATGTTTCTAGTGGATCCTCCTTAAAGCATGAAACGGGTATTTTAACTACAGAAAAGGGTTACAAACTAGCCACGATTGTATTGCAAAGGAGGAGGCAAAATAGTAGACTGGGTTTGACAGTTATAGGATTACAAGTATTGATACAAGTCGGGCAGAATGTTGAATAGGGAGTTGTTCGTGATCGTGATCACGATTAACATATAATCAACGGCTTCATAGGTAGGTAGTTCAGTTTCAGTTACAGCAAACAGTGACAAGTTCATTCATGTCTGTTCTAAGCCACGGCCACAACGCCAAACCATGCAACGCCAGAGACTGACACAATCATCTTTTTCCTCTACCACCACCTCCTGGCATACCAGGCATACCAGGCATACCACCACCACCGCCCATACCCATCTGTCGCATCATAGCTTGCATATCCATACCGGCAGGCATACCGGGCATACCACCACCACCTCCTCCTCCTCCTCCTCCGCCAAGCATCTTCATCAAGCTTCCCATATCAGGCATACCTCCAGCGCCGCCTGCACCTCCCATACTCTGTAGTCTCTTTTGCATGGCTGCTAATTGTTGGGCCTTGTTACCACCACCCATGGCTTGTTGTGCTCTCTGCATGTTCTTCATGTTACCACCCATCTTCTTGGCCATACCAGCCATCATTCGCTGCTGGGTAAGGAGATCTTCAACTTCTCGTACTGATGTTCCCGAACCACGGGCAATTCGTGTCATTCTAGTTGGTTGATCGATGAGAATCTTGCCGTCCGAGTCGAGTTCCTTGTCGGTCATGGAATCGCAAATGTAGATCATTCGCTTGAGTTTGGCACCACCCTCTTCATCGTCCATACCCTGCATCATGTTGCCCATACCAGGAATCATACCAGCCATCTTTGATAGAGGACCCATCTTCATAATATTGGAAAGCTGATCCCTCAAATCGCGGACTGTAAAGATACCCTCCTGGATATGCTTGATGGTGTCTTTTTGGTTGAGGTTAAGACTTTGAACGTGCTCCATCAATCCAGCCATGTCGCCCATGCCAAGCAACTTTTGCACGAATTGTTGAGGAGCGAACTTTTCGAAATCCAGCATATGTTCACCAGTACCGATAAAGACAATGGGAGTGTGTGTGGCTGCGACGGCGGAAATAGCACCACCTCCGTGGGCATGACCGTCTGTCTTGGTGATAATGATGGCACCGAAATCAGCAGCTTCCTTGAACGCCTTTGCTTGCGACTCGGCTTGTTGACCGATTGATGCGTCGAGAACCATGATTGTTTCGTCGGGCTTGATGGCTTCTTGAATGTCCACCATCTCTTGGAACAGAGCAGACTCTTGTCGGTGGCGACCTGATGTATCGACAATGATAACTTCGAATTTCTCCTTCCTGAATTGTTCGACACCAGCGCGGGCGACCTCGGCGGGATCGGTCTCGGTGAGGGAACCATAGTACGGAATCTTGGCCTTTGTAGCGTTCTGCTTCAACTGATCAAAAGCACCAGCTCGGAAGGTATCCGCACAGACCAAACAAGCCTTGAAACCTCTCGACTGGTAGTGTCGCGCGAGTTTTGTACAAGTCGTTGTCTTTCCGGCACCCTGAAGACCGACAAACATAATGACATTGCTCTTGCCCTTCTTTGGTCTAAACGGTTCGGCGTGGGGATCGACGAGTTTGACGAGTTCATCGAAGACGGCTTTTTGGATGAGGCGCTTCTTGTTAACGGCGGGGGGGAGTTCTTTAAAGTTGACTGTTGTTTTGATGGACTTTCGTAGTTGACCGACGAGTTTCACGTTGACGTCTGCTTCGAGTAGAGCGGCGCAAATCTCCTTGAGCATGCCATCGAAGGCCTGAACAGACAGCTAGTTAGCAAACAGGGTGGCGAATTGAGAGGGGAGGTCGTACCTTTTCATCGAGGTTTTGCTCTCGTGTGAGGTTTGTGACCGCCGCGTTAATGCGACGGCCGAGATCTTGAAGAACCATGGCGTTTAATTATTTGCGACTTGAATGTCGCGGGGTATCTGATGATGGAAGATGAGTGTGGCCACGATCAAGATGTGGAGGTGGGGTTCAGTCGGATAAAGTTTATCCGGCAAGACGCCGGTAGTAATTGCCTTGCAGGGTAATTACAGCCTGGAACATGTACATATAAGAGGATAAGAGAACAACAAGTTCAATGCCGTAGTATCATTTCAGATCAATTAATGCAATCATGGGTCGTCATAACTTACAGTATCCCAAAGACTCCGTCAATACCATCAAACGGTACAAAGTCCACGGAGTGTATGATCTCGAAACTGTCCATAGTATCGTCAACACATGTCCAATCCTTCATGTCTCATTCAATTCACCTTCCCAACCATTCCCAGTCGTTCTGCCAATGATAGGGCAGCTGGGATCATTCGACCGACCCAGTGCTGATCTGGGCGACCCCTTGGAGCTTTATCTACATGGCTACGTATCTTCGAGAATAATGAACCTCGCCCAGTCCTCAACAGTCGACGGAGAAGAGGTCCAAGGAATGCCAGTCTGTGTCGCAGCATCTCATGTCGACGGACTTGTCTTGACTCTGGCAACTTTTTCGCACAACTACAACTATCGCTCCGCAATGCTCTTCGGATACGCAACCACCGTGAAGTCAGACGAAGAGAAGCTGTATGCTATGGAACTGATATCCAACAGTGTGGTGACTGATCGATGGAGACATACCCGTCAGCCACCTTTGGCATCGGAAATGCAAAGCACCAACATCTTGAAGGTCAAAATTGTCTCGGCAAGTGCCAAGATCAGCGCGGGTTCGACCACAGATGACAAAAGTGACATGGAAAACAATGAACTGGTTAACTCGACATGGACAGGAGTGTTGCCGGTGTATCAAACAATTGGGGATCCCATCCCAGGACCGTACAACACAGCCCAAGTTCCTGATCATGTTGGCAATTTCGTGACGGATACAAACGATGAACGAAAGCAAAGATCTTTGAGGGCGGCAGAGGGTGAGAGACGGGCATCTTAGGTAGATATCATGACAACGATCAGTAAACCCTTCATCCCGATACTATTTTGAGTTCAATATTCTGAACCAGTTGGCTAGTTACATTATAGTGAACCCCTCCAAAATACACTTATAATCCTCAATCATCTTGAACATGTAGCGCCGCCGATGCCTCGGCATCTATCAGACCTTTCTCCCGCGTCGACCTCGACCAGAACGGTTTTGATGACGAGAGCGGTTTTGATCCCGAGGCTTCCAACGACTGTCGGGGCCGTAATTCTCATCGCCTCTCATTTGTACAATCCGTCCACTGGCTCGAATCATGCGGAATACATGCTCGAACACTGCTGGGTTTATTCGTGCCTCTTTCTCCTGCGCCTCCTCCTCATCAGGGGGCGGGTTGGGCCTCGTGTTGATGTCCCCAAAGATCAAAAGGCTTGATCGTTGGCGCGTCAATGCGACGTTAAGGCTACGCTCTTCTGCGACAAACAGCGGACCTGTTTTTGCGTCAACACACAGAGCTAGCACAACGATTTGGGCTTCGCGGCCCTGGAACTTGTTAAACGTAGTCAACTCCACACCCTCAAGCACTGGTTCCTCTCTAAACCTTTTAGCAATTGCCCCACGGCTTGCTCGGTACGGAGTCAGAACGACGATGTCTTCAGGAGGCAGCTCTAGCTCACAGATCATCTTGACGAGAAACTCCGCAATAACGTCAGCTTGTCGTGGGTTGAGTCGGGAAAGGCTGTCTTCGTATTCCCTGCATGGACAATTGACACAGTGGAAGAAAACTGGCTGTAGTGTATTTTCGGGGGAGGACGGGATGCGATGCTCAGCTTTGAGATACTCCTCAACTTTAAGTCCAAGACTAAAGTTGGTCGGGTGGCATGAGGGACTGTAGGTGAAATGGGACATCAGACTCTCGTAAACTGCGTGCAATGAGAGATCAAACAATCCCTCCGCCATCCGATGCTGCGTATACAAATGGAACACTGGCCATCCGAGATGGATAAACCACGACAGCCAAGAAACTATTGCAAATTTGGCAAATCGATTGGTAGGAACACGGTCTGAAAGAAACAAAGTTCTGTCTTGGCGTCTGTCGTGTTTGCTCTGGTTTCCTTGAAGCAACTCAAAGGCAGTTGTTAGGTTTGGGGCAAGCTGTTTCGGATCCCCGATGGCAATCATGGGTCGAGGTGTGTTGCCATATACTAATAATCCATCAGAACAAAACATCGTCGCCGCCTCGTCAAAAACAACCGCTCGAGCTTTTGTGTCGTTGAAGCACCGATAGATCGAGGAAGCAGAAGTTGCGGGGGTGGTTGCGACAACATTCGCACACCCAACGACGAGTTTCATTAACTGGATCAGGGTTTTTTTGTGCGAATCCTGTGTGATAATGCGTTCGTAGTCGGAAGGAGACTTAATTCCTTTGGCAAGTCTTACCAGTTGTTGGAAAGGTAAAAGTTCAGAGTCATTTGAAGACGGCGCAACAAGTGCACTCAATCTCTGGTGAAGATCCCGAAGCTCGATGTTGTTGTCCGCATCTAATTGTGGTACTCTTTCTGATCCCAATACGCGCATTGTCCACCAGCACAAGGAGTGACTGAATTTCCAAGGAGACGGATTCTAGATATCGTCCTTGAAGGGTTTGCCAAACAAAGCCATTGTGCAGTTCTCGACCTCGATACTGAGACTGTATCCCCTCAATAACATGAGGCGCTTGACATGGTTTTTGGGCAGCGTTCTGGTGATCGCCTCAGTCATGCTATCGATACGTTCGATGATGTTGTCCGTGGCACCATTGGAGGCTGCAGCAACGTACACATGATTGATGAATTTGTTGAAACACATGAGTATAACAACAATCGAGGCAAGATGGGATTTCCCAGTCCCAGGGGGGCCAGATACTAGCCCAAGACCAAGATATAGCTTACCAAAATATTGCTGTACCCTTTCCCTGTCATCCTCGAAAACATGATTCAGACAGGCATCTCGGACATCGGTTGGGATGCCTCCGAAAATGTCAAACGAAGGAAGTCGAACATCGGTGCCCTGCTTCTGTAACGACCAGAAACCATTGCCGGTGACCAACTCTTTGAATATTGCCTGTCTGCGGGGGTTGCGGGTATCTGCCTCCATCACTGAGGGCGAGATCGCCTGGCTGCTCAGTCTGTTGATTGCGGACACTCGTAGTTCTTCGTGACGGAGATTCAAATGGCAGCGAAATGTCACGGTGCTCTTTTTCAAGTCCTTGCCCGTGCGTGGGTACTTCGGATAGCTAGAAGGACAAAACTTGTGGCCGCGCGAGTTCTCCTCTGGGCGCGTCAGGAGTAGCGCAATTCGACGGTTGAGATCCACTCCGCGAAGATGGTCCGATGTAGCAATTGTCAGATGGAAAGCTTCCCAAGTTACACTCCAGGTCGCTGATGGCTTGAAGGTTACCTCCAGCTTGCAGGCGTCTCCCCAAACCGCGCGACGGGCTGCGCGCCAATGCTTAGGCTCCTGTTCCGAAGTGTTAGATACCACCGGTTTATAGAAATAATTTACTCACAAATAGGTTGTCGGGTTCAAGCAAGCAAACGAATTCGGTTGTCCTGTCCACGGATTCTTCGCCGATTCTCTAAATCAGGCATGGCAACTCCATCTCTGCAACCTCTTCTAGAGCAGCGTTGAAGTGCCAAACGTCCTGAACATGCATTTGGGTTAACGCTGTATCCCTCTCGTTTGCGTTCTCAAAGCGAACTCGAGGGTAGAACGCATGACCTATGAGTTCGGGAACTTGCTCTCCATACCGGGCCATATCCCAGGTGTGCCTGTGAAATAAAACCAGCATCAGTGAAAATGAAAGGGGCAAACAGAGAGGATTGAAGCAATGGCTTGAGCACTCACACTTCTCCGTAGCCAAACTTCTCTGGCTTTCGGGGGGCTTCCAGGCCTGAGATAATGTGACCGATTTGTGTCTCGTTGATGAGAATGGTGAATTCACTCCGCTGGAGGACTTCGGAGAGACTTGCAACTCCACAAATCTGGGTATCTTGGTTGACATATCCATCGACCGTCGCGTCCAAGCCGTGGAAAGGAGTCCCGAAGCCGGTAATTCGAGATCTGCAAGGCTCATCGGGCGTGGAAGTGAATGTAACTATGCGAAAATCTTCCGCCTCGTCACTATCCACCAAAACCTTAAAGGCGTTTGTCTCATCGTCGTTCAGTTGGCGGACGTCAGCGCTGGAGCCACGAAGATCGATCGAAACATGATGAAGGGTAGAAGGTTTCATTCCGAGGTCTCGACTGTACCAAGCCCATACACTGCAGTCAGCATCTCGTGGAAACGATAGGCGAATGCCCTCAAGGGTAAGATTGACAAAAATGGATTCTTCAGTGATAGAAGGCGAGGGAATGCACCCCCAACCACCTTCCTTCGAAGGATCGGGGATCAACAACGTGCATCGGACCTGCTTCGAAGGCTTGGCCATGGTGAAAGATGCTGATGTTGAAGGAGGAAGGTGGGCAACCCAGATGCGAGGTGGGAGTTGTGAAGAAAAGAAGAGGGAAAGGAGATGAGGGTGGGAGAAAGGGAAGGAAATAAATAGAGTGGGTTTCCCCTCTCTGATTCAGGCAGCAGCTCTGATTCACAAGCAACTGTGATCATGAGGGGGTGCAAAAATTAAGCAAAGGCAGTTCAAACTTTTAGACTGACAGTTGCTGGCACTGCGAGTGGCCCAGCTACCGATCTCCTCCGTTTCTTTGGCCCATCACCAGCAGGTAACTCGTAGATCTTCAACGGTACATTGTAGGTGTATTCTTGTCATATTATTCTACGGCATCCTGGATATCAATCTCTTCTAAATGATACGTCTTGTCCAGCACATCTGTATATAGGTCATGGATATTCTCCTGGAACTGCTCATGCATTCGTCGGGTTAGAGATGTCATCACGCTCCTACTCAGAAACTCTGATTTTCTCTTCTTACTCTTCTTCCAGTTGTGGCTCACAAAAATACATTTGCATTCGTACTTCCCTTCAGCTGTAAACTCATTAACATTAGCATGTCTGCACGGCCTGCTCGTTTAGTATTATGTTTTCTTCGGTCGAGTGAGACATTTATCCGTATTGATAAGAATAAACTTCTTCTCTAGAGGCTTCTTCCATCACATCTGATTTGTTGGTACCTTAAAGTGCTCTCCCTTGTCAGTCACCAACACTCGGATGTCAATTGAACAGAAGTCTCATGTGAGAAAAATGACAGCTGGCTGAGCTGCATAACAATTACAAAGGAGTTCAGGGGAAATAACAGTGCGTCTTATTTCCTTTCAGCTGTCTTCCACAAGCCACAGCAGGATCTGCAGCAAAGAATGTCACTCAAGGGAAGGTTCAAGACATGCAGTGTTGAAGACACGAAAAAATATTAGAGTTGGTGCATTAAAGAACAGCCTATTTAGAAGTGTCTCAAACTCCCTTGATTTCCGTTAGTGCAAGGAAATTGTTGTAGGTAAGGGATGCGTATAATAGGGAGGGATAAGCTATATCTTAACCCCCTCGAACTCATTCTTCCTAACCTGAACGTCCTGTCATCTTTCAGGACAATCAGACTTTTTCCTATCGCCAACCATCGCCGACTTCCAACAACCTGCCGTTGGTCTTTTGAAGTGCTAAAGCCGTTCATGACTTGATGGCTGCCATTATGGGCTTCCTATATCTGCGTCGGGGTAAGAGGCAGAGAGGCCTTCTACTCGCCCTCGGTATCCTGGTATCGTTTGGGCTGATCGTGCACTATCGGTCATTGTTTTATTCTCCATCACCTAGTAGAGACCTGCTTCTATCAGCAAAGCTACTAGCAGCAGAAGATACGCCACAGATAATGCAACAACTATGGAAGCCTCTACTTCACGATCTCAATGCTACACACTTCATCACGAAAGAAGGTTATCGCTACACGATTGCAGAAGGCAACCATCGCTGGGAATCGCCTTTGAAGAAAAGGTTGCTCATTCTAGACGTGGACACTCGGCTTGACAGAGGCGCTGGCGCTGTTACGAACAAATCACCCTTATCTCCCAGTGAATTAACAGGGAGGTCAGGTGGCATGATGAACCACTACCTCTACGGTACATTATCTCTCTATTTATTTTCGCTGGTAGCAGACTTCTAACACATCTCTTCTCGACAGCTATGATTCACGGTTATGACTATCAATTCATCCGAGCTCCCGACTATTACAACCGCCATGGAACATGGGTAAAGGTGCCTATGATCAAACAGGCACTTGAGAGTTATGAAACCGTAGTCTTTCTCGATGCCGATGCTGTCTTTGTGTATCCCGAACTTCCCCTAGAATGGTTAATGAGTCTATGGAACATAACAGACAAGACCCTTGTCGCCATGGCTAACGATCCAGATACACCAAAAAATCGTGATGCACAAGGCACAGTGATGATGAACACGGGCTTTATCATCGCTCGACAAAGCGACCGGACCCAAGACTTATTTCATGATTGGAATCAGTGTCCGACCGACACGAAATATAAAGGTTGTCAAAGGTGGATGAAGGATTGGGCACACGAGCAGGCAGCGTTTTCGAACCATGTCCGCTACGACTATAATTCAACAGATGAAGTGCGCAAGATTCCGCGTATGGACGGAAATGGAGGCAATGGGGTTTTTGTTCGTCATAATTGGTTTCATAAGGATTCTCCTGCAAATGATTTGCGAGAGCTACTTCTCGATATACTGGTAAAACGGATACAAGCAGGTTTTCACCATGAGCAGAATCAGTTCCTAGATGCAAGTCATTATACGCATCGATTTAATAAACTTGACAGTTGGTAGAAATGGATATATTATAGATAATTGATCCCATTCATTTTCTTACGGGGTCCCAGTGGCTTTGAGATGCGAATGTAAACAAACGAGATGTGCAGAAATAATGCACAATCCCGTGTGTTCGTTCTATGACGATCCAAAACCACCGTTAAAGTTCGACGCCTTTGCATCTTCCCTTCACCTCCATTCCTCCATTCTAAGCAGCACAAAAGCGGATTAGCCCCCTGCAATTATTGCGAGGAATCGTCGTTAGTTCAATACTGGTCTTACAATCCAGGACCCTTTTCATCAAAATGCCAAGAACGGTTCAACGCTCAACTCGCCACATTTCCCAAAACTCGGAAGTCTTTAATCTCGAGAATGTCATCCAACTATCGTGACTAGCCAGTCCGAGCGCCACAAGATCAACGACCCTCAAATCCACCTCTTCTGATCAATCCGAGTCATTGCCGCCACATGGAAGCCATCGAAACCCTTGCTAGACTAGAATAAAGTTCAGCGCGAATCGCTTAGCGTCGTTGATCTCCAACGGTAGATCCAAATAAGTCCACGGCCGAAAAGCTTAGCCTTTTTCCCTTTAAACAGTCGCCTTTTGGCTATTTCTTGATTTCTCCAATTCCTACACAATGCTTGACCTTGTTTCCATGTCATGTGGAATGCAACAGGTCCCGACTCGAATCGAAATGCTCCTCCGGGGGTTGTCCCTGATTACAACCACCCGGAGGATGTATACTGGACGCTCAATATCGTTTTGACTGTCATTTGTGTATTTTTTGTTACAGCTTTCTTTCTTGTACGAGTTTATGTCAAACGTACGATTAATCGCAATATAGGGGTTGAAGATTGTACGTACAAAGTCTGTATGATGACCAAGCTGACAATTGTAGGGACATGTTTAGTAGCGTTTGTACGACAGCCTTCTATTGTCGGTCGGTTCTTGCTAACTTCTTAGTTCTGTGTAATTATGTACTGTACAACAGTTTTGATGAGTATGTACATCTTTCTCAATGTCTACTCTGCTGACAAGATAGTGGCCCGATATGGAGCAGGTTATCATGCTTGGGAGATACGCAAACCGGAATACTACAATTGGCTCAAGGCAAGTCAAGTCACCTTACACTTTAAGGCTCACCTAACATTTCCAGTGGTTCTATGCCAGTACCGTTGTGTATATCCCCGCCTCCTTCTTCACCAAAGCGACCATCCTCCTCCTCATGGCACGAGTCTTTGCCGTCGAACCACGAGTCTCCAAGGGAATCCGAATATTCATCTGGGCATTACTAGTCGCATACATCCCGATCCAGATTTTGCGAATCGTCAATTGTTATCCTATCCGAACATATTGGGATCCGAAAGTCCACAACGCCCATTGCCTCAACCAGCGAAAGATATTCTTTTCGGATTTATCGCTATCAATCGTTACCGATCTCTTAATTCTTCTCGTACCGATACCGTTGACATGCCAACTTAATTTGTCTGTCGGGAAGAGAATCAAGATTGTGTTGCTTCTGGGAGCTGGAGGGATTGCGACAGCTCTGACAGTCTTCCGAGTGGCGAAAGCGGTTGACTTTCTCAACTCTGACGACATTACTGTGGATTATACTCCAATTGCCATTCTAACGTATGTTTCAATCTAACATGTCTGGCTCTTGTCTAACGTATCCAGGAATCTTGAAATCACCATTGGATTCGTTTGCGCCTGTTTACCTTCACTCAATTTGTTAATTGAACATCATATTCGAAAACGAAGACGACAACGACAAACCCAAACCGACGGCCGTGATCGATCACGAGCTTCCATGATTAAAAGACATTTCAGATGGATGAGTTCTACCACACATACACCCCCACAACCATCTCGCCCTACGAATCAACCTTCAGATGGAATGATTGATCTGGATGTGGAAATGGCCATGTTAACAGGTCAACCTGTACGATTACGATCAGAGAGATTGAGTAGTACCGAGTCTCTAGGACTTCGACCACTCGACCATCGACCTAATTCGGGAGACGGAAGACGGGAGGGATGGTTATCCCAAGATCAGGACGACCAAGACGAGTTGCAGGATAGTAAGTTTATCATGAAGATGGTGCAAGATTCGAGAGCTAGGGCGGAAGAAGGAGCGAAGGAATCTTGGTGTCCAGTCTGGGACGGACCTAGAGATCCTTTGGCAAGTCATGGGAGTTGGAAGTATAGCATACGGACGCATTGACGGAGTTTTGTTTAAAAGTTGCATGAAGACACCCAATAGACTTGTATACGTACCTATTTGTTGACCCCAGGTTTGACTTGGTCGGTGTATCGGTCTTTAACTTTGCAGTCCTTGACTGTACTTGTCTCTACTGTAACCAGGAGTGGGCATTCATGCTTCTGAAAATATCGGCCTCTAGGCAGGCGACTGGCCATTATGAGGCACCTGCCTATTTCCATACCCATTCGCACGATGTGAACTGCGGTGGCTCCTTCACCACTCGTGCCTTCCGTTTGTATGCACACTCTCTCTTTTACCTCGACTCGCTCCAACGCAACTTTTCCTCCTCCAACTTCTTTACTTGCAACTCTTCGACTTCTCCCAACACATTCTTTCATCTCCATCTTCATTTCTACTATCATTCCTTTATCCTTCGAGCCGATCATGGGTTCTCATCATTCAAACGTTGTATTTAATGATCCCCCGGCTTTTCCCTTCCCCCCAACACAGCCAGTCAATGTACACTCCTCGACAGAGCTAGTTGAGAAAGAATCCCCGACACGGCCAGTTGATAATCGCTCCTCTTCTGACAAGATTGGAAAATGGATGTCTCTAGAGAAAGATGGTTCATCCCAAAACCTTTCAGCCGAGACTTGTTGTTGCCCATGTGTCGCCTACGGCCGCACCATGATGCGCTTAGATGAAGCCACTGACAGAAGAAACGGCATCTACGAGACTCGGGAGAAACACTAGGAGTCTCCAATCTACCCTGTCTTTTCGACGGATTGTTGTTTTTTTGCTTCCTGCTGTTTTCCTCGTAAGTTTCCTGTGTGTGTATTGAACCCATCTAACAGCTCAGTTTATGGTTATTTGATCACCGACCTTCGATACGAGATCCGAGAATTCTATGGCATCGATGGAAATGAGAACCGAGACTGTTTTGCAGGATGCTGCAAGCCTTGTAGTACTCTGATTCAGATGGAAAACGAAATCATAGGAAGAGAAAAGTGTCGAAAGCCCAGTGACGCCAGTGGGTATACTTCTCATCCTCCAATGAAGTCACCAGCGGGTTCTTCAAGCTCGTCTTCAAACGTCTGTAGCAAGCCACCATCTCCTGATACAGAGCGCGACGAATGCCTTCCGTGCATCCCTGAAGATCAATCCGAGAAATGTCCTTCGACTCCAATCAGCCGCCGTAGCAGCAAGAAACGAGAGAAGTCAATTGCCTTGGACCCAGTTGCACCAACCGATGCGACACTTCTTCATATTCACGACCTTGGCAAAGACCAAACTGTGCCGGCCCTTCATGTTCACGGTAACCACTGGTTAAGCAACGATACGACAGACCCAATTGAGCCAGCCCTTCATCTTCACGGGAACCACAGGTTAAGCAAAGATTCGACTACTCTATCCTATCCACCCTCGATTCACCAACTTCGAACCGATACTAAGGCACCGGCCAGTCCGCCTGCAGTTCTCCGGCACGATCTTTTCAACGATGTCCAGACATCTGCCATTCAACGAAGCAATCATGACCTTGGCCTCGACCTAGTCAAGACATCTGCTATTCAACACAGCAATCATAACCTTGGCTTCGACCAAGTCAATACCTATCGAGCCAGTCCAGAACATCAAATTTACCATGATGAGACCGTCCCAGGCGCGTTCCCTGCATCATCTCACGATTTAGTCGAAGACCTAACCAGGAACCAGGCCAGATCAGCTCAACCACATGGACTTGAGGAGGAAGATGAGGTTGCAAGTAGGCCAACAAACTTTGGAGCACGCCATCTTTACGACGATAAATGACTGGGCCAGAAGTTCGAAAGCAAGGAAAGGCAGTAAAGGATAAAGCATCACTATGAAACACCTCAGACACGACCGTATTATTAGTACTTGTTAGAAGCAGCTAATAGAGATATTTGGTTATATTTCTGCGGCCTTAATTGTGATAACGTATGCGGCCTTGGCTAATGGCAACTAATGCGAGTCGGCAATATTTATTGAGAGGCAGGTCACACTGAGGCAATGCTGCATGGTGCTGTGTAACCTGTCGCCTGTAAGAGGGCTGGTCAGAGCCAGCGTCAAATTAATGTGGTAGACTCTACTCTGTATGGATAAGCAAGCAAGGCAATCTGTCATAATGGCAACACCGTCGATCCTGTCTCATTCCCAGCCTCCAGGTCGCAGTTTATTGCATTAGTTAGAGCGGCACTGCACTTACAAGTATCATGGGGAGGGGTTACAACACGGACACGACGCGAGTTCGCGGATGGCCTGACCTTTTTAATAGAAACACTCGATCCGATAGTTACACTTTGCAGGGGTTTGTTAGTGGAGTTTGATGATCTGGTTGGCGATCAAGTATTGTCAGGGATTAGCTAAAGGACCAATTATCTGTCGAAACTAATCATGTTGTGATAAGACGGCCGCATACAAGTGACCATGGGACAACAGACAATGTGACTTTGACGGATATTTACAGCTATTCAGGAGATGTTGACGGGAGAGATGCTCAGAGACGGATAGAAGTCTACTACATAGTAGATACACGACACGGTAGACTGGTAGACTATTTGATGAGAAAGAGATGAATATCCTCCCTTGCATCTAGCTGCATCTGACTACATCTGGTACATCTAGTGCATCTGCCTTGCATACAGGCGCTAGACACTTGGTAGGCATGGACGCGACGATTGGGTACGATGTAAGAAACTGGGTTGACGCTTGTGGAGTTTTAGCTCATGTCCCACAAGGCCAAGGTTTTGAAGCAAGTGAACGAATCATCAAGAGGATACTTGGGCGGTGACGAGTGATACGAACATGGGCGCGTCCATTAATTGAGGTGAGGGGAAGCTCAAGTCCATCAACCTGAGGCATCAATCTGGTGGTCAATCGAAGTCAATGCTTTTCTCCAGCAAAAGCAAATCATTTCATTTCTTCGTCTCGTCATTAAACACGAGAGATCGCGATACCAGCATTCTTCCTCCCTTGATTCCCTGTAAAATCCACTAAAAGTTTATAGTTTCAGTGGTCTTCCCCCACTGGCACGTCCATCTCACGTTCACGTCGGGTCCAAGGCACGGAATACGCCCACTTTCGCGCTCAACTGCACTGGCCGGGGTCCTCCCTTAAACCCGGCATCTCCCTCCACGCGCGACCCTCCCGCACCAAAAACCCACCTTTGGCACCTCTTTTCTACCCGCTCCTCTCCCACTTTTGCCTTCATCATCTATCATCCTCCTCCTCATTCACACGTTGCTTTGCTTTGCTTTGCTTTGGGTTCACGCGATAAACAATAAACAAGAAACAACCCTCCACTCCTAAACCATGGCGACCGTTACACGTCAACCGTTTGCTCCTCTTGATGGGTCCAGACTTCAATCCCTCACAAGTATTAAGAATAGGCAAAATGGTAGGTGGAGATGGACGCCCGTTTGATCGTCATCACTAACCTTCCCATCATCAGCTGCTCCTTCTACAGCTGGCAAACGAAAGGCTGAACTACTTGATACCGACGACTTCGAAAATGTTGATCCTTCAGCTTTTGCCAAACGATCCAAGGGATCAAAAGACTTGACCAAGGATATTCTCAAACCATCGGCTTTTGTCCTCAAGACTCCATCTCTACCTGCTCTACCCGCTCCCTCTCCAATCCCCAGTCGCCTCAGTCCAACCAAATCTTCCCGTCGCACTCTTCAACCAAAGTCTCCTGCAAAGACAAACGGCATCTCAAAGTCCTCTCCCATTCATGCTACTCCCGCTGGTCGATCCCCTACCCGAACCAAACGATCATCTGGTCTTGGACCAAGCCGACGACGCACTCTTGGACGTATTGATCCTCCTACTCTTCTCGGCGCTGCCGCTCCCTTTTCTCTCGATGCTGCTCTCAAGGGTACCATCCCTGGATATGGCGCCAAGTCGGCACCACCTCCTAAGGAACCTGTCCTACCAGTGCCAGACATGAAGGCTAGCTGGTTCTTTGAGATTCACGAAGATACACCCGAACAAGAAATGACCAACCTTCTTCAACACAGCACATGTACACTCGACATTTCATCCGACGAGGAAAGCGAACGCAAGCGCAACAGAGATCGCGCTGAAGGTCGCGACAAGGAGAATGTTCCTCCTCCTGATGACGTATCCCAAACTCGTCGCTCACCCCGAGCTGACGACATGGTGGTGGAGAAGGAACGCGTGGCATTGGGAGAAATGAACACTGCCGACTTTTACGCTGAAGGATGCGATGAGACATCAGTCATCATTGTTCCAGAAGATGAGCCAGAAAGCAGCCTTCCGGAATTAAGCACCATTCCAGAGTCAAGTCTAGAGTCTCTCGAGCCTAGCAACCTGCCAGAGTTGGAGACAATCGCTACACAACAAGATATTGATAACCTCATGGCCAAGCCTACAGAAGGAACATCAAAAGCTGCTGTTTTGGAACCTATCGAAGGAACAGGGGAAAGTTTTGAGTTGTGGGAAAGCGGTAGTGCACATGACGAAGACGCAACTTCATGAGAATATGGTACGAGTATATGGAATAATGGGTAACGGTAACGGACAATGATGGACATGCGAGCATGGCGTTGGATTGGATTCTCTTCTGGCAGGCTACCAAGCGCTGGAGTTCTGTTTAATTGTTTGGTTACTTTTTGTGTTTGAATCTCAATTGATCAAGTCTAAAAACTGACGTTGTTAAACAAACCTGTGAATGAACATGATCTGATTGACCCCACGTGAACCACCACTTAGCCAAGACAGTGTAAATATCCTGTCAGCGATTTCCACCCTACCACTTCACCTTCACCTTGCCACTCACAATAACAATTTCCTCTCAACTGAAGCGCAACTCTTCAATTAATACCTAAGATTTTCAACTTCAAGATTGGTTTATCCGCACGTGTCACAATACATTCATTCTCACGATAACTGACTTTTCCCCACAAGGACACATAAGCGCACTCTCAACAACAATGTCTGACCTCGCGACAGCCGCTGTTGCGGGCAATGAGTCTGGCAACAGAGGTGCCTTTATCGTTTTGGAAGGCTTGGACCGAAGTGGGAAAACAACCCAGGTCAAGCTTTTGGAGCAGAGATTTGTCGAAGAGGGTAAAAAGGTCAAGGTTATGAGATTCCCTGGTATGTGACCTCTACGATGAGTATTGAGCTACACTGATATTTGCATACAGACAGAACTACGCCTATCGGACAGATGATTGATAATTACCTCAAGAGCAATGTAGAAATGGAGGATCATGTCATTCATTTGCTCTTTAGCGCAAATCGATGGGAAGCTGTGTGAGTGCTCACCACTCTACCAAAAGATCATTCAAGCTAACTAAACCCTTCTAGCAAGCAAATCCAATCCCTTTTGGCTTCAGGAACAACTATCCTCTGCGATAGGTACTATCACTCGGGAATAGTCTACTCAGCCGCCAAGCAAAACCCCTCTCTTTCTCTCCCTTGGGCACGAGCCCCCGAACGCGGTCTTCCTCGTCCTGACCTTGTACTCTTCCTCGATTTAACCGAAGAGCAAGCTCAGGCACGAGGTGGATGGGGTGGAGAGGTCTACGAAAGGTCTGATATGCAGAAACGCGTACGGGAATTATTCTGGGGCCTAAGTATGGGTGGGAAGGATGTTGCGGCGCAAGGATTGGGACTTGATGAGGGAGAAGGGTGGACGCAGGAGGAAGAGGATCTTGTTGTTGTTGATGCGGGGGGGAGTGTGGAGGAGGTTAATGAGGAGGTTTGGAAGAAAGTTAGAGGGAGGGTTGAGCAGGTTGAGAGGGGGGAGGTTGGAAGGAGTGTGAGGGTTGTGAGGTAGATGCTGTCTATAGCAAGGCTGATCTAGCAGGGCTTGTGTTAAAGACGGCAAAACAAAAATGAATCCCCGAGACCTGGATCGAACAAGTGACCTTTCGATGACGGTAGCAATTACAGTCGAACGCTCTTCCAGCTGAGCTACTCGGGGATGTCTCTAACGAATCAGAGGAGTAACTATTGGTCTGCCGGGCATGAAAATTGTGTATATCATGGCAATGGGCAAGGAGTTTGACGCCGTTCGGGTCAGTGAGGAAGTAAATATCGTTATCAGTTAGTGTACAAGTATATAGAGCTGTTATCCAGGTAGTTCACGTACACAGTGGTGTGGTTGTGGTAGAACGCTGTTTGCATGTGTGCCCTCTCTCGGTATCTTCGCGACGAGGCTGTGGTGTTTTGTTATCGGATGAGAGGTACAACTACCGTGCGCTTCCGCTGAGGTTGAAACTATACAGATCGAACAAATTAAATACAGCCATATAAATTCAATATTCTACATCGTGTCTGTAATATTTCTGCGATGGATGCCCGCTGTTCGACGGATTGTGTTATTGCCCTAGGGTAGGTCCAGTGGGAACACGACACTCGCGACACCACACAGTATAGTTGGCAGCATATGTCGTAATCAAGATCGGAATTGATGAAGAGAGGACATGAAAGAAAGCAATAGTTTGCCTAGATAAATAATGTAGACAATGCGATTCTCAGCTCCAGGTCGTTGCTTCTCTGTCGCTTCAGGTCTATCTATATATACAACCATTAGCCTCTCTCCCACAACGTCCAATGGCTATTCCTCCGATTTCGGAGACTTCCCCGAATAGCTCAGCTGGAAGAGCGTTCGACTGTAATTGCTACCGTCATCGAAAGGTCACTTGTTCGATCCAGGTTTCGGGGATGATATCTTTTTGCTCTTGTACTCGACCTCGATGTTTCATAGCCCTCAGAGCCTCAGAACCTATTCCAGGCAGATATTATGGTTTCATTTTTTAGTGCCTATTCTCTACTGTGATGCCTCGAGTGTTACCTCTGCCTCTTATAGCCGGTTTGCTAATTTTTTATTTTACCCAGGGCGACTTTCATGTTGTGGGGATAATGTGGAAAAAAAAAAAAAGAATTGATGCTGTTAACTCGAGACGATATTCCATTTCGGTGTGATGCAAAAAGTGAATCCCCGAAACCTGGATCGAACAAGTGACCTTTCGATGACGGTAGCAATTACAGTCGAACGCTCTTCCAGCTGAGCTATTCGGGGAGATCTCTGGAACAGAGGAACAGCTATGCCTCGTCACTTTGTATAGCTGTATATATAGTCAAGTTTGCTCAGAATAACAAAACCTTACATCGATCTGTGGAAGCATCAGATCACCCTCCAGGAAACTATACACATCAGAATTGCTGCCATACCCTTTAACGAAGAGTGGCCGAGCGGCACCTACCTACAAACCTACAAACCTCTCTAAAATCCGCTCCTAAAAAACCTAAAAAAACTCTCTCCCTCGGCCACTCTTCGTTTTTGCATTTTGCAAGTTCGAAAACCAGTACTGCAAGATCATAACTAAAAGACAACTTTTATTAACACCTATTTGTACATCTAGTTAAACACAACAGTCTTGTGACCGTTGAGGAAGAGTCTCTTTTCAGCATACCACCGCACAGCAGCAGCAAGCACTTGACTCTCAACATTAGATCCCTCCTCGGACAAATCCTTGGGGCTCATGGCGTGATCAACACGGGCAATGCGCTGCTCAATAATAGGACCCTCATCCAAATCAGCAGTGACAAAGTGAGCAGTAGCACCGATAATCTTGACACCACGCTCGTAAGCCTGATGGTAAGGCTTGGCTCCCTTGAAAGAGGGCAAGAAACTGTGGTGGATGTTGATGATGCGTCCAGACATGGCCTCGCACAATGTAGGAGAGAGAACCTGCATGTAACGAGCCAGAACAATAAGCTCAATGCCGTGCTTCTTGCAGAGCTCGAGAACTTGTCCCTCCTGCTGGGCCTTGGTATCCTTTGTCACGGGGAGATGGTGGAACTCAATTCCGTAGCTTGCGGCGAGGGCGGCGTATTCGGGGTGGTTGGACACAATAACGGGAACCTCCATTCGAAGTTGACCAGTCTTCATGCGGAAGAGAAGATCATTAAGACAGTGGCCAATCTTGGAGACCATGATGAGGACTCGGGTCTTGCGGGCGACGGGACGAATCTCGTAATCCATCTTGTAATCGGCGGCGAGCTTCTCAAAAGCCTCAGTAAGGTGCTCGGTGGACTCGGTCTCGGTAGGACCAAAGTGAACTCGCATAAAGAAACGCTCAGAGACGGGATCGGAGAATTGCTGGAGGTCGAGAATGTTGTGCTTGTTGTCGGCAAAGATGCCAGTCACGGCATAAACAATGCCGGACTTGTCGGGGCATGACAGGGTGAGGATGTGATCGTTGGCCATGTTGAAGGGCTCTTGGTGTGTTGAATTGGTATGAATTGGTCGTGAAGAAGTGAGGTTTGGAAAAGAATTGATCGGCGACTCCAGTCTCCGTATCACGACCGAGTATGACTCCGAGTCCACCCCACTGCGGGCTAACCCTCCACTATCGGAGAGCGGGATGTGGATGCAGGGTCTTGCGTGTAGGTGTACACACTGTAGTATGCTGTGAGGTAGTCGACTTAAAGTAGCTGGAGTAGACTTATTAGATGGCGCAAAGCGATTGTCAGGTTGATTATTGGAAAAGATCGTCATGATGCATATGCGTTTAAATCCAGTCTCCGCAGTGGCTGCAGCCTTGTCACGTCATCAGAATGTTGGTTTTAGTTTACATCAGACGAAATTACTAGACCAGGTTATGCTACTTAGGCCATACGTTTTAGGTTATTTATTTTTGTAGCCTAAAGGTAACAGATCAATCTTCTGTTATCCATCTGATTTCTTTCAAGTTATAGAAGATGATTCGAATTGGTTAATCCAGCGCGAAGAACAACGGCTTGTGAGTCTTGAATCTATTGCTTGCTCCGGTATGCCTCAGGGTACCAGAAAAGTTGGCCACTTAGACATAAGGGACGAAATCAACAGGCCACCTTATGCAATTTAGGTTATGAATTTAGGTCATTTATTTTTATACCCTAACGAAGAGGCCATCTTTTCTGCTACCCAATAGTATATTCCTTATACCCTTTTCCCATTCCGAATAAATTTTCATAATTATATAGGCCTTTCTTAGGGCTTTGATCATCCAGTTCTAACCTGGGGAATTCCGTTTCCGTTTCCGTTGACCTCCGAGTACTGTCCAGCAGTACTTGGAGTCGCCACTTATATATCGAAGTGAAGGCAGCAAACTGGGCTCGGAATGCCTGCAGAGGCGCTGTGCGCCGGGGAAGTATCTGCCGGTGACAATGTTTTTCTCTAGCGTTCTTCTCGATCTGGATCCGCTACCAGCAGTCCTGGCTTTAGAGGGTCTTCGGGTCACTGTGCTGCAGTCAGCACAGGCTCAACCACACAGAACCATCAATTCGTTCCGCTCGTCGAGGTCGCAAGAGGGACCAAGTTAACGGCCTAGCCTCAGTGCTCTGAAGATTTGGCGATCTTTAAGGAGTTCAGACAGCCGGCGGACCGGGCTGACAAAAGCTGGTCAGTCTCGTTCTGAAGGGCGGGGGGAGGAGTGCCTTTCTAAACTGAAGGCCACTTTTAACTTCCAACCCGTGAAGGACGAGCCGTCGTGTCTGAACAAGGATCGCACATGCATGGAGAGCGCCATGGAGAACCAGCGACACAAAGGCTATGGGCTCATATAGCCTTGCAAGCGGCAGTTCGGCTGCCATCATTCTGTGCCGTGCATTGAAGAGCAAAATGAGAAGTTCAATGACCGCCGAGAAGGGGAAGGGGAGGGGGAACGAGGGCCAGAAGGAGAGGGGCGCTGAGGGCCGCTTGTTTGATCGGTATGTATCTAACATCCAGTTGCATTGGCCGTTTGCTCTCGTGGGCAGCCGTTTCGCTACCCAGATGATGTGATGGGGGGTTTATCCAAAGCTTTGGTTCTCAACCCCTGGAGCGGTGTGTCTTGAGTAAGACAGTGATTCTCAATCCAACTTTTTGTTGACGACACTGTCAGGTAGAAAGTCTGGCTTGGACGTGGTTGGCTATGCGCGTATAAGTATCTCTGTGAGACAGATCATACATACGCGTATACTGGCTGCCAAACTCCCATACCCCATCCTCGAGATTTTGCTGTCGCTTATTCAATCGCTTGTATTGACGGTATGATCTCTTCTTGGCGATGAAATAGAAATGGTTTGTCGGCGGTACTGCTCCTGTATTAATCCAGCTTGATCTTTTAATGATGAAAGACGTTCGGAGATTATAGACACCGGCATGCCTAACGACACAATGATCAAAGCAAACAAAAAAAACAGCGCCCATTACTGAAAGCAAAGGAAAAGTTCTGGCAATACATGGAATCCATGCTGTCTCGTCTAGGCACCTAGTTCATCAAGGCTCCTGCTGTTGACCGGCGGCTCCCAATACACAAGGAGCACAATACCATTGCGCTTCGATATCGATAGATGAGACTTCTTGGTCTCTGATTCATAATCAAGCCGCTGCCACTGATATGTATATAATTCTGGTAAGGCGGGGTTCGTTCGAGACCGCCCAAAGCGAGATCGAGGCGTCTGAATCCTACCTGTATACCAAGTCGCACTCTTCCGAATATCTCTCCAGCCATACCTGGGATTTCTTTAGCTCGACATACGGCGCCTTGATTTGATCCTTCCACCAAATGTCCTACATTTATCTTATAAACATGTAGTTTAGTATAATATCTTTGTCAAAACGATATCCGATCATGATGTTATCACCGTCACGTGTCATCGGAAGCATATCCGTTCCCCACCTTCATCAACGTTGATACACTTCACTCTTCTTCAACAATGCATCATGTCGGGTGGCTCCCGAAGCCGAGAAGGCTGCTTTAATTGTCGAAAGCGCAAACGAAGATGTGACGAACAAAAGCCAATTTGTCAAAGATGTCGCAAGATTGGAGATGATTGCGTCTTTCCGTCTTCGCTAAACACCTTCAAGTTTGTCGTGGTAGCATCTGATGATCATCATATGATACCGATTACCCAAAACATTAGTTTCTTAAACCTTTCGACTCAAGAACTTGTCGCTATTTCTAATTCGAAAGGCGGTGTTGTGCAGAAGTCATCACTTCCTCGCGTCCTTTCACCGTTTCCTTTTGAGATAACAGGAATAGAAAATGCTCTTGTACAGTATTGTATGTTTACTCTGTCGATTAGCTTCTTGGCTGACCGTTTTTAGACGTTGAAGTCATATCTACCAGTAGAGTTTACGTGGACACGACTCGGAATGGCTTCCGTACATCAGTCATACCTCGAATGTTTTACCAAAATTCTCTCCTCTACGCAGTCCTATCCATGAGCGCAGCAGAATGGTCACAAAACGGCAACACCGATTACAGCGGTCTTTCGATGCAGTACAAGGTTCGGGCACTCCACCAACTCCAACAAGCTTTACTCGACTCCCAGGACAGTGAAGGCAATCTACTTACCTGTGTTCTTCTGTCATCTCTCGAGATAGCTCATGGTTCTTCAACATGGCTTCATCATCTGCAAGGTGCTCTCGCTCTTCTCGAAAGTTTCGGAACGATCATCGACTCAGATGTAGCCGAGTTCGTATTGCAGTATTTTCGTTTTCGCTACATTTTGATGGAGACGACTCAGCCGACACATGATGACACAGTGAATCAAGCGATGGCGAGCTTGACCAGGATTGAAGCAAGTCTGTCAAACGACCGTAATCTCGTTGATGAGCAGATAGGTTGTTCGATGCAACTAGTCGATATTATTAACGAGATTTCGTCGCTCGCCTATATTCCCAAAGATCAGCTATACACCAAAGGCCAAGAAATCGAACAGAGAATTGAAGAAGCTTTGCAAGGCAGTACCGACTACTACCTTTCGAGGAGTGCAGAGTCGTTCAGGATTGCGGCTCAGATCTACCTTCGTTTTGTTTGTTACGACACCTCCATTACGCATCCATCAATTCTCGAGCTCCACGAACAACTCCTCTTGTGTCTTTCTGACATCATTGTCAAAGGACAAAAGAGACGATCGTTCCCAATGTGGCCTCTCTTTTTGGCTGGTTGCGCATGTTCTTCTGACCAACAACGCAAGGTTGTGTTGGACCATTTTACTCTGTTGGATAGTAAATGGCCTGTGAGCAACATTTCAGCAGTTTGGAATGCTCTTAAACTTATATGGCACACCCGCGACTTACAATCTACCAGCCAGGATTGGAGAGAGGTGATTAAAAAATTTGGATGGAAGTTGTCTCTGTCATAAATGGTTAGCTATAGAATGGTTCGCTGTGTGTAAGATCTTTCCAGTCAGTATCAAACGGTAGACTGCGCTTTCAACGCTATTACACAACGTGCAATTGTCGTCACCTGCTCTGTACTGATTCGATTGCGTGTCTGGGTTGTACCTCGGGCAATCACTCAATCGTACAGCCTAATTCGTGCTGCAAGTCTTACTTCTTCAGGATAGATCTTTAATCCCTTGTCTCCCGTCCGTGCAATCAAGGGTCCATCGTGACCACGCCATTTCCCTAGCTGCGGTTGTTTGAATCGTAAAGCATGGTATCGAGGTTGATCAACTGCCGTTAATGAATGTGACAGTTGTGTCTGTGTTGGTATCACCGTCATGTGTACCTTGGAACCCCACAAGTGGCAATTGATCCAACATCATCAATTCCAAAACCAGACCTGTTTGGCATGAATAGAACAAACAATGATGATAGCTGTACAGCATCAAGCATTTGAGTGACAGACGACGCCACTGGTGTTGGTGACCAGACAAGTCTAGAACTGATGCTGTCCCTATTCCTTGGCAAAAGGGAGCTAATGCAGGGACCCCAGCACTCGCAGAGACCAGGTTCTCGACTCTGGCTGTCGACCGAATGATATCGCGAATCACGTTCCGAGGAACTTCTCCTCTCAATGATACCTTGAACGGGGTAGGGGAACGGTTAGGATTTGTGCAAACCTTGTGGTGCATCTCATATCATAGATATTGGATTTGCTATAGCCCATCGGAGATTGTGTGCATCTGCATTGCAATGAACTCATCAAGCAGATAAAGCAGGTTCAAGACACTATACGCGGAACATCCTTGCGCTAAACACGGACATGTCACCGAGTGATAAGAGGATTCAAACACTCAAGTGGATGCTGTGCCGCGGGTTGAAACACAGAGAATAAGCGCATCAAAAGGCCCGAGCAGTAGAGCTATTCCTGTCAATTCTGCTGCGATATGTGGCGGTTCAAATGTGAATTATGTTTGAATCGTGAACTGGAATTCTGTGGCTTCCAACTCCCGCCCTCAAACCTTGCTGTGTTCTGTGCCTTGTTCCTGGTTCGAATCGGCTCGGCTCTGATTTTGAGATGAATTCTAAATTTCTAACCCATTGTCAGTCGTCATTCGCACGAGTCTCAATTTATCATACTATATACCATGAGATGATGAGAAACGTGATCGTATCCGTAGAAGCACACGATTACGGCATCTCGGCTACCAAGAAATCTAGTGAATGCTTGGCTCAACAGTCAAAAATACGGAGCCTTGAGGAATAGAAGCTTGGGACATGGGATCGGGGGCGAGTCAGGGCCCCTGGAAAAGCCAAGAGTCGGTTCGTGGAGCCATGCCACGCCGGTGGCGTTGGTTCAGACTGTCGAGAATTAGCTTAGCTAGGTGCTTAGCAGAGGAGAGGATGCGGGTAAATCGTCAAGATAGTCAATATTGAGCCATTTACCATTCGTGGGATTGGATTAGGTCTAGATGTATGCAGTTGTGCCACATGGTATCTGACATTATCTATTGATGCAGGCTTGGGCTTCTAGATGCAGATCTGTAGGGGCAACCGACGGATAACAGAAACTGTCGATGGATTGGTATGCGAAAACACGCGTATTGTAGCTGTACGAGTATCGATTGTAGCGTATATCGTCAAACCGACGGAATAAACCTTGTGTCTAAAAGATGTCGCGGTGATACCATGAGTGGTCCAGGACTGGAGAAAGGACCTTCAGAAGCTAGAGTATTAACTCCAGAGCCGGGGACCCCCGCTGGCTCCTACTGTAGCTTTCGCCAGACCCAAAGGAGGCAAGCTCATCCTTAGCGCACCCGCTTTAGGACCAAGCGCTGCAAGTCCAGGGGCTTGGCTAGGTTTGTTTAGTTAGGGGAAGGTCTAAGGTCGGCCCCCCCTCTCCTTCCTCTTCTCCTCGTTCTTCAGGTCTAGGTCTAGCTTTTTCGCGTCACAGTGGCTTGGAAAGAGGCAAGTCAAGGTTCCTTCCCTTTATTACTTTGATGGTCCCAGGATCTTGCTTGCATTGCATTGTGTCTCTGTCCCTTGAAACTCTTGATATTCCAACCGCAATCTCGTCTGTTTTCCCATCCATTAGGACAATTTTCGGTTTCTCTCTCTACTTTTCTTGGCTCTTATTACTTGACCCTCTCGCAACCAATCCCAACGTTGCATTTACCCACTGGACCTGAACGAAGCGACGATCCATCCAGTCACCCATGCAGCTGCAGAGAACTGAGACCAACAGGCTATTCCATCACCTGCAGTTCTTCGACTCTCCCTCTTTGATCAACTTGATTATTTGGTTCATTCTTCATTTTTGTCTATAACCTTTGTCTTTGTTTGTTCTTCATCTATTGTCGCGTGAAATTCGCTCTTTTGCGAGTTTATTCTTCAAATACTGCTTCGTATCGGCAATTTTTGCCGGGCCCCTAATTACGTCGACACACACCCATTTGCGGGCGGCTTTGCATCAATCAACCATTTCCCAACGAATTTTGAGTTTCGCTCATATTTTGTCTTGTTTTGAGCATTGAAAATAAAAGGTATGTACCAGCCGTTGCCAACTGGTGTCACTGTCGCACATTGCCTTTCACATGTGCATTGCACCAGCCATCGCATCATAGCCACAAGTCACCTGAGACTAACCATCGCGATAGCTCTCCTGATCATTTTAATCTCCATCATCCCCTTGGTTGTGTCTTTCGACCAACACTCTCGACTGTTCAATTCCAACCCCAAAAAATCATCAAAATGCCTTCAAACTACGAAAAGCTCTCCCGCCCTAGCGGCGATACAACTTTGGCTGTCCCCGAAAAGGCTGCTTCCACAACGCTCACAGTCAACGAAACTCCTCGCGTCAGTACAACATCGACGCCTCAAACAGACAAACTCAACCCCTTCGACACCGATATCGAAGCCATGGTCACAAACACCCGAACAGAGTCAAACATGCACAAATCATCCTGCAGCCCTCTTGCCAGCAAGACAGACTGCCAAGTTTGGCCAGGAAAGGATCATTGGAAGAAGCAGGCCAAGGCTGCAAAGGCAAAGAACCGCTGCACCTGTATGGCCCACCTCAGCAAGCGCAATCGCTGGATTGTCAAGGGACTCATCATCCTTCTTGTCGTCGGAATTGCTGTTGGTGTTGGTTTCGGTGTCAGCAAGCCACTCAACGCGCCCATATGGGGCGACGACAAAGATAACAAGTAAATTCGTTTCTTCAGTCCAAGCAGACGAGATACCCGTCATGGACTTCTCTTATCGCGGAAAGACTTTTTTTTTGTTTTCGGTGCAATTGCCTAGCGCGCTGGTTTTCTTTTCTTTCTCACATCATGAACGGGCGTTATGGCGTCACATCTCATTTCAATTGTGACGGCGAGGAGTGATGGATTACAGAACATTGGGTCTTCTGTTTTTACAGTTTCGCTATTTACTATATGGTATATGGTTAGTAGACTAGAGTCTAGAGGAATAAAGAGTCTCCTCCGAAAGGGACAGGGAACGTTCCCTTTTTCGCACAAACAGTATCTTTCTTGGTGATTGTCGCGTCGCATATGTTTGCTGTACCAAGATGATGCTATCACAGGCATTGTATATGAAAAGTTAGCCGCTGGGAGCCTAAAAGACGAAGGTTGTAGACCAGTTTATGCTACTTGAGATTATGGTTCTTAGACTACTTATTGTTGTAGCCTAAAGTCTAAGGTCAATCCTTCTGCTACCTGCGACATCGGTAAAGTGAAGTTATCATAAACACAAAGCGAGGTTATCGTGCCCCCCCTGTAACTCCACCAGATCGTCAGGAACCAGATCCAAGATGCGGCGGCCCGTAGAAAATAAGTCTGTGGGGATGGACGGAAAGATGCATATTCCTAAAGAAACAATACTCTAGATTTGGAAATGGTGGCAAGGGAACGACCACTCCCGAATAGAGTTGCTGATGGAGGGGATCCACAGGTATCCGAGCCTCCCGTGGGAGGTTGGGGATATAAGCACTTGACAGCAGCTTTCTAAGGTATGTCTGTGTCTAATAAGGTATTGCGGCAGAGGTCAAAGGCTGTTTGTTTGGCAAATTGAACAGAGTGATTTGTTCAGTTTGTCAAAGCCATTGTTCGGCTTTCTTTACTGATGTTCGGATTTCTATCAAAGATGGGACAACAATCATCTAACAAAGCAGTCTTTTAGAACCAGCAGACACTCAAGATGCCTACCTGTCTTTGCTATATAAACACATGCTAGCAATATTGATCTCATCCAAATTACAGACCTCAGAACAAGTTAACTCACAGACTGACTTCAGAACCCAAACTCGACAGATTTCTTCTTCACCACCGCCAAAATGAGTAGCCGTACTTATCTTCCCTTCTCACCCTTCTCATGGCTCATCGTTCGTCGCGATGGACCACCAGAACAATCCAAGACCGACAAGGCTGTGACTATGGCCATTGTCTGTGGCATCTCTGCGCTTTTCCTCGTTCCGCTTGTGTGGTACGTTACTGCGAGAATCGTCACGGTTCGTAGGGAAAGGGTTGCTAAAGAGACAGCTGCAGATGTCGAGCAGGTGCAGGGCGTTTATTAGATTTGATGGATTATTGAACGCTGGTCGTTCAAGTACCTAGATTGAATACATTCAACTTCGCCCGAACTAAGTATGTGCCTTTATGAACTCACAAGTAAAGCAGCACAAACTCAGTCATTTGAAGCCCCGCCTATCTCCAGACAAAGCTCGGCATGAAAGCTCTGCATCCATTTAAACGCAATCATGCAAAAGTTTACAGCATAGGAGTATAATTTAAACGTTAGAATTTATAAAGAAAATTCTTACAAAAAAAGAATGACATCCAATCCACCATTTATGTCCAGAAAAATGACGGTTTACCAAAACTTACAGGGCTGTGATACTTCACTTTACAAACACAAGCCTTTCAGAAAAAGAACTCTATGCCAGCAATTCCCGCAAAGAACAGAGTCAATTGAGCAAAGTTCTATATCTGAATCTCTTTGGTATATAAATATCCTAGATATCCTCACATTGAGAATGAATGTTCTTTCAACAACAAAGAACACAATACTATCGCTCTCAACAACACAAACGACAAAGCTTCAACATCATCCGCCACCATCACCACCACCAACAACAACAATAACAACAAAATGGGCTGTGGCGATAGCAAACACAAAGCGTTGGACGAGTCCAACAGATCACGTCTCCAACGAGGCATGCTTACTGAAGTGGTGAGTGTTCACAGAGACGGAAAGGAAGTCTACAACAGGGACACCGCACCACGAAAGATGTACCAGCATCCTTCGTTCGCAGACGAATTACCACCTGTCTCAAGACGAAATGTCGGCAAGCCGACAACACCAACAAAGGACATGAGATATCTACGAGCACAACTGGTTAAAGGAACCAACGAAGTTCAAAGACGCCAGGGTTGGTAACTCGAAATGAGAGAAATCTTACAACCGTCATCTACGTCTAGGAAGCATACATCTCCCCCACACAAACCCAATACACACGATTAACAAGTCGATTTGTATCTTTGTCTCAAATAACCTCTCAAGTGTCCACGTCAATCACATGCGGTCCTGCGCCAATAACCCCCATGTTTATCTATTTCCCAGAGGTGATCCTGACCTCTTTCCCGTGAAATCCGTAATAAAGTGTCAAGTTTGTTGTGTGTGTGAGTGAAAAAGAAACAGGAGACGATCCAGTTTGTATGTTATGTAATGAACAAAAGAAAGTGCTTTGAAAAGGGGGTAGCAACATTTTTGCTGGGACTGTTGTGCGATGCTGAAATCGCATATGTAGGTAGAAGTCGTCGTTCATGTTGTCAGGTTTCAACATGTTAAAGGCTCGTAAACGGCCGTTGTTTCAATTATACAGACTGATATAACAGGAGAGGCTCGCCAACATTTTCGATTTCGGGAATGGTACACTTTAGGTCGAATGCCTTTGATAGAACAATCTTGAAGATCTAAGAGCTGTTAGGAGGTGTTGTAGAGTAAATTTTTTGGACTGGACACACCTTTTGCACATTGATGCTATGACTTGTACTTGAAAAGATTAATGCAGCCCTCATGGCTTTGGCAAATCGTCTCGCCTGTGGTTGTTAGTCGAGTTATAGCCAGAAAGGACTGACATACCTGATTTGAGATCTCTTCTTGGTCTTGAGGGGGAAAGTTGACAAAGTGGTCGTACTTGGTACCCACAAGAATAGGGATAGCCGTTTTGTTGAAACCTCGTCCTTGTCGGTACCATTCCTTGATGCTATTCAACGTGCTCTTGCGCGTAAGATCAAACATGAATAGAATGGCGACAGCATCGTTACACACGAGCGGCAACATGTTGACAAACTCTCTTTGACCACCAAGATCCCAAATCGAAAAGGTGATTTCCGTGTTGCGGATAGAGATTGTCTTTTCCATAAAGTTGACACCTAGGGTTTGGATGTAGTCCTCGTCCCAGCTTCCCTCGACGTATTTAACCATCAAAGAGGTCTTTCCGATTTGAGCATCGCCGACCATGCCGACCTTGATCACGACATGGTTACGACCGTTGGAAGAAGGCTCGCCCGCGCCTTGCCGGTAATCGTTGTATGCCTGATGTGCGGGGTTGGACAAACCGCTGGCTGGACGTGAGATTGAAGGCGCAGGCTGCACGGGAGGTGTGTATCTGGATGAAGGGTCGTCTCGTTGAGGACTGGCAAGGCCCTGATCAAGGGATGTGCTCTGTTGATGATGGAAGCCGTTGCTTGAACCGGGGTGGGGAGATTCTTCGATGCCTCCCATGGTGTCATCGGGAGCCTGAACAGGTAGGGGGACCTCGTGTGGGGGAATTTCCGTCTCCATGATGGCAGTCGGGGGAAAGAGAGGGTCGGATACGGTGGCCGTAGCCTCGGAGAAGGTTGAGTCGTCCAGTTTGAAGGTGGTCGAGGAGATTATTAGAGATCGGGTACGAGATTATCGAATGAGTGTGGAGACAAGGTCGGTAGAGAACGTGATGGGAGAATCGCCAGAAGAAAAGAAGAAAAAGAAGACGGTCAACAGCTCATCAACGGCATCAAGCTAGTCGAAAGCATAGAATGAACAAGGTCGCGACGATAGTATAGGTAGTCGAGTTGGATGTTGTAGGTGGCGGAGTCGAATGAAGCAGAAGCCACCTGGAGAGAGCTCGAGGGAGTAGTGGAAGTGAGACAAGGCGCAGCGCAGGGTATGAGACAGAGATTCAGCGCGTGTTGGATAGTAGAAAAGAGTGAGATCTCTGGTAAAAGTCGCAGTCGAGTCGAGATGAATGTAAAGGTCAAAGTCAAAGTCAAAGGTGGGTTAGTTGGAAGGGTTGTAGCAGGGGAGGGGGTCACTATTTCGTCGCTGACGTTTTGGTGAGATGAGGCCCTGCGGCTAGAAAGGTGCGCGCAAGCGAAACAAAGCGGGACGGAATTTCAAGGCACCGGCTATAGTACAACTAACTGAAATGAGAGAATACAGCACCAACAATAAAGACAAAAACGTGTTGGTGCTTCTTTTCTCCTGAGATATAAACTTTGACTAGCTGTCTACAGTAGTCTCTTCTTATGCGTGAAATGTTTGGGTTTGTTGACATGGTGGAGTGATATTTTAGCTTTCGGGACGCGTTGGGAGGGCGCGTTTAGAAGAAATGGTTGGTTGAAACAATAGATATGGCTTGATAAAAACAAGGTAATTTACGCAGTAGATCTTGATTGTTTGTCCCTGGAATTCCGATTTATTGACAAAGAATGGTGTAACTAACATCAAGCCCAACACATCATGCAGAATCCGGTAACTATTTGCAATGGAGTAAATAGCAACCGTATTGTTTGTTATGCACAGACAGTGATTGCAGTAGTGAGCAAGGCTGGGCATCTCAATGCTCTGCTACTCTACAAACATCAAATGACCATGCAACCAGCTATCACTGAGCTTCTATTAAGCTCACTTTTATTGATTAGATACCATCCATTACCTCAATACCCCATTCCAAACACACCCACCGTCTTGTTCCAACTGTCAGTAACCCCACGCTTCTAAGCGCCGGGGTATCGGTTCGTTTCATTGGTTCGCTGTTTCATACAAGCCTCATGTCTTGACAAATTCCCGGTAAATAGAATGAGTGCCGAATGATTGCATTCCATCAAGGTCGCCTACATGTGTACCGCTCATTCTGGAGGGCAAGCAAGGTAGTCCTCAGGGTATCAGAAAAGTTGGCCGCTGGAAGCACAAGAGACAAAATTAGTGGACCAGTTTATGGTCCTTAGACTACGTATTTCTATCCCCCAAGGCTGAGGAGGTCAACTTTTCCCCTACTTACTAGATAGCCCAGCAGTTTCACAAGGAAGACGATTGGCGTTTATGCTATATCGTGTCTCGACGACACAATCATTTGCATGGATAGGGAAATAATAAATAAGAAAAAGACTACATGTTGCCGTGCCTCAGTCCCCATTATGACGGGATAGTACAGAAGTACCCTAGAGTGCCCTGTCCCGAAGACAATGGCAACTTCATCCTCATGGATTCATCATTGGCGCAACTTTGGATGTAGTAGATGACATACAATTAATTGTCTGTTCAGCTTTCTGTTGGAGTTCAAGACCTCCGTTCCCAGAATGGGTAGTTTAAGAACTACCCTTGTGTGACCATCATGTAGGTAACGATAGTTTCACTCTCATGGGTTCATCACCGGCCTAATTCGACTCGGACTAGGGATACAATGTAATTGGAATATATTCGCTGTTGTGAAGAACCCAGAATTTATTGATGTTGATGTCCTACCGAGAACCGGACTGTGTAATGTTGACTTGTGCGCGCACGATTTCTCCTCAAGATTCATCCATTCCAAAAAGAGGTTTAACTCCGGGAAGATACAGGAAGGGAAAAGTAGTTCAAGTGATGTGACATGTACGATACCCTCTTCGTGTCGAGTCATCTTTCCCCCAACACCACGTAAGCTAAAGCCAGTAAGTACGATACGAGATCATTAAGGAAATGCTTTCTCTTACTTAAACCCAAACACAGACATCTTTATCCTGATACAGCGTAGGTTGGAGCCATATCAGAATCGTAAACAATAGTTAGCTCTTTGTAGTCGTTCTTCTCTCATTCCTTCTTCTTGCCACACCAGCGGTTAGCCATCCAACACATAAGGACAAGAAGAAGAACGGCGGCGATGATGGAGCCAATGTATATGGCGTCTAATTTGGGACTGGGGCCGCCTCGGTTCGAGCCTGAACAACAGGCTCGGCGGCGGAGATGCTTCTCGAGCAATGGTTGAGTGTCGGAAATTGACCCGTGGGCCTCGTCGACGAGGCATGCGAGAGCTGGCATGTTGAAGGTCGAGATGTGGTTGTTAGTTTGGGATTGGCAATGGAAGGGGACAGAGAAAAAAGACAATGGGGCAAGGGAAAGACTCATTCTTATATTCGTCCAAGTTATAGTTTCGAGTTCAAAAGGTTTGTTAGGCTTGATACGTGATGCAGCAACACTCTCATAGAGTTATACACGTATGCACGAGTAGACTTTGTCATTGCCATGCGCGTCCAAGTGAAAAAGTCTGATAAGACAAGAAGTCCTCAACAAAGGGGATGTGTAGGTTGCTTTGGTTGCCATGTAGAGGACAACAACTTATACATGCCATGTTATCATGAGATGAGTCCGTCATCGGCCTATGTGTGGTTGGGATTAAAATACACACCACTGAACTTACACATGTTTGGAAGTAGTTGGAATTCGACAGTATCTGTATCCTATCTAACACCCAAATGATAGATATGGACTTGGAGCCATGTGCAGGACTCTCACATTCAATCGTCTCATAAGTGTTAATGAGTGCCTTCTTGTAACAACACTAACAAGCCCTTGTGGCCTAATGGCTAAGGCATCAGACTTCTAATCTGAGGATTCAGGGTTCGAATCCCTGCTCGGGCTCGTTTTAAAATACTTATATTTTACTTTTCTTTTTCCTTGGAGGTTTAAGAGTAAGGCTGCGCGGGATATTGCGAGAAACTATACAGTAGATTATAAGATAATTAATACATATAGAATATGTTAATTAACTTTAAAACTTATATCTATAATAATTAATTAATATTTATAGACTGAATAAATCTTTCTTTAATTATTTTTATAATTTAGCTTTTATTTAATGGAGAAGCCTGTATAGTGGCTCATTTTATCCGCAATTTTATCAATAAGTGATATAATACGCCCTTGTGGCCTAGTGGCTAAGGCATCAGACTTCTAATCTGAGGATCCAGGGTTCAAATCCCTGCTCGGGCTAAATTGCTTATTTTAACTTTTCTTTTTCATTGGAGGTTGGAGGGTGTGCTTGAGGTTGCGCGGGATATCGCCAGAAATCACATGGTAGATCGCGGGATCGGGAAGACCCAATGCCTCTTTTTTAAATGGTCAAAGTAAAACTTATATACTCTAAATTTAACCGTAGTCACCTCAGTTATGGTTAAACCGGGTTCCACGATCCCTGATACAAACTACTTCTTCCCCAGATTCTATTTTGCTACAACACCTACTTGCGTATTGTCTCTTTTGACCACGACCATGTATATCACTTTAGATCCCTACTGCAAGATAGATGACTGTGGCCGAACAAAGTGTGACCATTGCTAGTATTGTCGCTAACGAGGTCATAAGGTTCAACAATGTCTAAAAGCGCCTGCTTGGTTCGGTAAGTTCCTACACCTATACTTTGGAAAGGTACCCTGGCGACGCAGACTTTGCAAGACATCTTGTGTCCTTTGTCAGGCCCGAGATCAAAAATCTTCAAGGCAAGCGAGTCACACGCAAGCACTTTGATGAAATCATGGCCCAGCAGAAGAGCGAAGATGACGGCGTGGTCGAGACATCCATGGGATACCTGGACTACGTGGTAGATAGTCGAGATGCCTGCTAAGTTCGATGGTATGTTGGGCAAAGCCTTTCACCCCGACGACGGATTATCAGTCAACACAACCAATCTATGCTCCGCGGAGAAACCTCAACCCTCCATTATTTCATAATATGGCTAGGTAATGGATCTCGTTCTGCCAACTTCATCAAACTACGGTCTTTTCCCGCGGGTACAGGAGATTCCAACACGACGCAAGATATTAATATGTGAACTATTCTTGAAGCCGTGTTTTGTCGAGCCTTTTCAACCCACCACGGAAGTCTTACAATGTGGGATAAGACAGATGGTCTGCCGTCTGGTTATGGATTCAACATCATGACACCACCAGTGCAGTCGAATGCAGTAACAGATCTTGATATCGCAGCTTCTAAATACCAAATCCGCGAATCCGATGACCCGCAAATTCGATATTAGCAATCATTTCTGTCAAGACAGAAAGCGAAGAAGTCGAGTCAGATTACACCAGATCAGAGCAAGGGAAGGAGCTTACCAGCCTATCAGACTTGCCTCCGAAGTGCAGTTGGAGATACCCATTTCGAGTCTGTATCATCTTTCTGCGAACTGGATAAACCCTCTGAGTCTGCCTTTGAGACTGCGTCTTCGACTCTGCGATTCACTGGTAGCCTCGCAGCAAAAATCGGCATACTTCTAGACTATTCAATAGTATCAGCTGCCGAGGACTCACCGACATCCACCTTTGAGATAGAAGACGCCAAAAATGATATCCCATGGCAGCTAAGGGGCTCTGGATTTAATCTAACCAATTGTCTTATTTGGACGCACGATTTCATGCCATTTTCAACTCTTGAGTAAAGCAGTTCTAGCGAGACCTCGTCCCATAAGCCGGACGATGGATCTCATCGTATGCTGGTACAAGCATCAAACGTCAAGATTGTCCTACTTTGCGGTCCTCGCTCGGTCGGGGGTGATTTGCCAAGACTTCGAGAATTTGGAAAAGTACGAACTCAAGCTCCGGTATACGTACACCATCTACCTTGATAGTAGAGGGGATTTCCCAAGGCTGTTTATACGCTGTCCCGAGCTACCGTCTTTACCCTCATCTGTCCCCTTCTATCATAATTCCATGATCGGGGAGGCCTTGCGGTTTGCCGCAAAGATGTCAAACGTAGACAGAATTAGATCTGCATTTCTGGAAACCAGCGGAGTCATGCAATTCATTTTATCACGACTCAAAGCCGAAAGACTCCGAAGAGTACCGCCGCTGAAAGTCGAAACTCTTGATGAAGGAGTCAAATTTTGGCTCCACCAAAGAGGATTCAGAAATGACGATGACATCTCAAAGCTTGAGGGGCTATCTGGAACTCTCTGTCGAGGCTTGTTAGTAGTGCTCCATGCTCGTGCAAAGCTGGCAAGAGAAGGTAAAATTCAACCAAATAGTATCTGGCGTCGACACCGCGAAGGCCTAGGAAAGCAAGAAGTTCGTGCACATGAGCGCTTTGACCCTCACCCATACTCAAAAGCCAGGGGCTTTGTTGCTGGTCTCGCAGAGCTCAGCGACAAAGAGGTTTTGAAACAATGCGCAGATCAAGATCTGCGGGTTTTGGGGGATCCTGATAATGCAACAACCCTCCTGGAAAACCCAACCATAGCCACGGTACCCGAAACACAAGCAGCACTTGGCTCGGCTCCATCAGGTTTATGGGATATCACCGCATTGGTCGAAGCCGCTGTTGCTGTAGACTCGCCCGAGGTAGCATCACCATCCCTTCCACAAGCCCCGGTAACAGATCCCCACTACTCGTCAGAAGCTGACGATACAATACTTGACGAGGCGAGCCTTGAGGAAATGGCAATGACAGTTGATACAGATCTGGCCAATAGCATCACGAATGGTGATACGCATTCATTGGCTGGCGTGTTTAAAGCTGGGAAAGAGAAGAGAGGCATCGGGAGCATTGCCTATACTCCACGGAAAAGCGGGCGAATCAGTGATGTTTCGGACTGGCGACTAGAGAAGGATAATTATCAAACAAAGTCCTATACGTACCTGCTGCCTGCAAACGCAGGTCTGTACGAACGCCGTATTAGTGTTGGTCGTTGTCCTATACTCTCTCGTCCAGACCTCTAAGTAAAGGAGAATACTGTGTTTATCTGGATTGAAATTTGTCCTCCGGGTAAACGACACCCAAGCTTCTATGCAACAAGTGCCAGATATGAAGATCCTACCAACCGGCTAGCATTCAGGGTTGTCTATACCAATCTCTCTAGTGCCCAGGAAGTAGATGAGTACGCTTTCCGTTCAGTATACTCTGCAGTTTGCAGGGCGAACACCCTGGTGGATATTCTTTGGGATGGCAAGTCAGATGAGGACATCACACAGACCCCAAGGCGATATTTGGAAGTTACAGCGCAGAAAGAAAAGGCGAAACCCTACCTAGAAACGCTTGTCAAAGGGGGTTATACGGACACGTTTCTGGGGTTAGAGGAACAGGAAGAGGATATTAACGAAGAATGAATCTTAGCTTATTTTCTCAAGGGTCAGTCAGAATAGGTCCTTTTTTTTTTTTTATTTTTTTTTTATTTTTTTTTTTATCTTTCTACCCTTTCAAGGTTCCTTTAGTTTAATGGTTTTACACGATTTCTAAAGCCTAATAACGACTTTTTCCCTCGCTCCGAAGCCTTAAGTTCAACAATGTAGGCCTCCAATTAACATATGCATGACATGCTGACTAACCCCGTAACCCACATCGGCTCATCTCCGCATGCCGACCGGGACAAAGCTTGAATCTCTGATATCACTATCACTACATCATACAAGTTACCTCACAATCCACCACCACAATGGCCTCAATTGCTCGGTCTCTGCGCATCGCCGCCCCCCTAACAAGGGCTATCGCTCCTCGCGTTCCCATCCGAGCTTTCTCCACCACCAAATTGAGTACGCAGATCTGCACTCCAATCTCCCGTCTTCAACTCCAACTAACAAAACCCAGGCCTCGCTCGCAGATACACAAAAGACCACGAATGGATCGATCTCTCGGCCGATAAAAAGCACGGTTTCGTTGGAATCTCAGAGTACGCTGCCGAGCAGCTCGGTGACGTAGTCTACGTCGAGCTCCCCGAAGCCGGTACGTGGGTTGAGCAAGGCGACGCTGTCGGCGCCGTCGAGTCAGTCAAGTCTGCTAGCGACATCAACGCTCCTGTTCGTCTGCGCGTTCTTCAAGTCAACGACAATCTCGAAGAGAAGCCCTCCACGATTAACAAGGTTCCCGAGGACGATAGCGCTGGTGGTGGTTGGATTGCCAAAGTCGAGGTTGATGAGGAGGGTGCCAAGCAGTTTGAGAAGTTATTGGATGCCGAGGCTTACAAGACTTTTGCTGGAGCCGATTAAGAACAAATCATCACGAAATAAAAAAGAGAGCGGCATAGCACAGTACAACGCAGCATAGACTTGTCATCCCGGGGTATATTTGGGTTTAATTCATGACCAACTACTGATCTATCATCACTCATTTGACTGTCTCTGGTACTTGTCGGGTTTCATTGATGGCGTCCAGAATCTTTTGCGCTCCTTGTTCCACCAATGACTCTGCAACCTTTCTTCCAAACTTGTCCGCCTCATCGTGTGTCTTGATAGCTTCTGCAATCTCGCAATCGACACCCTGGTCACCTCGGAGGGAAACAACTGTAGCCTTCATTCGTAACTTGTCGTCAACCCACTTTGTCTCGACACCAATGGGAACACTGCAACCACCCTCAAGCGCTCTCATGAGAGCTCGCTCTGCCTCGCACGCCAGTGCTGTTTGCTCGTTCTGGATCGTCTTGAGGAACTCGAGAACCTTTTTGTCATCGGCTCGGCATTCAACTCCCAGTGCGCCTTGACCAACAGCGTGTAAGATACCTCCGTTTTCGGACTCAAGGAATTGTGTAATATGGTGGCCGAGGTCCATTCGCTGAAGACCTGCCGCTGCCAAGATGATACCGGTCAGGTCGGGGTCCTCCTCGAGCTTTCGTAGTCGGGTCTGAATGTTGCCTCGGTGGTCCTTGAATTTGAGTGTCGGGTATCGTCTAACCAGCTGCGCAATGCGGCGTACACTGCTTGTACCGATGACGCTTCCAGCCGGCAGATCAGCAAGGGTCTTCCAACCGTGCTTGTCCTGCAATTCCTTCTTGATCACCAGTGTATCTCTAGGGTCCTCGCGGGACGTAACACATCCGAGGACGCAACCTTCGGGGAGAACAGTCGGCATATCCTTGAGCGAATGGACGACGATGTCGAGTTCCCTGTTGACGAGTCTCTCTTCGAGCTGAGATGTCCACAAGCCCTTGCCGCCAAAGTTGTAGAGGGCTGTGTTCTGGTCGCGATCGCCGGTGGTTGTCATGCTGTGGATGGGGAATTCATGATCGGGAAATCGTTGCTTCAAAGCGTCGACGACGATTTGGGTTTGGGCGAGAGCAAGTGGAGACTTGCGAGTACCGACGTTTACAACGCCTTTGGGGGATTGAGATTCGGCCATGGTGAAGTTGTGGATTGAATTGACGATGTAAATGGATGATAGCTTGGAGGGGCAAGTTGAGCTTTTCGGAATATGGTGGGGTACAGTGTGGAGGTGCGTGTTTTTAGTTGACACGGTATAACCGACACTCGGGAGAACATCATGATGTCGAATTACCTGTACACGATATAGGACATGTAAGAATCACGAGGAGGTACAGTATCACAGATCACATACACTACAGTCTTTTGAACATGGACGTCTTGAGCTTGGCAAGACCTCGAGAGGACTGCCGGGTGGCAGTACTGCAACAAGTTGTAACGTTGAAGAGACGAACAGCTTAGAAACAGCTATATAAGGCCAAGCGTCATCTCAATTGAACAGTCAGTAGCCATCAATCAAATAAACTCGTTACAATGAAGCTTCAACTTTCTCTTCTTGGGCTGGTCGTCCTGGCCCTTGCAAAGCCACAGGATCCTCCAGTATCATCTACACCAACTGAGCCTCCCGCCGAACCACCAACCGAACCACCAGCTCCGGTTCCTGTCCCAATTCCCTCTCCTCCCACATCTACGGTCCCTGCTCCTCCAGCTGATCCAGCTCCGGCCCCTCCACCTGCGGACCCAACTGGTGCACCTATCCCAGACGGACCAATCTGCGAGTGTGGATATACCTACTGTGCTGCCGTTCTCAAAGCAATGGGTACGTGTACTTCACTAACAAAGACAAGACTAACACCTCCCAGCAAAACCATGGAGTGATGGTCAACTTTCAACTGCGTACTGTGAGACTCCCAATGCAGTTTGTAAAGACCAGTCCCCAGGTAGCAACGTCGACAACGCTCTATTCATTTGTCTCTGCGCCGAACCTGATCAAAAGGTTGGAGACCACATTGAACTTTTATGCGGTTGTGATGCATGTCTTAATGTTGGGCCGGACTTTAGAGGTCGGTGCAAGAGTCCTTGTAGAGCTGGTCACGCAGCAAAGGGAGGAGGTGGTGGGAAGGGAGGGGACAGAGTCAGAGGAAGCAATCCCATGAGATTTTGGTAGAGATCAATTGTTGGATATAATGGTATGTTGAAGAGGAGGATATCTATGTCAGTCTTTCTTTAAATGATTCAAATTGACACCACCTGTAAGTCCGCTTACAAGTACAATTGCACCAAGGGCTAAGTCAACAAGTATCTTGAGTATGATGGCTATGGGTTTCCAGGTGTTGGGACAGATTGGGCCCAATACTCAATGGGGCAAAATATCTATGCATTGCAATATGCTCATAGAGAATGAAAATCTCTACTAGAATGAGAAGGTCTCAATACTCTGCCTCATTCTACTGCTCTCCCCATCGCTGGGAGCTAGGTACCTAGGCAGACCACTAAACAGGGGCAGTCATTTGGACATTGATTCGCAAACTCTTAGGCCGACCTTTTTATTAATTATGTTCTCTTTTTCTCCCCATAATCGTATCCCATTTGCTCAACATTTTAACGTCGTTTAAGCTTCTACCAACAGTGCCCCTTGCTCTTGGTCATCTTTATCCCTATCGCCGTCCTGGGTCTGGCTCGTTGGCGTCGCCTGTCCTTCCATGGCAACATTAGGGCCACCTTGATCAACAGCAGCCAGCGCCTGCTGATTTGACACGGGGATGATTGGCCGCCTTTAATCCTTTGACAGTTGAATGCTCTGGATTGAAACACTAAGTGCGATGGCACAAGTGAGAAATCTGTTGCTTCCAGTTAGCTACTACTGACAGTAAGTATAATAAATAGAATAACTAACCTCCAATTTCGCATGCTCCTTTCACAATATTCGATCGTCTCGATTCGTCCTGCTGGCTTTGTATGCTGTTGAAGATAATGTACGGGAGCGTTCCGGGCTGCTCTATTGTTAGCAATCTATAGAGTACCAGTTGCAGATGGAAGTCCACTAACCTTTACAGCCGGAGCGGCCTCTTGCTGCTGCTGCTGTTGCTGTTGATGCTGTTGTTGTTGTTGTTGCTGCTGTGCCCCCGAAGGGGCCCAGGCCCAGACGACTAAACAAGATTAGCCAGTCATCTTATATCCTGCGGTTGGTTCTACTTACTGGGTATGGGGCCGATCTGGCTCAAGGTAACCTGGTGGACAAGTATCTGCATGCTGGCTTTTGTCCAGGTCGCCTTGAGCCAGAAAAGCTGGCCCGACTTGCTGAGTACCCAGGTATGCAAGTGACAATGGGGTTTCGTTGGTGGCCAGGAAGTAGATTTGTATGGTGTTTGTGATGATGGCTTGGTTCCAGAATGTTGCGATGTTCGCTTGGCTTTAATGAGGTGACTCTGGAATGAGTATGGGAAGAAAGAAGTTCAAGTTGAACAGTAGAAAGGCTAGTTATTGCGGAAAGCCAGCCCCAAAGGAAGTAACAGAAACGAAGTGCTACGGAAGTTCCTTCCGGCTCTACTTTTTTACAATGAAGGCAATTGACAGCGCTGAAAGTCGTGGCGGGTTCGGTCATTGGCCAGAAGTGTCAGATCATACGCTTTGGTCCTGCCGTTTTAAAAATGAAGCTATCGCGACTGCCTACAGTTGTGGCCTCACCTGCCTACTAAGTACCTAATGCACCTCTACAATACAAGCAAGAAGGAAGACGCGCACAGGCGAACTCAACGCAATCCGAGATAATTCTAAGCATTGACTGGCGCATATTCGCAGACATCCCGTCTTCATTACCTGAGCCTAAGAAGTTCGACCAACTCTGTTGGTTGATGTATCTTCAATCGCTTGGTAGTGGGTAGCAGACAGGATAACATCCAAGCTATACCTAGGGTGTAGAAATAAATAGCCTAAAGGTATGGTCTAAACAGAATAACTTAACTAGCCGATTTCGTCTCTTATGCTTCGAGTGGCTAACTCCCTTGATCCCGTATATACAATAGCGGCAGCGACAACGTCATGTATCTGGATCATGAGTTGAAGATATTATGTATTCATGACTATGAACCTATTGAACCCTCTTCTGATCATATCGTACAACCGCTTGACACAAAACCTCTGCTCCAGTGGCGCACTCTTCAGGCGTAGAGTACTCCTCCGGGTTATGGCTTACTCCTCCCTTGCACGGGATAAAGATCATGGTTGTAGGACAGTGTTTGCTGGTGTACACACTATCATGGCCAGCACCGCTAGAAATGTCTACCGCTGCGTCTTTCCCAAGAATAGACTCGGCAGATTCTCTTACGGCTTGGATACAATCGGGGTGGAACTTGGTTGCTGTCGAGATCGTATCTGTTCGCCATTTAAGGGAGAGAGGAAGTGCGGGCGTTGAGCCTGCGAGCAATCCGTCAACATCCGTTCCGCTGGCTAAGAGATCAAAATCGCGACGGAGATCCTTCTCGAGAGCTTCAACAGTCTCGCCTGAGGGTGATCGTATGTCGAGAGTAAAGCTGACGTGGCCAGGGATAGTGTTGGTGCTTCCAGGAGTGAGGTTGAGGATTCCGGTCGATGCAAGCGCCTTGTGCTTGGTAGCCAATCGATGCGAGTGAGTTATAAGTCTCGCGGCAAGGAGGAGAGCATCTGCTCGGTCGGAGAATGGAGTTGAACCAGTGTGTGCGTCTAACTAGTTAGCAAAGGTCATGCCTCTTCTGAAACACATACCTCGTCCAGTGATGTCAATGGTGAACCACTTGTAGGCTTGTACGCCCTGCACGACTCCAATCTTCTTCTGCGCTCGTTCGAGAATTGGGCCTTGTTCAATGTGAAGTTCGAAATGAGCTCCAATTGGAGTGGACTTATAGCTGGCTGGTGTTTCACCAAGATACCCTATTCTTTCCAGCTCTGACTTGACTGTTGCGTTTCCAGCAACTTCCTTAAGATTGTGAGCTCTTTCTTGGGGAATACAGCCTGCCCATACTCCAGAAGCCATCATACTGATTGGAAAACGAGCACCCTCCTCGCTATTTGTGGTCAGAATTATCCAATCTTGGACTGGAGACTTACTTAGTCCAATTCACCACACCAACTGGATACTCTGTCTCTACATCATGGTCCTGAAGAACCTTGAGCATTTCGATACCGGCTTGTATGCCTAGAATTCCGTCATATCTTCCGCCCGTAGGTTGAGTGTCCAAATGGCTTCCTGCCAAGGTCGGTGGTCCTTCTTTGCGACCGGGACGTACTGCAAAGATGTTTCCGATGGAATCGATTGTCACCTTGCAACCTAGACCCTTTGTAGTTTCGACAAACCAGTCCCGAACCTGTTTGTCGGAATCCGAAAGAGCCAAACGTGACATGCCTGTATCAGTCGGTTTGCTGTCCTTGTTAGCGTGGTCTTGGATTCGAGAGCGTACTTACTCTCCCCATTTGAGACCAGTTCCCCATTTACAAGTGTCATGTAATGCCTCCATCAATCGTGGTCGGTCAACTTTGAGCTTCTTGAAGTCTGCGGCTGCCATATCTCGAGTCGAGATGTATCTTCGAAAGGTGAGATGTCTGGGAGCGCAACCCACTTGCCGAAGTGCTGTGCGAGTAGCCATTTTGTGAAATGTTGATGAAGAAAGTTCTTGGGGTCTTGTATTTCTATTCTTGATCTCGCGTACTTAAATATTTGTTTGATGTTCTTGGAGGGAGTCAGTTATTGGAGTAGGCATATCAACGCCTTCTTACAACGAATGCCCCGCTTCCTGAATGGGTGTCTTCCAAAGTACATCCCTGCTGAGAAGCCATCTTATGATAACAATTCGGTATTTTCTGGTGTAGAGAGAAGTTTTAGTTCCTCCATATGGCATCGGTTTCACATTTTGAATGCCCTCAACATTGGTATTTTGGGAGCTGCTAGTTGCGACATCATTGACTGAGGCATCAATGACGCAGTACAGTGTATGCACTGTATTCACACTGCTATTTCTCAACTGATCGCCCCGCTCTCAACATCACCAACTCCTCTCATGTCTCTTCTTCGGACCTTCAAACCTCATCGCCTTCGTCCCTTTATAAGCAGACCCTTCACAATGTCTCACAAAACACAAGAGCCAGTCATCACAAAACTCTCGGACCTACCGGTTGAGGAGGCCAAGTGGATAACGCTCAAGAAGATCGAATACGTCGACCAAGTCGGCAAAGAGCGAACATGGGAAGTCGCAACACGAAAGACAAGAGGCAAATCTGGCGTCGACGCTGTTGCAATGGGAAATATCCTTTTACACCCATCTAAACCCGCGTCAACTCTGCTCGTCATCCAGTACCGACCACCTCTGGACGCCTACACAATTGAATGGCCCGCTGGACTCATTGATGCGGAGGAGACTGCCGAAGAAGCGGCTGTCAGGGAGTTCAAGGAGGAAACTGGTTACGACTGCAAGGTTTTGAGTGTCAGTCCTGCACAAGCTGCCGACCCCGGAATGACAAACGCCAACATGCAACTGGCCATGGTCGAGGTTCAATTGAGCGAGAACGAGGAGGAGCCTGAGCAGAGACTGGATGATGGAGAACACATTCAAAGAGAGATTATTCCTCTTGCGGAACTGTATGAGCGTCTGGTCGAGTACTCTAAGCGAGAGCGTACAGTGGTTGCAGCCAAACTCTTCCACTTTGCTGCAGGTATGCATTTTGCTCAGACACAAAAGTATTTCTAGATCAAGACTAGACACAATTTAGACGTCAGGCATTTCTATTTCCGTCTACCAGACTTCAACATGTCATGTACACTACTTACAGAAACCAGGCAGAGTCTCTGTCGCATTCTTTTCTGCACAAGCTATAGCTAGCGCCAGATTGTACGACTGAACACTCACGTCGAGCGACCGAATGCTCACATCCAACGCTTTCTTTGCAAACACCAGACTAGCCACTCCAAACGCAATACTCAGAATCGTCAGAAAGAGAACAAGTGTAGCTACCCAAAAGGTAATGTATTCCATCAAATTTCCATGGTCTGGCTTGAGCCTTACCTGGGATATCCCCTTGGGGCCCTTTTCCCAGTAAGTGACCAGTTCAGAAAGATTCAGCCTCCAGTAGTGGTAATTCGAAAAGGCCAATGATCTTGAACGACCATACGGAACGTCTAAGATCGACCTTTTCTCTTTTGATAAGAGGTCGTCTGTATCCTTGCCTCTGGGGAATAGCAGTACTAGTGTGTCAACTGCTTCTCTGACAAATTCCTCCGGGAAAGGACACAAGCCAGGATTTTGCATATGGTTTCGTAAACATATTCCATGCTCGTAAACCTTTATCTGGTTGTGTTCCCAGTCAACCTTTAAATGCTGTAGTAAATCGCTAGTCCAGATCAACTTCATCTCATAATATCGAATCAGATTGGGAATCGAGAAGTCCTGGGGAATCTGGCGGAAATTACCGTCAACTAGATGTCGCTTCGATAAAATATTCTGATTTAGCCATTCATCGAGGGCGTCTGATAGAATCTCGTTTTCAGGCCAGTGAAAGCATTCAGGCGAATGGGTGTTTGAGTGTTGAACATGAATCGTCAACCACATGCGAACGGCTATGTCGATGGTGTTATATGATGCCTGGGATTGATGGGCTGTAATATCGGCCTTTGCCATATTATTTGGCCCTTGAATACGATGAATCAAATCGCCGAGATCTCCAACAGTACGTGCAGTGTATAAAGTTGGTTTCTGTTGGACCGATGAGAACTGATCGTCAAGATACAGATAGTATTTTTCGTAAAGGTGGCCGTATGTGTCAAAATCCGCGCGCAGCATTCCTGGCCATATCTGAGTCAAGAGTGCAAACTTCTGATCATTGTGAAATTGCCCTATAGTCATTGTATTGTACAATCCGGGATGATAAAGAGGTAGGTATAATTCTTCGGTTTAGGGAAGTATTGTAGGACTGACTGTTAAGGGCCAAATCCAAGATAACTAGAAGGAGTGATATAGCCGCCGTCAGCTCGCGGAGAGTTTTCCAATAGGTAGATATGGTATTGTAGGTAGGTGCCAGTGACGATGACAATTTATTTATATTTTTTTTTCCTGTTCGCCTAGAGCCTCTCCCTGGTACCTATTCCCTTGTGACCTCCTTCGATGCGGCTTGGATGCGGGGTTGCCACAATCCGTTGAACCTTGACAGCCGTAGTTGTGATTTTGGTCCAATGGGGCGCTACAAAGACTTGAAAAGGTCTGAATAAGCATCAGAAACCGGTGAAATTGAGCCTTTGGCTGCATGGCTGGTCAATATCTGATGGCAGTGGCTTGCCAAGCGTCTCAGAATGTCAGACCAGGCTGATTTATCTCTTGCAGAAGAGTTGGGTACAAATATACCGCTGTACCTAAGGTAAGCCCATCTCTGACTTACTCTGTTGCATGAATTCGGCTTTGATTGATCATTCCCTGTACAGGCCAAGCAATTGCCATTCTAGCTCTGTTACGACCAATCACTGGTACATGATCTCTGGTAAATAAAAGCCAGGTAGGTACTAATGCGCTTCTGTTCTACCCATCCATACATGAAGCTGAGTAATCCAGAATGAGTGCTGCAACGACAGCTACCCAACTCCAGCCCATGTCTGTTCCACAGCAATACCAAGTTACTCCTCTTAACACGCCCCTGAAGCTCCCTTTCGATGGAGCCAACTTTGCGCAGCCACGTCTTTGCAGGGGTCTTTGTTTCTCGGCTGCAAATGCCTGGTATTCGAAGAATCACTTCGCTGAAGACAATCAGTGTAGCAATCTCTTTGCAATGGCAGAAGAAACCAGACGACTTCTTATGCCCGAACTGCTTCACATATGGGCCACTGCATCTTTCTGGGATTTAGGAGTTCTTGGTAAGATCAATTTGGCTGACGCAAGTCTTGCAGTCGAATTGAGAATGTCTGGATGGCCAAAAGATGAAAATGGCAGTAAAATGATTGACCTTTACCCAACTATCTGGCTTAAGACTGCGGACAAAGTTGTCAAAGCAAAATCTCCCTGGAAGGAGATTGCGGCTGTTATCAAGAAGCTCAGACTAAATTCTCCACAGAACGCCAAGATATTCGTCGAAGGTGGTGGGAGATTGAGTGATAGCAACGTCTCTGTTGCTAAAGAGCATCTGACTTTGGATAGAGGCATCCCTTTCCCCAGTGGCGAGGCCTTGTACTGTCATGTTCCAGCGACGCCGGAGAGGAGCTCTGCCTGTGGTCTGCCTTGCCTCGTCACGATTATGAAGGATGAGACAGTCTTGGAGCAGAACATTTCTCGAATTGGGGGGCTCGTTACTTACATGTTCCCGAGACAAGCCGTAACGTCTGGTCATGTCATGACGAAATACTTTCTCAAGTTTTGCGCTCGGGATACTTCTTCGGACGACTTGACAGACGACAGCGCAATCGAAATGGAAGACTCTGACGAAAGCGAATGCGAGCTGGTTCAAAACTACGAAAGCGATCACGATCCAGAAGAATCACTGGGCTACATTGATGTCACTGAATCAACAGATTGGCTTTCTGTTGTGCCCGAGGATAACATCAATTTTATTATTCAACTCTCCAAAGACACAGCGCAAACATCAGTATGGAAAATCAACACATCACGACCGATCCCGACCGATTTTGCTCTGCTATCTGGTATTGCTAACTGGAAACCCGATAACTACTATGTCGACCCTCCAGCGCAGGGAGCATCATCCGATACATCAGCCAGAGGGAAGAAGAAGTGTGTGTCTGGCTACCATAACGATGAATCTTTAGGGGCAAGAGAAGTCCTCATATTGGTTAATCAAGAGTTTGAAAGCCTTGTCGGATCCCTTCAAACTGCCAGGATACCTCTTATAATTGGCAGCACAACACTTTGGACTCGGAAAATCCGTCTACAAGGACCATTAGGTAAGTGGCTACATTCGAAGTTCTGTTCAGAGCTAAGACATAACTCAGCACCTGGCACATCTGGATCTTGGGTCGTTGATAGAGTGTCAGGAGCATTGTGCGGGTCGATCATTATGGTTTATGACGGTGAGCCATATGCGCTGATGATCACTGCCCAGGCCCTTCTGTCCGACATCAAAACTTACTCTAACATGGCCGCCAATAAAACGATATCTCCAACAGTATTGGAGTCAACGCGAGGCAAAGTGCAAGAACGTCAACCAGTCGTTACCGAAGAGATTCGCAAGCTATCTCTAAAGGTCAGTATCAATTGAGAAAGCTATGGAACCATAAGTTGACGGAAGAGTAAGGATGATAATATGGGGAAACTCGATTGGACTAGTCGGCCTGGTTGGCCAAGAACCCAGCCACCGACTCCTGTCAAGCAAGAGAGTGAATCTGCAGCTCCCATTATTGCACCATCGGCAGGGGAATCCAGGCCACATTATCTTCCATTGTCGAGAAACAAGAACTTTACAGGACGCAAGAAAGTAATCGATGAGCTTCAGCGGCTGCTATCTACTGATTCCTATGGCCAACGAATCGTTCTCGTTGGCTCGGGCGGTATAGGCAAGACACAGATCGCCCTTGAGCTTGCACATCTTTCGAAGAATAGCCAAAGTCACCAGCAGTGCTCCGTCATCTGGATGCCTGCATTGAGCTTGGCAAGTTTTGAGTATGCATGTACTGAAATGTTTAAAGTATTCAAAATCGAGCACCCCACAAACAAGGACCCGAAGAAAACGTTCAAGGACTTCCTTAGCTCAGAAGAAGCAGGAAAGTGGTTTCTTATCATTGACAATGCTGATGATATGGACGCTTTATATGGAAAGAGTCAAGGGACCGGAGGAATTGCAGAGTTCATTCCAGATTGCGAGCAAGGTTGTATTCTGTTCACAACACGATCCAGCGTAATGGCCTCCAAGGTTGCGCGCGCTAATGTCCTTGAGTTACCTGTAATGGATACGAAGGATGCTAAAGCCCTCCTGCACAATTTATCAACCCAGAAAGATCAAATGCAGGATACCGCAATGGCCGACCAACTGTCACAGGAGCTCGCTTATCTACCGCTTGCAATTACACAGGCTTCAGCATACATGAATGTCAACAAGACCACAATCAAGGAATATCTACTGCTGCTCCAAAACACGAACCGAGATATGATAGAACTGCTCAGTCTTGGAGTTTATGGCAGCAGCAACTACGATACTTGTCAAGGCGCGGTTGTCACGACCTGGATCGTGTCCTTCGAACAAATATGTACCTCAGACACGGATGCTGCAGTACTACTTGTATGCGCAGCTTGTCTCGAACCGAAGGCTATACCTCGGGCATTATTACCAGGCTCTACATCCGAACATAGTATAACACACGCCATCGACACACTTTGCAGATATAGCTTTTTCAGTCGACGAGAGGATGGCGATGTATTCGACATGCATAGCCTCGTATACCTGGCCGCCCAGACATGGACTCGAAACGAGGGTCGTGAGCTAAACATACAACAAGTGGCATTCGCATGTGTTGCTGGGGCATTCCCGATAAAGGCTTGGGAGAATCGTGAGGTATGGCGGCAGTATCTGCCGCATGCGCTCCCGCTCCTCAGAAGTTTGGATAGGGATAGCAAAACAAGTCAAGAAGCATTTTACCTAGGATACTCGGTTGCCCTATGCCTGCGTGTTGATGGAAAGAAACAACAGGCTGTAGAGCTGCTAGAGCGTGTTGTTGTAATCGAAAAGACATTACCGGAGGACCACACAGATCGGCTGGCATCACAGCATGCTCTTGCATTAGCATATTATGACAATGGACAGATCGAAGATGCAATACAACTGCTGAAACATGTGGTTACAGTCAGAAACGCAATATCAACAAAGGATGACCCGTATCGACTTGCATCACAGCACGGGCTTGCAGCAGCATACCAGGCCAACAAACAGTTCAAAGATGCAATACAGCTACTAGAGCATGTAATTTCTGTTGAAAAGACAACAGTAGCGGAGGATCATCCAGATCGGCTAGCATCACAGCACAATCTTGCATTGGCATATTGGGGTAACGGACAGATCGAAGATGCAATACAGCTACTAAAGCATGTAGTTGCAGTTCAAGGGATAACATTGGCAGAGGATCATCCAGATCGGCTAGCATCACAGCACAATCTTGCATTGGCATATTGGGGTAACGGACAGATCGAAGATGCAATACAGCTACTAAAGCATGTAGTTGCAGTTCAAGGGATAACATTGGCAGAGGATCATCCAGATCGGCTAGCATCACAGCACAATCTTGCATTGGCATATTGGGGTAACGGACAGATCGAAGATGCAATACAGCTACTAAAGCATGTAGTTGCAGTTCAAGGGATAACATTGGCAGAGGATCATCCAGATCGGCTAGCATCACAGCACAATCTTGCATTGGCATATTGGGGTAACGGACAGATCGAAGATGCAATACAGCTACTAAAGCATGTAGTTGCAGTTCAAGGGATAACATTGGCAGAGGATCATCCAGATCGGCTAGCATCACAGCACAATCTTGCATTGGCATATTGGGGTAACGGACAGATCGAAGATGCAATACAGCTACTAAAGCATGTAGTTGCAGTTCAAAGGATAACATTGACAGAGGATCACCCAAGCCGACTGGCATCAGAAAAAGCGCTTGACATTTGTTCGCAAGATTTGAGTAGCTAGATAGGGTATCAAAAGAAACATTGGCTACTAGTAAGATAAGAGACGAAATGAGTAGGTCAGTTTATGATGCTCAGATTAAACTTCTTAGGCTATTCACCTTTGTGCGTGAGAACAAGATTGCTTCGTTAATCACTATAGTCTCTGCTACAGAGTAGGGGACGAAGTTAGTATTAGACTTTGAAAACCACCTACAACCACCAAGTACTCTGAAGTCCAGAGCCAGCTTTTCTCTTACCCACTGAAGTGATCAAAAGTTTGGATAATCGTCACACAGGGACTGTGGATTCCGATCCTCCCCGCGGGACCATTGATCAACAGCATCATTATCCTTTATTGAGTATCTAGTCACGCTTTGATATAAATCCATGCCTCTTGGTAAAACAAACGTCTTGGCAGTACTCCGTAGCATCAGGTGACTCGGCATTACTTCTGGGTCCTAACTATGGAGTACAATTTATTCGTCTACCAAGTTCTGTAGATCATTGTCTAGTTGAGGCGGTGACCGTGGGTCTGTGTTGTATCCCCACGGAGAGTCCCCATGGAGGAATAAGCTTACATCTGTTGACCAGGACCTCCGCAGTTAATTCTCCGGTTATCAGGGTACCGGAAAAGTTGGAGTCTGGAGGCATAAGAGATGAAATAACTAGATCACTTTATGCTACTTGGACCACGCTTGTTAGACTACTCATTTTTGTATCCTAAAACTTAGTATGTTATGTTTTCTAATGCTTGTAGTTTTCTTTATATTGATATGTCGTGACCTCGGCGGACCCGTGAGTTTCAAAACTGTTACTCAAACATATGTTTGTATCACTATAAGTGTATCACAGACATGACTTCTGTATCACAGTAAGACTACATAGCCCTCTTTTACACGTCACGATTCTGAATCAAACCAATTGACAGTGAATCGAAAAAAAACATCGGAACTTTATCAAATGACGCGATGGGATGATCTTTTGAAGGATAAGTTAAATCAAGATACGCTTAAGCTTAATCATTGCGATTATCAAATGTCTCAGACGCGTCAATGACTCAAGAGATTGAGAAAACATAGCCACAAGGATCGACATTGCTGACTCGTCATTTAAGCACCAAGTGGGATTGAAATGACGATCCTGATAAGGACACAGTGACGACATTCACATGCCTGGCCTGGAAACCGTTGGTGACACAATTGATAAGGTTAAATAATAGTTAAATCTAGGGATAAGTTTTAACGGTAAAACCGCAGTGAACCTTTTTTGGATGCTTGCATTCCGTCGTTGTGTTCGGACTCCGTGATTACGCGGCGACGTTGTACGTTTGCACAACGCTTGGCGATAATAGAATAGAATGAAGTAGAAGAGTAGTGTTGAGTAGGAAAAGGTGGTGGTGGTGGATAAGTGGATTTGTCTAAAGTCGTATTAAATCGTAGATCATGGGTATTCATTCAACCACTCGGAGGATGACATTTACAGGCTATAGATCTATAGCTGAGAACATGATAGGCAAGTCTAGATTCTGGAGTCCATTTGTGGCGGTCAAGTGCCGTTGATTCACACCATTGCGGGCGGGAAAGGCTGTTCTTGGCGACGGATCGGCAATGCTAGAGTTTGGGGTTTTATCAAGAAAGGAATAGGTCTAGTTAATGAGGAGAAGAAAAAGAGGAGAAAGGGACAAAAAGTGTTGAGAGTGACACGACCATGGAAATGCCACGACTTGTCATACATACCTTGTACTTGGCTCCCTCTTTCGTCATTTCTAGAATTTTTCAATTTTTCATTCAGGGAGATAAAAACGTTTCAGCCTTTAAATGAATAGTTTAATTACTGGGCTTAACCGAGTCGTTGGGTTCTTATCGGGCAGTCATAATGTCTGGGGTCCCCTGGAAACCATACATAGGTAAAAGGTCTGTTCCCGCGGAAGAGAGATTAGAGGCCTAGTTTGAGTCTAAAGTGCCCCGACTTGGCATGACAACTTTCACAGCCTCAATACGTACCTCCTTGTACCCACAGACCTCAGTTGCCTCAATCCTTGGCAACTTGAACCTCTACTCGAGTCGCAAACTAAGCTCAAGCAAGGAGTACGGCACACCCTTGAGAGATAGCTGCCCGATCTTGGGTGTAACACAATCTCAGATCTCCCTCTAACCCAATCAAATCATCCACACTCCCTCGTGTTTGGACAAGAAAAAAACCCAAACACCCCTTTTGACCCAAGCCAAGACGGATAGTTGAGTCTACAGTGACAAGCAAACAAGCCATGGACCTAGTAGTACTATCAAGGATGATCGCTTCTTAGGCGTTCTTGGCAGGCAACACCAAGATGTGTAATTGCGCGTCTCTATGAACCAAGGCATGCTCAGACTCAATAGTAAGCGGGTCGGTCTTTTCTTGTGTTCCATATCACAGACATTCTGATTCTCGCCAAGGCCTGTTCAGAGGTTCCCCAGGTATAAGGACCCCTGGGTTCTTCCATTTGGTCCAGACTGTTTCCCTTTCTTCACCAGACTTCACTTCAAACATCATGTCTTCCCTATTTACTCGACAAGACCCAAACCCTGAGCTCTGTGTCCAATATGCTAGCTTTGCTTCTCATCTGGTACGATGGCAGTTCAAGATTATTTACTGGACCATGTTTGTGTCCAACCTATTAGTTCTGTTCATCGCTTCTTGGACGTACATCCGGTATGTTATCAATCTTTGATATTTATAACTCATCTAACAATAACAGAGCGCAAGCAGCTACCGAGAAGCTTCCTCATAACCTTTCGGCGCGAACGAAACGTATACGGCAATCTGTTTTTATGTGTCTTGGATGTGTCACTGTGTCAACCGCCATCGTTGTCATGGAAGCGTACTGCATTCTAGCACTACAATTTTGCGATGGCGAGGATCTTATTTCTTTGTACTGGTCTACATGGACTATGATCCAAGTCGGATCCTTGATTGCCATGATTGGAATTATCCTTGCTCTGGCCCATACTCTTCGAGGACGACAGCATCCGTAAGTTCTAGTCTTCTGATCTATATATCCACTTCGCTAACAAAACCAGACCATGGGCCCTTGCTCTTGGTACACCGGTTCTTGTCATTGCCGGTTTCCTTCACCTCTTCCACGACTGCACCAAGAAGCGAATCAAGAATAGGCGCCAACGTCGCAAGAATGACTTTGACGACATGATGGGTCCTCCCATGAGTCAAGCGTAAGATATCTCTACCCGTTTTATGTTACACGCCAAGCTAACACAAAGCAGTAACACAATCTCGGTCAATCCCGATGAAGAGACAGACGATGATGAGTACAAGGCTCAAGTTATCGGACTTACTTTCGATGGCGGTCCTATTATTCGCTTCATCGACGCCGTACCCGAAACTCTTCCCGAGCATGCTCAACTACTAGGCTACTGTCCTAAGAGCAAGCCTATTGTCATGTGCAAGCGAGAAGCCATCCAGTTCCTCATGGATTCTCCAGCTCAAGTTCCCCCTTCGGCATCTCCTTATCGCAAGGGTAGTCGATGAGGGACGAAACTCAGACTTGAGCCGCACGGAAGTGTGCACTGATAACAGCAAAGAAACAGTGTGCTGGGACTAGCTGAGACAAGGCTTGGCTGACGGGGGTGCGGCATGAGATAAGATGTCTTTTTGCAGGGGTTTATAAGGTGCCAAGAGCAGGGAGTATGCGCTTTGACGTGTACTCTGCAGGCATTTGTTTCTTTCCTTTCTTTTTTTACTTTTTCTCTTTTGGTTTTAACTTTTGCTTTTGTCAAAAAGGAGTTTGGTATACGGGACTGGTGGCGGGAAGCCTAGGAACAAAACAGTGGCATGGGCTGCTACTTGGACGGCGCGTTTTGGTCGGAAAAGTGGCTTTGATCATGATACTGAAAGATACCCTGGGAAACAAGCCATGAATTGGTCATGGCTATGATTTGGGCATAAAATGCCATTTAATGCGGATTCAATAGTTCAAATGATTTATTATATAGTAGATGCGATGAAAATACAGTTGGTTTTGAATATTTATTTCTGGTGCTGTTATTCCCATTTAGGCTTCAAATTTAGTGGACTTGTACCTAAAGACTTCGTCTGTTGCCGACTACGGAGCTTAGATCGATAGCGGGGTTGTGTCTCCCGCCAATCTCTTCAACGGCTTAGTAAATGGCTTTCTAATCAACAATTGACAATATTCACATTCGCCTCATTGACTTGATTTATCTATCATCCATCAAACAACATATCTTAGGCACGATAACACATTCTATACAGAATGGGCCTCGCAAAAGTCAAACACATCATCCTGGTATGTTACCCTGTTCTCCTACCCTATGCTTAACTGACGCCTTTAGGTCCTTTCAGGCAAAGGAGGAGTAGGCAAATCATCAGTTACAACACAATTAGCATTGTCGCTCACATCAGCTGGTCATTCCGTTGGTATTCTCGATGTCGATTTGACAGGTCCTTCAATTCCGCGCATGCTCTCAATTGAGTCATCAAAGGTCACTCAAGTTCCTGGAGGATGGGCGCCTGTACTGGTTCACGAAGGCGATGAGTCAAAAGGGCTAGGGAGTCTGCATGCGATGAGTTTGGGTTTTCTTCTTCCGAAAAGAGGTGACGCTGTTGTCTGGAGAGGACCGAAAAAGACGGCAATGATCCGACAATTCCTCAAGGACGTACTCTGGGATGAAACAGATTATCTACTCATCGACACACCACCAGGAACAAGCGACGAACACATTTCTCTCGCCGAGACGCTTCAAAAAGACGCTACGCTGGGACAAGTCGCGGGCGCAGTCGTCGTTACAACACCACAAGCAGTTGCTACAGCCGACGTACGCAAGGAGCTCAACTTTTGTACCAAGACAAACATTCGGGTTCTCGGAGTGGTGGAAAACATGAGCGGTTACGTTTGTCCGCACTGTTCCGAATGCACCGACATCTTTGGGTCCGGGGGAGGAAAGTCCATGGCCGAAGAGTTCAACGTTCCATTTCTAGGGTCTGTGCCGATGGATGCACAGTTTA